GAGAAATGGGACAAACACCCAATCAAAAGTCTGCACACAGAGATTTGTAAAAGCATTCTCGGGGTCCATAGGAACACCCTCAATAATGGATCCAGAACTGAATTAGGCCAATTTCCCCTTTTAATTCGGATCCAAAAAAGGGCAATCAAATTCTACCAACACCTCAAAGCCAATGACCCCAGCTCCTACCACTACAAAGCCCTGCAGAGCCAAGAGGAGAAACAGAAACAGGAGTCCCCTCAGCCAGCTGGTCCACAAGCTTAGCTCCATCAGCACCAAGCACCAAGACTGCCTTCACACAATCCAGCTCCCCGACCAAATTGTACAAAAACAAAAAGACTACTACGTCAACTACAACTACAGACAATACTCCATGGCAGATTACCTGAGTTCAGTAATTGACCCCAGACTGAGGAGAACATTGACTGTGAATAGACTCAGCAACCACAGCCTGGCCATAGAGAGCGGGCGCCACAGGCAGACCTGGCTGCCCAGAGAGGAGCGGCTGTGTCAGCTCTGTCCTCACACACAGTTGGAGACAGAGCAGCACTTCCTGTTACACTGTGACACTTATACACACACAACACCCAACTTCACCCAACTCACGAACCAGGGAAAGTATAGACATCTCTTAGGAGAACAAAGGGCCACTGCTTTAGAAGCAATAAGATATGTCAATACATGCCATCACAAAAGAGAACAAAAGCTGCCCAAAATAACCTGAACAGCTGCTCCGGAGTTTTTTTTTTTTTTTTGTTTGTTTGTTTTTTTATCTCAAACATGATACTGACACTGTTTATTTATTATTTTAACTAATATTATTATAACTGTTATTTTATTGTTGTATTGTTATTAATCTTACTGTTATTATTATTGTTGTTGTATTATTGTTGTTGTTGTCGTTGTTATTATTATTGTATTCTTATCCTTCTTAATATTTTTCTTCTTCATCGTATTATTATTACCGTTATTTTTTTATTATTAATTTTGTGTTAAAACACTTTAGCAAAATTGTAGAAGCAATCATGATAATGATGGTTCCAGGTATGTAATGATAGTCACAGGTAAAAAATAATAGTCACAGGAAAAAATGACAGTCACGGGAAAAAAATGAAAGTCACAGGTAGAAAATGATTGTTTCAGGTAGATAATAATTATTTCATAAAGATAATGATAGTCCCCGGTAGATGATGATAGTCAAGGGTCAATAACTCTTGTTTCAGGTAAAAAATGAAAGTCAGATGTAGAAAATGATAGTAACGGGTAAATCATGATAGTCACAGGTAGATATTGATTGTTTCACGTAGATTATGATTGTTTTAGGTAGATTATGACAGTTACAGGTATATAATAGTTATTTCAGGTAGATAATTATTGTTTTAGGTGGTTCATGATAGTCACAGGATGATAATGATTGTCAGGTACATTATGATAGTCACAGGTAGATAATGGTAGTAACTTGTAAATAATGATTGTTACAGATAGATATTAATTGTTACAGGTAGATAATAATGGTTACAGATAAATAATGATGGTTTTAGGTAGGAAATGATTGTCACAGGTAGATAGTGATAGTCACAGGTAGAAAATGATAGCAACTGGTAGATCATGATGGTTACCTGTTGATAATTGTTGTAACAGGCAGATAATGATTGTTTCAGGTAGATAAAGACTTTTTCAGGTGGATAATGATAGTCACAGGTAAATAATGATTGTTTTGGGTAGATAATGATTCTTACAGTTTGATAATGATTGTTACAAGTTAATGATAATAGTAACAGGTAGTTAATGATTATTACAGCTAGATAATCATTTTTACAGGTAGATAATGATTGTTACATGTAGATAATAATAATTTCAGGTAGGAATGATTGTTTCAGGTACATAATGACAGTCAAAAGTAGATAATGATTGTTTCAGGTAGATAATGATTGTTTCATAAAGATAATGATAGTCCACGGTAGATAATGATAGTCAAAGGTCAATAATTATTGTTCCAGGTAATAAACCAAAGTAGAAAATAATAGTAACGGGTAATCATGATAGTCACAGTTGGATATTGATTGTTCCAGGTAGATAATAGTTGTTTCAGGTAGATAATGATTGTTTCAGGTGATAATGCTAGTTACATGTAGATAATGGTTGTTTCAGGTACATAATGAATGTTTCAGGTAGATTGTGATAGTTACAGGTAGATAATGATTGTTTCAGGTGGATAATGATTGTCACAGGTAGATAACGATTGTTTCAGGTAGATGATGATAGTTACAGGTACCGTAGATAATGATAGTAACAGGTAGATAATGATTGTTACAGATTGATAATTTTTACAGGTAGATAATAATGGTTTCAGGTGGGAAATGATTGTCACAGGTAGATAGTGATAGTCACAGGTAGAAAATGATACTAACAGGTAGATAAGTTGTCTTCATATCGATAATTTTTGTTTTAGGTAGACAATGATTGTTTCAGGTAGATAAAGATTTTTTAGGTGGATAATGATAGTCACAGGTTTATAATGATAGTAACAGGTAGATAATAATAGTTACAGGTGGATAATGATCGTTTCAGGTGGATAATGATTGTCACAGGTAGATAATGACTGTCACAGGTAGATGATGATAGTCACATGTAGAGAATGATAGTAACAGGTAGATTATGATAGTTAAAGATCGATAAGGGTCTTACCTTGGCTGTGAGTCCTCTCCTGTGTGTGTTCATCTGGCTAAACTAGGTGAGCAGAGAAGATCAAAGTCCAGTTTCGGCGTCATTGGTTCAGAGTGATGGTCCAGAACTGAGCTGAGACTGTAGAATCCACCACAATGGGAGTCATTGAGGGCACCATGAGTCAGTAAGGGCACCGTCACACCATGTGTCCAGCTAAGACTAAGTCCTTCTGCTTTTAGACTTTTATCGCTCAATAGAAAGTGCTGGGGGAGAATAGGGGAAGGCTGCTTGTCCTACCCCTGACAGAGGGTGGAGGAAGGAATACAGGGGGAGGAGAGATGGGAGAAGGGAGGAGAGAGAAATAGAAGGAGGAGAGAGAAGATGGGGAGGAGAGAGAAGGGAGAAGAAGAGTGGAGGAGGTGTTTTCCTTAGAGAACTGACCCTGATGATCCCACTGCTGTTCAATATTATCCATATCTCAGCACAATTACTCATAGACATATAACAGCTGTTTACCCTTAATCACACTTTAGAAATAAACAAAGACCAAAAAGAAACTTTCATCATTTTACAGTACTCACTCATCCACACAGTAAAACAAGTCTCTTTATATACTGGGGCATATCTAATTCTCATATTAAAAGTTTATCAGAGTTTCATGACAAAAACCTTTTTTTGAACATTAAAACATAAAGTTAATGTTAATCTACCTAATAATACACATTTTATCTCCCCACCTCAGACATAACATCCTGTTTTTTCAACATGGGGGTCACTCTTCTTGCACCCTGTTTCAGCGGCATGTACACCACTCAGGTGGTAATACGTGAAATATGTCCATCCAAAACTTTGAACGAGTTCTATTTTTTAGGAAATCATCTATCAATTGTATAAAATTCAAAGATTGCTCTTCATCTAAATGATGATATGGTGATTGATTATGAGTATTTCCTTTTCTAAATTGTTCAAACATCGTCTTTTAATAAAGCACACTGATTATAAAACAGCTGTAATCACCCCATACAGGTGATTATTACCAAAAGCACCCAAAGTCTGCTATGTCTGCTATCTGAGTATCAAAGAGGTATTCTGGCGTAAATTTAAGTTGTGGTCAAAGACACCATAACACAGAGTTAGCTACCCCCTTAAGATATGAATGTTGCCGACTGCTTGCTTCTCTAGTTACACTAACTTCAGCAAGAACCACTCGCTAGCAATACACAGTGGTTTATATCTCCACGTGTACACCTCAGCCAAATAGCCACTCTATAGCCACAAATAATGCTGGTCTATAGCCACAAATAATGCTGGTCAGAGCCCTGGTGAGTGGATAACTGTGTGCAGTGGAGTTTTGAGGCTCAAGGAAGAACATTCATGATTAACACTTCATGGAAATGCAATCAGAGTTCTTGTGTATCTTGTATGTGCACTGCAGATGTGGTTTGCAGACGTGATTGCATTTCCATGAAGTAATAATCATAAATTTCCCACTGCACTCGGTGATCGACTCGTCTGGGCTTTGACCAGCATTATTTGTGGCTATAGGGTTGCTTTTTGGTTGAGGTGTGCACATGGAGCCAAAGACCGCTGTGTATTGCTATCGTGTGGTTGTTAATAAAGTTGTTGTAACTACAATTAGACCAACTGACTTTTCTTGTTTTATCCAGGGGGCGCTATAACTGGGGCCAAATATTCCCTCATGAATGTGTGCAGGCTTGGGCATTTATTGTGCATGGTGAGTCACATTGTATCATACATGGCTGAGATTAAATGTACTTCCTATTTTGTGGCAAAACAAACAACTTTAAGAGCTGGGAGTGACAAAAACAATATTTAATATTTTAATTTAAACATTTTTTAGGTCTCAGGAAGCTGGACTTGAGCACCAAACCCCCCCCCCCCCCCCGTCTCCATGACAACCAGTAAACAATTACACCTAGTCAACTAGTCAACCTCTGATGATAAACACACCGCAGATAACTGACCCCTCCTCCTGTGTCAGTGACTGCAGTTGGCTTTAAGAGTGATGGTAAACATCTGTGTCTTGGCCCTTTAAAAGTTTGAACCACTTAGTGCTTCTACCTTATAAGGCTTACTATGCTAACTGCTCAGCTATAATGAGATACTGTTTCATAATTACTCAGAGGTACAATGTGAAACAAACTTTGCTCATTTACAGCACATGTCAGTTAAGATGGTTCTTATTCTGTAGTCATTTACACACAGGACAACAATTGTGTGTGCGTGTGTGTTTGGGATCACTGCAGACAGCTGAGCACACTTTGACCCCCCCCCCCACACACACACAAACACACACACACACACCACCCTCTAATAATGAAGCTTTGTCTGTGACCAGTCAGACAGACTGAACACAGAAGGACTGAGGCACTGAAGGGACCACAGAATCCACCAGACCAACAGGATCCTTCAGACCAACACGATCCATCAGACCAAAAGGATCCCCAGGGCAGATTTAGGTTTTCAGACTCGTCGAGGTTGATCAGAGTCAGTAAGTTCCTGATGTTTTGTATCTACCTGAGTTGACCTTTAATAACATGTTTTGACCTTTATTGACCTGTGGTGTTCAGGTTTCTTCTGATGGTGAGTCTCTGCAGACACAGAGAGAGGATAAAACTCACTAAAACAGACTCTGTCTGCAGAAACAAAGAGTTAAACTCTGTGTGTGTGTGTGTGTGTGTGTGTGTGTGTGTGTGTGTGTGTGTGTGTGTGTGTGTGTGTGTGTGTGTGTGTGTGTGCGTGTTAATCTGTGCTGGTATTTTTATTCTGACTGATCTCAGAATTTCCAGCAGAGATTAGAGCCGCTTTCTTTCCCACATTTATCCGAAAACACAGTCTATGAAACCTTCAGCCTGACTGTGTTTGCGCCTGTGCCTGTGTTTGTGTGTGTGTGCGTGTGTGTGTGTGTGTGTGTGTGTATGTGTGTGTGTGTGGGGGGGGGGGGGGTAATGAAAAAACAACACTACTGTGTGTTAAATAGACTCACACACTCCTGTCAGGCTGCTGGTCAACATTCCTCTGAGCATCTGAACAAACGCACAACAACCACAGAGGGGGGTTGTGTTCAAAGGGTTCAGTGTCTCCAGATGATAAAAATGACAGTTTTTATGGACCTTTTGTGGTTATTTTCATGTTTTCCCTGGAATTAACAGGATAGAAAAAAAGTCTGACCAGCTGACAACATTAAGAGCAACACGAGTGACGTGAGAGTCAGGAACAGCGATGACCAACACATTGAACAAGAAAAACAACAACATCCATGCTATAAACTTTATGAACAGCCTGAAATACAACACACTGTAAAGGACAGCAGAGACTTTACTTACATTAGAGACAAGGAGGACAGATATGATGTGATGACAACAAGCATCAGAGATACCTAAGACATGTCTTTCTCTACACTTGCTCCTGAAAATACGAATGTTAGAAAAAGGAGAATGGAAATAGAAATCAATAAGAATAAATAAGAATTTGCAACAGTCAGTACAAAGTGGAGAGTGTTTAAGAAATTAGCCATGTTTAAGCATAAGAATGTGCAATATCCTACACTACAAACTGTTTTTAATACAGAGTATTTTTATACAGTTAAACTAAGTATTGTACAGAGTATTTATATACAGGTAAACAGTATTATACAAAGTATTTATATACAGTTAAACAGAGTATTATACCGAGTATTTATATTGCTGTAACTACCGGTGATCGGCGCATGTGCACTTGATATAAAGGATTACATAAGATTACAAAGAAAACAAGGAGAGACATTTAAGGGCAAATCAAATAAATAAGCATCAGAGACACTGAAGTCTAAAGAGATTGAAGACAAATAAGACAAATTAAGGCAAATAACAAAACAGTTATTAGACAACTAACAACAATGAAATGAATACTAAGGAAAGAGTATTGGAATATTATGCATTAAAGATACTGAAGACATAAAAGTAATTTCTAAAAAGTAAACAAACAACTTTTCAGTCACTTAAAGTCATAACTGGTGTCAAAATAACTATGACATTAGAAGCACAAGTAAATGAAGACATAAAGCATTTAAAAAATTATAAAAAAAACAACAACTGAGCTTTGAGACATTCAAAACACCTGTTTGTATTATGACATTAAACTTATAAAAGTAGAAAAGACCTTCTGAACATGATATGGATAAAAGATTAAAGACACTACAGTCATAAAGGTCTTAAGAGACATAAGACATTTTGATCAAAACCATGCTGATTCAGAACAGGTCAACAACATACAGCTACTGATTAATGACATAAGGACACTGAAGAGATAAAAGACATGAAGACACTGAAAAGATAAAAGATATGAAGACACTGAAGAGATAGAAGACATTAGAATATCGTAGGAATTAAAGACATCAGAATACTGCAAAGAGTAGGACAAAAAGACATTGAAGTGATAAAAGATATGCAGACACTTTAGAGACAAAAGACATAAAAGTGTAGATATAAAATACAGAAAAGGTAGTGTAGAGATTAAAGACATGAAGTCACTGAAGAGATTAAAGACATGAAGACACGAAAGAGATAAAGAACATTAGAATACTGTAGAGATCAAAGACAAGAATACTGCAGATATTAAAGACATGAAGACACTGAAGACATAATAGACATTACAAAACTGTAAAGATTAAAGACATTAGTAAACTGTAAAGATTAAAGACATAAAGACACTGTAGAGATGAAACACATAAGTATACTGTAGAGATTAAAGACACTTTAGACGTAATAGACATGAGAATACTGCATAAAGACACTGTAGAGATGAAACACATAAGTATACTGTAGAGATTAAAGACACTTTAGACGTAATAGACATGAGAATACTGCAGAGATTAAAGACATAAAGACACTGTAGAGATAAAAAACCCTGTAGAGTACATTGTAGAGATAAAAGACAAAGACACTGTAGAGGTTAAAGACATGACGATACTGTAGAGATTAAAGACATGAAAACACTGTAGTCGTAAGAGACATGAAGATACTGAAGAGATAAAAGACGTAAGTGTGATGCCTCTCAGGCATTTCTGTTTAGTTTATATTTACAGTGTGCTTTAAAATAATTAAAATAGTATGTTTTGTAGTTAAAAAAATGACAGTAAAAAGGTTAAAAGTTGTTAAGAAATTCCTTTATTTTGACAGTCAAGCTGCTGGTCACCTCATTACCTGTTCCGTCACTGGTATCGGTTAATTTCCTGTTTACAGTCCTTTTCTTCCTGGACAGAGAGGGAGGCAGACATGCTCTGAAGCTATCCGTAGCCATCCACTTTGAAATATTGTATAGGCAACGCTGTAAGTTTGCACATTTCATGTTTAAGGTTTTAAAAAACGATAAATACTGTTAGTTGCTAATCATATATAATTTATGTGTAATTAAAAAGGACATTTTGCCTACCCTGTTTACGCATTTAAAAAACAGCTTACAGCTATGTTAATTCATGTATTTCAGTTATTTGAAATATTATTTCTTCTGTATTTCTGCAGTTTTCACCATCATGTCCAATGTCATTGAAGACCATTGAGTATAAAAGGTCAACTCCACCACGACTTGTCTTGTATTGGACTCGGTTTAACTCGGTGTTAAAACAGAGTTGCTACACTCTGAGTGAGAACACTACAGTGAAAAGGCGGCAATCAACGTTTCGAAGTGTTTGAGATGGCAGCTAGCAACAAGTCCGGAGCTAGCAGCAGCGCCCTATCGTCGTCATCAAGTGCTGCTCGTGCCAGAGCTAAAGTCGAAGCTGCTAAGGTAAGAGCTTCATACTAGAGAAGCAGAAAGGAAAACAAGAGAATCTCAGAACGAGTAAGAAACAGCTAGAATCAACACAGAACTGGAAGTGCTACTGCTACAGCGTGAAGCTGAGGCAGCCATTGCAGAAGCACAAGCTTTGGAGGATGTGGAAGCCATAGTGGACAACAAAAACGCAGAATCAGAAGAAAGGTTCAGACAGCAACGCACCAGTGATTATGTTCAATCTCAGATTAATCAGAATCAGCCTACATCTCCACCTGCACAGGTCCCGCCTGTGAAACCTCCAGACCAAGCTGAGTCACAGGACAGTTTCCGGACATGGCTCCCACCTGAAACCATAAAAGTGATTCAACCTACTAGTAACAACATTAAGCCTAGAAAAGAAGAAGAAACACACTTACCTACACCAAATCTGTCTGAACTAAATAAAGTTGAATCAAAGACTGACGACTGGGCTGTCGTATTTAGATACCTCCCGAGGTATTGGACCAATCGTAGACAAGCTTCCATACGGACTCCAGGAAAAGTGGGTGTCATCTGGGTCATGGTACAAAGAAGAGAATAATGGTCGCTTCCCTCCCTTCCTCTATTTTTGTGACTTAGTGTGCCATGAGGCAAAGAAGCGAAATGACCCCAGCTTTATCTATCAAACCAGTGGCCCAAACCCTACAAAGCCAGAACAACTTCCTGTGAAGAGTTTTAACACAAACAGAGCTATCACAGTTCACAAAACAGAGGTCTCTACAAATGACAGCGATCCTAACAAGAACTGCCCACTGCACGACAAACCACACCCACTCAAAAAATGTAGAACATTCAGACACAAATCCATCGACGAAAGAAAGGCTTTTCTAAAACAGAAAGGAATATGCTTCAAGTGTTGTTCTTCGACCTCACATGTAGCCAAAGACTGCAAATCTTCTGTGAAGTGTTCAGAGTGTGAAAGCACCTATCATGATGCAGCCATGCACCCTGGCCCACCGCTTCAACCCACCAAGGCTCCTCCACTGCAACAAGAGAACGGTGGGGAGAGAGAAGAATCTAACCTGACTGATGTTAGAACAAGATGCACAGAAGTTTGCGGCCTAGGTCAGTGGGGTCGTTCCTGCTCCAAGATCTGTCTGGCAAGAGTTTACCACGAACATTCAAAGCACAAAGCTATCAAAGCGTATGTAATGCTGGATGACCAGAGCAACCGCTCTTTAGCCAGACCTGAGTTCTTTGAGCTGTTCAATGTGGAGAACAAGCCACTCGTGTATCATCTCAGAACATGCTCAGGCATCATGCAAGCTTATGGAAGGAAGGCTGAAGGATTTCAGATGGAGTCACTAGATGGAAAAGTGCTCATCTCTCTTCCACCGCTCCTCGAGTGTCGTGAAATCCCAAACAATCGAGTTGAGATCCCAACACCAGCCTCATCTCCAACACATCGCCAAGCACATTCCTGAGCTGGACCCAGAAGCGGAGATACTCCTGCTATTCGGGAGAGACGTGCTGAGAATACACAAGGTCAGGCAACAAATCAATGGACCACATAACGCTCCCTTTGTACAGCGCCTCGATCTCGGCTGGTTGGTGATAGGAGAAGTGTGCCTAGGTGATGTGCATAAGCCCACAGTTGATACATTCAAGACCCATGTGTTAGATGGTGGTCGCCATTCCATTTTCCAGCCTTGCACAAGTTTCATGTGTGTCAAGGAAACACAAACAAGCTTCAGCCAGCCTAGCAAATCCCCAGAGAAGATGCTCGGACACACAGTGTTTGACCAAACCGAACACGATAACAAACCTGCTCCGTCAATATAAGACATTCTCTTTCTGAAGATCATGGACACCAATGTCCACAAAGACGACGCTCACAACTGGGTCGCCCGTTACCCTTCAAGGAGCCACGTGAGCACTTGCCAAACAACAGAGAGCATGCAGTCAAGCGGTTTGAATCCCTGCGAAGACAATTCAAGAGGAACCCTAACATGCAGAAACAATACGTGGTGTTCATGGAGAAGATCTTTGCCAACCGTCATGCAGAAGTTGCGCCGCCATTGGAGCCAGACGAGGAGTGTTGGTATCTTCCATTGTTCGGAGTATACCACCCACAGAAGCCCAATCAAATCAGGGTAGTTTTTGATTCCAGCGCCCAGTGCTCCAGCGTCTCCCTCAATGACATGCTTCTGACGTGTCCTGACCTTAACAATTCTCTCCTCGGGGTTCTTCTACGTTTTCAGAAGGAGAGAGTCGCTGTCCTAGCCGACATTCAACAAATGTTTCATTGTTTTCCGCTACATGAGAACCATTGCAACTTCCTTCGTTTTTTGTGGCACGAGGATAACGACCTCAGTAAGTCAATTGTCGATTACCGCATGAGAGTTCATGTTTTTGGCAATTCGCCATCTCCTGCTGTAGCCATTTATGGCCTGCAAAGAGCCATTGCTGAAGGCTCCCAGAAATATGGACCTGACACAGTGAAGTTTGTGGAGAGACATTTCTATGTAGACGATGGCTTGCTGTCCTTGCCATCTGAAGCAGAAGCAATCGATCTTCTCCGACGAACTCAGGCTTCACTTGCCGAATCAAACCTTCACCTGCATAAGTTCGTGTCAAACAGCCCAATCGTCATTGGAGCTTTCCCACCTGAGAACTGTGTTCCAGTCGTCAAGGATCTGAATCTGAGTGGAGAAACAGCACCCATGCAGTGGAGCTTGGGCCTGCTATGGGAGATCAAGTCAGACACATTCACGTTCTCTGCATCCACTATTGTCAAACCTTTCACCCGACGTGTAGTCCTCTCTACTGTCAACAGCGTTTTTGATCCCCTGGGTTTGTTGGCCCCCGTCACGATCCAGGGAAGAGCCCTCCTTCGGGAACTTACCTCAGAGCTATCTGACTGGGATAAACTCCTCCCAGAGGACAAGCTGAAGAAATGGGAAACCTGGAGAGATTCTCTTCAAGTCTTAAAGGAGCTGCATGTGCCACGCACCTACACCCCAACTTCACTCCTCACCGCTGTGCACACAGAATTGTGTGTGTTCTCAGATGCTGCAACTAAGGCAATCGGAGCCGTCGCTTATCTGAGAGCACTTCAAGAGGACGGAGAAGTTGAAGTGGGTCTGGTTATGGGCAAAGCCAAGTTAGCGCCTCAGTCGGAACCCACAATCCCATGCCTTGGACTCTGCGCCGCAGTTCTTGCTGTAGAGACGGCAGATCTCATCCAAGAGGAGCTCGATCTGAAACTGGACGCTATCAGATTCTACACGGACAGCAAGGTGGTGCTCGGTTACATCTGTAACACAACAAAACGCTTCTACACATACACAGAGATCCGACTACAGGTTCGTACCTGCGCTACTAACCTGGAGGAACCTGGACTCACCTCTGACCGCTTTCAGCACTTTTCTACTTTCAACTCTCTAATACAAGCAGTAGCGTTCCTCATCCACGTGGCAAGATCTCACAAACATAATAACAAAAACAAAAACCTCGTACTGTGGAAGAGATGACTCAAGCCAAAGATGTTATTCTTCAAGCTGCACAAAGGTCAACCTTTGCAAGAGAGCTCTCAGCCCTTCAAAGGAACAAAGCGGTGCCATCAAACAGCCCTTTGCACAAGCTCAGTCCAACTTTAGAGGGCCACCTCATCTGCGTTGGAGGCAGATTGAAACACTCAGAGCTTACAGTTCAAGAGAAGAACCCAGTAATCCTAGCTAAAGACAGTCACATCTCCCTACTGCTTGTACGACATCATCATGAGCAAGTGAGACATCAAGGTCGCCATCTCACCGATGGTGCAGTAAGGGCAGCTGGGCTGTGGATTTTGGGACCTACCGCCTGAACGCCTCAAGGTCGCCCCTCCGTTCACGCATGTGGGCCTTGATGTTTTTGGGCCTTGGTCTGTTATAACCAGACGCACCAGAGCGGGACAGGCCAAAAGCAAACGGTGGGTCATGATGTTCAGCTGTTTAAGTTCAAGAGCTGTCCACATTGAACTGATCGAGTCTATGGACATGTCCAGCTGTATAAGCGCACTCAGGCATTTCTTTGCTCTCTGAGGCCCTGCTCGGCAGCTTCAGTCTGACTGCGGCACCAACGTTATTGGCACCAGCAGGGAGTTGGAGATAGACAAGACGGTGCAACAATACCTCAGCAAGAAACGATGTAGCTGGAACTTCAGACCTCCAAATGCTTCCCACTTTGGAGGTGCCTGGGAGCGCATGATTAGAGTGGCTTGGAGAATTCTAGATTCAATGCTCTTGCAACAAAAGAGTCGCCTGACCCACGAGGTGCTTTCAACGCTAATGGCGGAAGTCACAGCTATCATCAACGCGCGACCGCTCTTACCTGTGACTACAGACCCTCAACAACCATTCATTCTTTCACCCGTGATGCTCCTCACACAGAAGTCAGGGGTTCCACCGCCTCCTGGAGAATTCACGGACAAGGATCTTTACACAAAGCAATGGAGGCAAGTTCAAGTGCTCGCAAACCAGTTTTGGACTCGCTGGAGACAAGAATACTTGTCGTCCTTGCAACGAAGACAAAAATGGACTTTGCCACGCAGAAACCTTAAAGTCGGAGATCTGGTACTCCTCAGGGATAAACAGACTGTCCGTAACTGCTGGCCCATGGCAATAGTCACCGCGACACTTCCCCAGAAAGGATGGACATGTCAGAAAGGTTGAGATAAAAACGACTGACCAAGGTGATGCAAGAACCTTTCTAAGGCTGTTGCAGAAGTAGTCCTGCTTCTGCCTAAGGACTGATTGGACTAAGACTAATGTCTCAGACCCCGCAAGTTCATAGTGGCCTCACATAGGCCAGACGGGGAGTGTGATGCCTCTCAGGCATTTCTGTTTGTTTTTTTTATTTACAGTGTGCTTTAAAATAATTAAAATAGTATGTTTTGTAGTTTAAAAAAATAAAAGTTAAAATAAAAGTTGTTAAGAAATTCCTTTATTTTGACAGTCAAGCTGCTGGTCACCTCATTTCCTGTTAGGTCACAGGTATCAGTTAATTTCCTGTTTACAGTCCTTTTCTTCCTGGACAGAGAGGGAGGCAGACATGCTCTGAAGCTATCTGTAGCCATCCACTTTGAAATATTTTATAGGCAACGCTGTAAGTTTGCACATTTCATGTTTAAGGTTTTAAAAAACGATAAATACGGTTAGTTGCTAAAAATATATAATTTATGTGTAATTAAAAAGGACATTTTGCCTACCCTGTTTACGCAATTAAAAAAACAGCTTACAGCTATGTTTTTCATGTATTATATATATATGTATTTCAGTTATTCAAAATATTATTTCTTCTGTATTTCTGCAGTTTTCACCATCATGTCCAATGTCATTGAAGACCATTGAGTATAAAAGGTCAACTCCACCACGACTTGTCTTTTATTGGACTCGGTTTAACTCGGTGTTAAAACAGAGTTGCTACACTCTGAGTGAGAACACTACAGTAAGAATATTGTGTTAATTAAAGACATTAGAACACTGCAAAGAGTAGGATAAAAAGACATTGTAGAGATAAAAGATGTGAAGACACTGAAGAGATAAAAGACGTTATAATATTGTAGGAATTAAAGACATTAGAATACTGCAAAGAGTAGGACAAAAAGACATTGTTGTGATAAAAGATATGAAGACACTGTAGAGACAAAAGACATAAAAGCACGGTAGAGATAAAATACAAAAGGAAGTGTAGAGATTAAAGACATGAAGTCACTGAAGAGATTAAAGACACGAAGACACCAAAGAGATGAAGAACATTAGAATACTGCAGAGATCAAAGACATAAGAAGACTGCAGAGATTAAAGACATTAAGACACTGAAGACATTATAGACATTACAAAACTGTAAAAATTAAAGACAGTAGTATCCTGTAAAGATTAAAGACATAAAAACACTGTAGAGATGAAACACAATAGTATACTGTAGAGTTTAAAGACATTAGTATATTGTAGGGATTAAAGACTTTAAGACACTGTAGAGATAATAGACATTAGAATACTGCAGAGATTAAAGACATAAAGACACTGTAGAGATAAAAGACATGAAGAAACTGTAGAGATTAAAGACATTAAAAAAAACTGTAGTCATAAAAGACATGAAGATACTGAAGAGATCCTTACTTTGAAGGCTTAAACTATTTGAACCAGGACAGCATGTATGCATCTCAACCTTCCAATTCTGGAGCGTGGCTGCGCATGTCTACTTGGAAAGCCGGGTGCATGTACGCATTTCTACCCTTCAAGCCGGGAGAAGTGTGTACGCATTTTAACCTTCCAAGCCAGCGGCGCCACTACGCATTTCTACTCTTTAAGCCGGGAGCACAGATACGCCATTTTGTAGCATTCTGTAGTTTTTCAATCATTCCTGGAGTTGTGGTGAATCAAATCATTCTACCCGTCTGCCTCTGACAGGCTAATAAAGCTTAATAAAGAGATCGGATTCATGCTTGGATCTTGCTATGTGCTTCGTGAGAAAAGTAAAGACTGACAGTGGCAGAGAGCAGCTTCGGAGGAGAAGCATCCAGCAGTGTGAACAACCTCTTCATATTGAATGCTTTGGCTCACACTATCGGCCTTTTGTGTGAGTGTTGCATGACTTTGGTTGAGCACAGAGACGAACACAATGTCAGCCAGTATTTTTTTATTTTTTAGTGCTGTTTTTGTACTGGCACTATACTGGGGCAGCTGCATACCCTTCCAACACCTTATTTTTTATATTTACATTTGTATTGAATGAACACTTCATCACGACTGCCACTTGTTTTACAAAAAGCAAATAGTTTGTTATTCTCCAGTGCAGAGTCTTTACTTTTATTTATACAGCTGCCTTATTCCATTTGAGTTTGTTTGTTCAAGGTTTTCAAATATGTAATGAAAGTTTGGAAAAATAAAAGATAGTTATCTTGAAAGCCACATGTGTAAGCTCTCAAATACTTTTTGAATTTTGTTTCTATTTGCTACAGAGGCTGAGATAGCGTTTTTGTAAACCTCAACACTTCACAAAATCACAAAAAAAAAAAAAAAATCTCAGGATCTGGGGGGCCCTTCTCAAAATTGCCCTCAGGATTTCAGAGGCGTGTCTCAGACAGGGTTCAGGTCTTAATGGGTTAAACATGCAGGATCCGTACTGAGCACCGTGACCGTAACGTCAGTGTTACGTACCACACAGCAAATATGTTCCCATTCTAATCAATTCAGCATCACAAGACACGTATCAGCTCCGTCACAGTTCTTTATTAGAAGCGTATCGAGACTGCTTAAGATACGCACCAGGGGCCTCATGTATCAACACTTGCGTGGAACTCATACCAGAAACGAGCGCACGCAAGGTCCGTCACGCTGAAAAAAATCCGTATGTATCAATGTGTGCGGGCGCCGAAATCCACGTGTGTTTCCTTGATAAATCCCAATCAGCGTGGAATTGAGCGCAGATGTCGGAGTGACTGGGCCCGTCCCCGTTACGCCCTCCTATAAATATGCAGATTTATTTAAATAGGGTCTCCCTGTCCTCGCACGCAGACAAAATGACAAGAAAAACTACATTTACGGCGTGCGAGGTGGAGGTGCTGGTGGCGGAGGTGGAGGAGCGACAGCGTGTTTTGTTTGGCAGCCTGTCCAGTGGCGTCAGTGCAAAACAAAAACGCTTGGAGTGGGAGAAAGTTTGCGAGAGGGTGAATGCGGTGGGTTCCGAGACACGCACCCCCGCGGAGATTAAAAAAAAGTGGTCGGACCTCAAGGTGGAGGTCAAGCGGCGTACAGCTGCCCTCCGGAGGAGTACCGGCCAGACAGGTGGGGGTCCGGGGGAGGAGACCCTCACACCGTTTGAGCAGCGGGTGGTGGCGATTATTATTATAGGGTAAGTGGCGTGTCATACAAATGTCCACATGCTTTGTCATCCCACTGAGCAAAAGACGTATATTAGACGTCTAGTCTAAGTTTATACTTCATTTCAACGTCGGGATTCAGTCTATTTTTAGACGTGATTTATACTTCGCCCTTAACTTCATTTTTCGATAACTTTTTGTGCAATAAACAACTGTAATGTGCATAACTGACCTCGAAATACTGGATTACATTACCTATGATACCGTGGAGAGAGATGTAAACGCAACAGATACACAGAAGCAGGAATTGAAATGAACTAATATTTTTATTGTGTCACAGAAATTAATGTGTCGGCCGTGTCGCCGGCTTGCGGAACCCCGGCCCGCGGCAGCCCGTCCGCCGGCTCAGAGTCGTCGGCCAGGACCAGCGGCATTCGGGCCACCCCGGCCCCCGGCCCCAGCACCAGCGCGTCGACAAGCGGTGGAGCGTCCACCAGCCGCGGCGCTTCCACTGGACCACCCGGACGCAGTGGAAGGGTCCTCGCGGAGGGGGTCCTGCAATCGCAGGAAGAAATCATCAGGGGGATCGCGGGGATCAACGAGCGGCTGGACCGGCTCGTAAATTTCCTCGAGCGTCTGGTGGAGAAAATAAATTAATTTGGCTCATTGAACTGTGTATTCACTTCTTACCCATTCACACTGTGGCGATGAGATTCTCCCGCGCGAGGACGGTGGCCCGGCAGGGATCAGCTCGCATCCCTCCGTCTGCTGCTGGTTCGTCATGTGGGGCGACGTGCTGCCCGGTCACGGGGATGTGGTGCACGCTTGTCACATAGTGAGTCACCAAACACCGCCACACAGCGTCGCCAAAGTGCGAATCACAGTCAACGCAAATATCCAGCTCAACGCCAATTTCTACACCACCTCCTGACTTTGCGTTGATTAGCGCTGGAACCGACGCTCGTTTCGCGATGATAAATCTGGACGTGTGCGCCGATTTTGGCGTACGCAAGGTTTTCTTGCGCCGCAAGCGTTGATACATGAGGCCCCAGGTCTAATGCTGCTCTATGCCTCCAACATGCGTCAATTAACACAAAGAAGATCGTTCTAAACAGGATGTCAAGCACAAAAAACGTGCATGTCATCCAGTATTTCAAAATAAAACACCATATGCAGACTACTGACTGTGTATCAGTTTGTGTAGATGAGAAATATTTTCTGGTTATGGATTTATCAGTAACACAGAGCAGTTTGTTGGTCAATCCCTGATCCATGCAGACCCCAACAGGACTTTTAACTGCTAACTCTGTCCGAAGGTAACAGCACAGCATAAAGAAACATAGTTTACTTTCTTAAACACGAGTAAACCTGCAAAAACAGAAACTGTAAAACCACGTTGCTTTATCACATATACAGTAGTAGAGGCTCAACAGTTACTGAATTATATCCAAATTAGCAGGAAATAGACCACAGAAAGGCAAAACAACCTGTTGTGAGCATGTGTTGTTTCCTATATACTGAGCCCAGCTGACCGGGACTGCACTACGCTGCTGCTGTGCTCCAAATACACATCCTGTATGCAATACCCAGTGCCGCTCTACTAAGCAGATACCCGACACCGCTCATTACGGATCCTGTATGTTTTTGGGCTGAGTCTGACATAAGATCAGATTAACCGTCACCCTATCTGGAATATTAACTCTTTTTCCCCGCTCTTCACAGGTGGTCTCCATGTTCAGCTATAGGAGCTGTCTGCAGCCCATAAAGGGGGTTCTGGGTCTGCCCCTGGTCCTGGTTGTACTGGGTCCACTCCTTGCCCTTTCTGCCACCCCAGGAGACATTGATGGAGATGTGTTTGACCTGGAGAACTACGACCTGACCAATGAGATGGACTGGGACAACCTGGACGCCAACACTTACGGAGACAGCTACGATTATGACGAGCTGGACCAGGAGGTAGGTGTGTCTGTTTGTGTGTTTGTTTCTCTGTATAAACCTGTACAGTCTGAGGACACGACACTGATTCTTGAGAGATTCTGCAGTTTGATGTCAGGTGTGCGTTGACATCCAAAATGACAAATCAAAAGAGTTATGACTGAATAAAGGTGAACTTTCAATTATTGGCTGGCACATCTTTATATTTACTGATATATATATATATATATATATATATATATATATATATATTTTCACACACACCTGCCCTATTATTCCTGTATGGGTTCTTCTTTCTTTTTAGGGCCCGAGCGTAGCTGCTAAGCAGCTGCGAGAGCCCTCTTGTTCCTGATGGGTTCTTCTTTCTTCTTTCTTTCTTTCGTTCTTTCTTTAGGGCCCGACATAGCTGCTAAGCAGCTGCGAGAGCCCTATTATTCCTGTATGGTTCTTCTTTAGGGCCCGAGCCAGCTGCAGAGCAGCCGGGCGTAGAGCCCTATTATTCCTGAATGGTTCTTCTTTAGGGCCCGAGCGTAGCTGCTAAGCAGCTGCGAGAGCCCTCTTGTTCCTGCATGTTTCCTTCTTTCGTTAGGGCCCGAGCGTAGCTGCTAAGCAGCTGCGAGAGCCCTCTTGTTCCTGATGGATTCTTCTTTTTAGGGCCCGAGCGTAGCTGCTAAGCAGCTGCGAGAGCCCTCTTGTTCCTGATGGATTCTTCTTTCGTTATTTTTCCTCCGCTTTAAACTGGAAAATGGCCCACTTCCCACTGGCGAAAACTCAGGAAATTTGGCAGGACGACCGGGCCTGGTGAAAAATTTGATATTCTGAAGTCGCCCAAACAAAAAAATGAAAAATGGCTCCATAGCGCCCCCTATGGTGAAAATTCACCTGACGCCTGTACGCTTTGTCAAAATGACACAAAATTTGACACACATGTGTATCTCAATAAGACCTACAAAAAAGTCAGTGCGGGCGTATCTGTCAAATGTACGGTTAAAGGGCTATTTCGCATTTTTTGCCGATCCGCACACATTGGAATTTCGCTAACTCCTCCGAAGGCTTTCTTTCCACCGGCACCAAATTTGCTCAGGCCAATCTACACCCCATGGCCATTAAAAGTTGTACAAATCATGACGCTGCACCCCACGGTTTACGTTCTAGGGGGCGCCAAAGATAACCCAAAAATCCACATTCTTAAAAGTCTTATAACTTTTTATTTTTGTCCTCACTGGCCTCCAAGTTTTCTAGGATGATGCAATGTCCAGCCATCAACACATTTGTGAAGGAATTTTTACTCCCCAAAAGAGCGCCCCCCCATGGCAGGTGAAAAAAGTCCATTTTTTCTTGTCCCCTAACATGAAAATACACATTGTTGAGTGTCACGCCTATAAGCTTTGTCATATTGACCCAAAATTTGACAATCACGTGAATCTCAATAAGATCTACGAAAAAGTCAATGGGCACGTATCTGTAAAATGTACGGTTAAAGGGTTATTTCGCATTTTTTCCCGATCCGCACACATTGGAATTTCGCTAACTCCTCCGAAGGCTTTAGTTCCACCGCCACCAAATTTACTCAGGCCAATCTACACCCCATGGCCATTAAAAGTTGTACAAATCATGACGCTGCACTCCACGGTTTAGGTTCTAGGGGGCGCCAAAGATAACCCAAAAATCCACATTCTTAATAGTCTTATAACTTTTTATTTTTGTCCTCACTGGCCTCCAAGTTTTCTAGGATGATGCAATGTCCAGCCATCAACACATTTGTAAAGGAATTTTTACTCCCGAAAAGAGCGCCCCCCCATGGCAGGAGAAAAAAGTCCATTTTTTCTTGTCCCCTAAGGTGAAAAAACACATTGTTGACTGTCACGCCTATACGCTTTGTCAAAATGACACAAAATTTGACAATCACGTGCATCTCAATAAGATCTACGAAAAAGTCAATGGGCACGTATCTGTAAAATGTACGGTTAGAGGGTTATTTCGCATTTTTTGCAGATCTGCACACATTGGAATTTCGCTAACTCCTCCTAAGGCTTTCGTCCCACCGACACCAAATTTGCTCAAGCCGATCTACATCCCATGGCCATTCAAAGTTGTAAAAATCATGACGCTGCACCCCACGGTTTACGTTCTAGGGGGCGCCAAAGATGACCCAAATATCCACATTCTTAAAAGAATCCCCCCCCCCCCCCCCCAAGGCAGGAGAAAAAGTCAAGTTAACCCTGCCCATCGCTCAATGGCTCAATCGCATCGCTCTCCCGGCAACACCGTAACGAGGAGCAACTTGCCATTTGGATATATCCTAGCTGTGTTTGTGCCCTCACTCATGGATCAGACTTTTTTCAAATAGGACATGTAGTTTGTCTGCAGCGACCGTTTTGGTAGAAACTGTGCCTCCCATTCATTATAATGGGAAATGACCACAGACAAGTGCGCACACCATCTTCGGACCTTGAGTGTGACGCGATCGGGAGGAGGAGGCGGTCGCGCTGGGGGCAGCGCGACGCGGCGCGACGCGGCTCGGGCCCGACAGTGCCCCACCGGGGCCCTAGTTTTGGATTGGTTGTTGTGGTGAAGTTTTCCACCAATAGGAGAGATGTTGTGGTGTGTTTTTTTTTCCTTTGGCAAGCCTTTTCCGCCTGTAAGACCTGTCGCTAATGTCTGCATGCTATGTTTTCCTGTCTCATACAGCGCGATCGAGCGCCGAACGTGATCAAAATAAGCAGAAAAAAAGTATCGCGGACATAATTTATCATAACTCTGGTTTTATTTGGCCTATCAACACAATTTAAAAACTGGTATATAGGTTGAGGTCCTCACTTTTGAGATAAGTTGAAACGGAGTCAACGAGGCTCCGTCTTGCAGCTACATCCGGTTAAATATGTCATGTGACTTGAACGCACACACACACACACACACACACACAGACACACGCACACACACACACTCAGAGTCTGGTTTTTAGCACCTGCAAAAACATGCTATTTACATATTTGACAAGAATGCAGAGGCTCCTTTTGCCCCTGAAAAAAATCACATTTCAAACACAACTTGACTGGTCATTTCTCCAAAAGACAACCATGAAGCTCCATCCAAACCTGAAGCAGGCAGTTGGTGCATGTGTACAGTAACCTGAGGGGAGTGAGGTGAGTGCTTCTGAGGAGAACATGAGCAGTGAAGATTCACCTTACAGCTAGAACAGAGACGTGCACATGATTATACAGGGGCAGGGGCTCAAGTTTTTTCCAGTTGTTTATACAATATGGAAATTAATGTGAAATTAAAAAACAAAGTATTAATAGAAAGGTAATGACTGTCCTGAGTAGGTGACAGTGATATCCAATAGGCTAGGCACTCAAGAGGCTGGCTGTGGCAAGTGTAAGTGAAAGCAACACGCACTGGCAGGAAGAACAGCAAACGCCGATGAAGGAAAAGGGTCTTTGCAGTGATGGGCGTTACCAGAGAGGGCGATGGCCAGAGGACACAAATGGGACGGGGAGGCAGCGCGTTGGGGGGGGGGACGCGACACAGCTCGGGCCCGCCAGTGCCCCAACGGGGTCCTAGTGTTATTATTATTAGGGCCCGAGCGTAGCTGCTAAGCAGCTGCGAGAGCCCTCTTGTTCCTGTAGTTTCCTTCTTTTGTTATTATTATTTTTCCTCCCCTTTGAACTGGAAAATGGCCCACTTCCCACTGGCGAAAACTCATGAAATTTGGCAGGATGACCGGGCCTGGTGAAAAATTTGATATTCCGAAGTCGCCCAAACAAGAAAATGCAAAATGGCTCCATAGCGCCCCCTAAGGTGAAAATTCACACTATTGACTGTCACGCCTTTACGCTTTGTCATATTGACACAAAAATTGACACACACATGTATCTCAATAAGATCTACAAAAAAGTCAGTGCGGGCGTATCTGTCAAATGTACGGTTAAAGGGTTATTGCGCATTTTTTGCCGACCCGCACACATTGGAATTTCGCTAACTCCTCCGAAGGCTTTCGTTCCACCGGCACCACATTTGCTCAGGCCAATCTACACCCCATTGGCCATTAAAAGTTATTCAAATCATGACGCTGCACCCCACGGTTTAGGTTCTAGGGGGCGCCAAAGATAACCCTAAAATCCACATATTTAAAAGTCTTATAACTTTTTATTTTTGACCTCACTGGCCTCCAAGTTTTCTAGGATGATGCAATGTCCAGCCATCAACACATTTGTGAAGGAATTTTTAATCCCCAAAAGAGCGCCCCCCCATGGCAGGAGAAAAAAGTCCATTTTTTCTTGTCCCCTAAGGTGAAAATACACATTGTTGAGTGTCACGCCTGTACGCTTTGTCATATTGACACAAAATTTGACACACACATGTATCTCAATAAGATCTACGAAAAAGTCAATGCGCGCGTATCTGTCAAATGTACGGTTAAAGGGTTATTCCGCATTTTTTGCTGATCCGCACACATTGGAATTTCGCTAACTCCTCCTAAGGCTGGCGTTCCACCGGCACCACATTTGCTCAGGCCAATCTACACCCCATGGTCATTAAAAGTTATTCAAATCATGACGCTGCACCCCATGATTTAGGTTCTAGGGGGCGCCAAAGATAACCCTAAAATCCACATATTTCAAAGTCTTATAACTTTTTATTTTTGTCCTCACTGGCCTCCAAGTTTTCTAGGATGATGCAATGTCCAGCCATCAACACATTTGTGAAGGAATTTTTACTCCCCAAAAGAGCGCCCCCCCATGGCAGGAGAAAAAAGTCCATTTTTTCTTGTCCCATAAGGTGAAAAAACACATTGTTGACTGTCATACCTGTACGCTTTGTCATATTGACACAAAATTTGACAATCACATGTATCTCAATAAGATCTACGAAAAAGTCAATGCGCGCGTATCTGTAAAATGTACGGTTAAAGGGCTATTTTGCATTTTTTGCCGATTCGCACACATTGGAATGTGGCTAACTCCTCCTAAGGCTTTCGTCCCACTGACACCAAATTTGCTCAGGCCAATCTACACCCCATGGTCATTCAAAGTTGTAAAAATCATGACGCTGCACCCCACGGTTTACGTTCTAGGGGGCGCCAAAGATGACCCAAATATCCACATTCTTAAAAGAATCCACATCCCCCCCCCCCCCCCCCCATCCCCCAACCCCCATGGCAGGAGAAACAGTCAAGTTTTTCCTGCCCATCACTCAATGGCTCAATCGCATCACTCTCCCGGCAACACCGTAACAAGGAGCAACTTGCCGTTTGGATATATCCTAGCTGTGTTTGTGCCCTCACTCATGGTCCAGACTTTTTTCAAATAGGACATGTAGTATGTCTGCAGCGAGTGTTTTGGTAGAAACTGCGCCTCCCATTCATTATAATGGGAAATGACCACAGACAAGTGCGCACACCATCTTTGGACCTTGAGTGTGACGCGATCGGGAGGGGGAGGCGGTCGCGCTGGGGGCGGCGCGACGCGGCTCGGGCCCGACAGTGCCCCACCGGGGCCCTAGTTATTATTATTTTTCCTCCGCTTTAAACTGGAAAATGGCCCACTTCCCACTGGCGAAAACTCAGGAAATTTGGCAGGACGACCGGGCCTGGTGAAAAATTCGATATTCTGAAGTCGCCCAAACAATAAAATGCAAAATGGCTCCATAGCGCCCCCTAAGGTGAAAATTCACACTATTGACTGTCACGCCTGTATGCTTTGTCATATTGACACAAAAATTGACACACACATGTATCTCAATAAGATCTACAAAAAAGTCAGTGCGGGCGTATCTGTCAAATGTACGGTTAAAGGGTTATTTTGCATTTTTTGCAGATCCGCACACATTGGAATTTCGCTAACTCCTCCGAAGGCTTTCGTTCCACCGGCACCACATTTGCTCAGGCCAATCTACACTCCATGGCCATTCAAAGTTGTACAAATCATAATGCTGCACCCCATGGTTTAGGTTCTAGGGGGCGCCAAAAATAACCCAAAAATCCACATTCTTAAAAGTTTTATAATTTTTTTTTTTGTCCTCACTGGCCTCCAAGTTTTCTAGGATGATGCAATGTCCAGCCATCAACACATTTGTGAAGGAATTTTTACTCCCCAAAAGAGCGCCCCCCCATGGCAGGACAAAAAAGTCCATTTTTTCTTGTCCCCTAAGGTGAAAATACACATTGTTGAGTGTCACGCCTGTACGCTTTGTCGTATTGACAAAAAATTTGACACACACGTGTATCTCAATAAGATCTACGAAAAAGTCAATGGGCGCGTATCTGTAAAATGTACGGCTAAAGGGCTATTTTGCATTTTTTGCCGATTCGCACACATTGGAATGTGGCTAACTCCTCCTAAGGCTTTCGTCCCACTGACACCAAATTTGCTCAGGCCAATCTACACCCCATGGCCATTCAAAGTTGTAAAAATCATGCCGCTGCACCCCATGGTTTACGTTCTAGGGGGCGCCAAAGATGACCCAAATATCCACATTCTTAAAAGTCGTTTTGGCCACTGCAGGAGTACAGAGTACTGCAGGATACACACACACAGACACACACACACACACACACACACACACACACACACACACACACACACACACTCAGAGTCTGTTTTTTAGCACCTGCAAAAACATGCTATTTACATATTTGACAACAATGCAGAGGCTTCCTTTTGCCCCTGAAAAAAATCAAATTTCTAACACAACTTGACTGCTCATTTCTCCAAAAGACAACCATGAAGCTCCATCCAAACCTGAAGCAGGCAGTTGGTGCATGTGTACAGTAACCTGAGGGGAGTGAGGTGACTGCTTCTGAGGAGAACATGAGCAGTGAAGATTCACCTTGGAGCGAGAACAGGGACGTGCACATGATTATACAGGGGCAGGGGCTCAAGTTTTTTCCAGTCGTTTATACAATATGGAAATTAATGTGAAATTAAAAAACAAAGTATTAATAGAAAGGTAATGACTGTCCTGTGTAGGTGACAGTGATATCCAATAGGCTAGGCACTCACGAGGCTGGCTGTGGCAAGTGTAAGTGAAAGCAACACGCACTGGCAGGAAGAACAGCAAACGCCGATGAAGGAAAAGGGTCTTTGCAGTGATGGGCGTTACCAGAGAGGACGATGGCCAGAGGACGCGAATGGGACGGGGAGGCAGCGCGTTGGGGGGGGGGGGGGGGGTGGCGACACAGCTCGGGCCCGCCAGTGCCCCAACGGGGCCCTAGTGTTATTATTAGGGCCCGAGCCAGCTGCAGAGCAGCCGGGCGTAGGCCCTATTATTCCCCAAGTGGTTTTTCTTTGTTTCTTTAGGGCCCGAGCCAGCTGCAGAGCAGCCGGGCGTAGGCCCTATTATTCCCCAAGTGGTTTTTCTTTGTTTCTTTCTTTCTTTCTTTCTTTCTTTCTTTCTTCTTTTTCCTCCCCTTTGAACTGGAAAATGGCCCACTTCCCACTGGCGAAAACTCATGAAATTTGGCAGGACGACCGGGCCTGGTGAAAAATTCGATATTCTGAAGTCGCCCAAACAATAAAATGCAAAATGGCTCCATAGCGCCCCCTAAGGTGGAAATTCACACTATTGACTGTCACGCCTGTACGCTTTGTCATATTGACACAAAAATTGACACACATATGTATCTCAATAAGATCTACAAAAAAGTCAGTGCGGCCGTATCTGTCAAAATTACGGTTAAAGGGTTATTTCGCATTTTTTGCCGATCCGCACACATTGGAATTTCGCTAACTCCTCCGAAGGCTTTCGTTCCACCGGCACCACATTTGCTCAGGCCAATCTACACCCCGTGGCCACTAAAAGTTATCAAAATCATGACGCTGCACCCCAAGGTTTAGGTTCTAGGGGGCGCCAAAGATAACACTAAAATCCACATATTTAAAAGTCTTATAACTTTTTATTTTTGTCCTCACTGGCCTCCAAGTTTTCTAGGATGATGCAATGTCCAGCCATCAACACATTTGTGAAGGAATTTTTACTCCCCAAAAGAGCGCCCCCCCATGGCAGGAGAAAAAAGTCCATTTTTTCTTGTCCCCTAAGGTGAAAATACACATTGTTGAGTGTCACGCCTGTACGCTTTGTCAAAATGACACAAAAATTGACACACACATGTAACTCAATAAGATCTACAAAAAAGTCCATGCGCGCGTATCTGTCAAATGTACAGTTAAAGGGTTATTCCGCATTTTTTGCCGATACGCACACATTGGAATTTCGCTAACTCCTCCGAAGGCTTTCGTTCCACCGGCACCACATTTGCTCAGGCCAATCTACACCCCATGGCCATTAAAAGTTATTCAAATCATGATGCTGCACCCCATGGTTTAGGTTCTAGGGGGCGCCAAAAATAACCCAAAAATCCACATTCTTAAATGTTTTATAACTTTTTATTTTTGTCCTCACTGGCCTCCAAGTTTTCTAGGATGATGCAATGTCCAGCCATCAACACATTTGTGAAGGAATTTTTACTCCCCAAAAGAGCGCCCCCCCATGGTAGGAGAAAAAAGTCAATTTTTTCTTGTCCCCTTACATAAAAATACACATTGTTGAGTGTCACGCCTGAACGCTTTGTCATATTGACACAAAAATTGACAATCATGTGTATCTCAATTAGATCTACGAAAAAGTCAGAGAGCGCGTATCTGTATAATGTACGGTTAAAGGGCTATTTTGCATTTTCTGCCGATTCGCACACATTGGAATGTGGCTATCTCCTCCTAAGGCTTTCGTCCCACCGATACCAAATTTGCTCAGGGCAATCTACACCCCATGCCCATTCAAAGTTGTAAAAATCATGACGCTGCACCCCACGGTTTACGTTCTAGGGGGCGCCAAAGATGACCCAAAAATCCACATTCTTAAAAGTCATTTTGGCCACTGCAGGAGTACAGAGTACTGCAGTTCTAGGGGGCGCCAAAGATGACCCAAAAATCCACATTCTTAAAAGTCTTTTTGGCCACTGCAGGAGTACAGAGTACTGCAGGATACACACACATATACACACACGCCAACATACACACACACACACACACACACACACACACACACACACACACACACACACACACACTCAGAGTCTGTTTTTTAGCACCTGCAAAAACATGCTGTTTACATATTTGACAAGAATGCAGAGGCTTCCTTTTGCCCCTGAAAAAAATCAAATTTCAAACACAACTTGACTGTTCATTTCTCCAAAAGACAACCATGAAGCTCCATTTCAAACCTGAAGCAGATAGTTGGTGCATGTGTACAGTAACCTGAGGGGAGTGAGGTGACTATTTCTGAGGAGAACATGAGCAGTGAAGATTCACCTTGGAGCTAGAACAGGGACGTGCACATGATTATACAGGGGCAGGGGCTCAAGTTTTTTCCAGTCATTTATACAATATGGAAATTAATGTGAAATTAAACCACAAATATGTGTGATGAACTGTTTTTAAAACTTAAACTTCAAATAAAAATTGTAAACTTCAAAACATATGCAAATTTTTAACAAAGAACATAGTGATTTACCTCTATTTACATCAAAATGCAGGCAATGGCCCAGGCGTTCTTTGTAAAATTATTTACAAAACACTGTATAGTCTCACAAATGTCACTTTTTATTTATGCCACTACAAAAAAACATGATGTAAATGATGTATGATGTAGAACATGATGTAAAAAACTTGTGTAGATCCTCCTCTATGTCAGTCCATGTGTAATTTTTCCATAATTCTTAGTTTTTTGCAGCATTTTTGTCAGTGTAACTGCAGATTGTGCTGACAGTGTCTATGGCACAAAAAAAAATAAAATTAAAATGCCTCAACATGAACCCCTGGTGGTCTCTGAGGGTGAAACCTGCTAACTGCTGCAGCTCTGTCAGCTTCAGTCTCCCATGCAGAGCTCTGAGCGCATGTGTGGCTCTGCACCCTTAGCAGCGTTGCTAACTCCTCAGTAAGGAAAGCCTGCTTCATGTCAGAGTCTCTAAACTCCAGAAGAAGTCGATAAAAGTCCCTTTCTTTCTAAAAAAAGTCGTTAGGGGGTCTGAAAAGTCATTGAATCTAACAACAAAGTCGCTAGGTTTGCAACTACGTGTCCCAGACTGCATCCCTGCTGAGAGTCCCTCCCTCCCTTCTCATGTTGCAGGAAGAACGTAAGCGCCCGCCCCTTGTCAATCAGTCACCATATAATTTTGGATTGGTTGTTGTGGTGAAGTTTTCCACCAATAGGAGAGATGTTGTGGTGTGTTTTTTTTTTCTTTTGGCAAGCCTTTTCCGCCTGTAAGACCTGTCGCTAATGTCTGCATGCTATGTTTTCCTGTCTCATACAGCGCGATCGAGCGCCGAACGTGATCAAAATAAGCAGAAAAAAAGTATCGCGGACATAATTTATCATAACTCTGGTTTTATTTGGCCTATCAACACAATTTAAAAACTGGTATATAGGTTGAGGTCCTCACTTTTGAGATAAGTTGAAACGGAGAGTCAACAAGGCTCCGTCTTGCAGCTACATCCGGTTAAATATGTCATGTGACTTGAACGCACACACAGACACACACACACGCACACACACACACACACACACACACACACACACACACACACACACTCAGAGTCTGGTTTTTAGCACCTGCAAAAACATGCTATTTACATATTTGACAAGAATGCAGAGGCTCCTTTTGCCCCTGAAAAAAATCAAATTTCAAACACAACTTGACTGGTCATTTCTCCAAAAGACAACCATGAAGCTCCATCCAAACCTGAAGCAGGCAGTTGGTGCATGTGTACAGTAACCTGAGGGGAGTGAGGTGAGTGCTTCTGAGGAGAACATAAGCAGTGAAGATTCACCTTGGAGCTAGAACAGAGACATGCACATGATTATACAGGGGCAGGGGCTCAAGTTTTTTCCAGTCGTTTATACAATATGGAAATTAATGTGAAATTAAAACACAAAGTATTAATAGAAAGGTAATGACTGTCCTGTGTAGGTGACAGTGATATCCAATAGGCTAGGCACTCACGAGGCTGGCTGTGGCAAGTGTAAGTGAAAGCAACACGCACTGGCAGGAAGAACAGCAAACGCCGATGAAGGAAAAGGGTCTTTGCAGTGATGGGCGTTACCAGAGAGGGCGATGGCCAGAGGACACAAATGGGACGGGGAGGCAGCACGTTGGGGGGGGGGGGGGGGGGGACGCGACACGGCTCGGGCCCGCCAGTGCCCCAACGGGGTCCTAGTTCTTTCTTTCTTTCTTCTTTTTCCTCCCCTTTGAACTGGAAAATGGCCCACTTCCCACTGGCGAAAACTCATGAAATTTGGCAGGACGACCGGGCCTGGTGAAAAATTCGATATTCTGAAGTCGCCCAAACAATAAAATGCAAAATGGCTCCATAGCGCCCCCTAAGGTGGAAATTCAAACTATTGACTGTCACGCCTGTACGCTTTGTCAAAATGACACAAAAATTGACACACACATGTATCTCAATAAGATCTACAAAAAAGTCAGTGCGGGCGTATCTGTCAAATGTACGGTTAAAGGGTTATTTCGCATTTTTTGCCGATCCGCACACATTGGAATTTCGCTAACTCCTCCGAAGGCTTTCGTTCCACCGGCACCACATTTGCTCAGGCCAATCTACACCCCATGGCCATTAAAAGTTATTCAAATCATGACGCTGCACCCCACGGTTTAGGTTCTAGGGGGCGCCAAAGATAACCCTAAAATCCACATATTTAAAAGTCTTATAACTTTTTATTTTTGCCCTCACTGGCCTCCAAGTTTTCTAGGATGATGCAATGTCCAGCCATCAACACATTTGTGAAGGAATTTTTACTCCCCAAAAGAGCGCCCCCCCATGGCAGGAGAAAAAAGTCAATTTTTTCTTGTCCCCTAAGGTGAAAATACACATTGTTGAGTGTCACGTCTGTACGCTTTGTCAAAATGACACAAAAATTGACACACACATGTATCTCAATAAGATCTACAAAAAAGTCCATGCGCGCGTATCTGTCAAATGTACGGTTAAAGGGTTATTCCGCATTTTTTGCCGATTCGCACACATTGGAATTTCGCTAACTCCTCCGAAGGCTTTCGTTCCACCGGCACCACATTTGCTCAGGCCAATCTACACCCCATGGCCATTAAAAGTTATTCAAATCATGACGCTGCACCCCACGGTTTACGTTCTAGGGGGCGCCAAAGATAACCCAAAAATCCACATTTTTAAAAGTCTTATAACTTTTTATTTTTGTCCTCACTGGCCTCCAAGTTTTCTAGGATGATGCAATGTCCAGCCATCAACACATTTGTGAAGGAATTTTTACTCCCTAAAAGAGCGCCCCCCCATGGCAGGAGAAAAAAGTCCATTTTTTCTTGTCCCCTAAGGTGAAAATACACATTGTTGACTGTCACGCCTGTACGCTTTGGCAAAATGACACAAAAATTGACAATCATGTGTATCTCAATTAGATCTACGAAAAAGTCAAAGAGCGCGTATCTGTATAATGTACGGTAAAAGGGCTATTTTGCATTTTTTGCCAATTCGCACACATTGGAATGTGGCTAACTCCTCCTAAGGCTTTCGTCCCACTGACACCAAATTTGCTCAGGCCAATCTACACTCCATGGCCATTCAAAGTTGTAAAAATCATGACGCTGCACCCCAGCACAACCTCACCTGTGTCAATTTACAGTTATTTTATCATTTTGACATACTATATTTACACATTGGACCCAAATTCACACACAAAACATAAAATCCGAGTGGAAAAAAGTAACGTTTTTACTGTGAAAACCACAAATATGTGTGATGAACTGTTTTTAAAACTTAAACTTCAAATAAAAATTGTAAACTTCAAAACATATGCAAATTTTTAACAAAGAACATAGTAATTTACCTCTATTTACATCAAAATGCAGGCAATGGCCCAGGTGTTCTTTGTAAAATTATTTACAAAACACTGTATAGTCTCACAAATGTCACTTTTTATTTATGCCACTACAAAAAAACATGATGTAAATGATGCATGATGTAAAACATGATGTAAAAAACTTGTGTAGATCCTCCTCTATGTTAGTCCATGTGTAATTTTTCCATAATTCTTTGTTTTTTGCAGCATTTTTGTTAGTGTAACTGCAGATTGTGCTGACAGTGTCTATGGCAAAAAAAAAAAAAAACTGAAAATGCCTCAACATGAACCCCTGGTGGTCTCTGAGGGTGAAACCTGCTAACTGCTGCAGCTCTGTCAGCTTCAGTCTCCCATGCAGAGCTCGGAGCGCATGTGTGGCTCTGCACCCTTAGCAGCGTTGCTAACTCCTCAGTAAGGAAAGCCTGCTTCATGTCAGAGTCTCTAAACTCCAGAAGAAGTCGATAAAAGTCACTTTCTTTCTAAAAAAAAAGTCGTTAGGGGGTCTGAAAAGTCATTGAATCTAACAACAAAGTCGCTAGGTTTGCAACTACGTGTCCCAGACTGCATCCCTGCTGAGAGTCCCTCCCTCCCTTCTCATGTTGCAGGAAGAACGTAAGCGCCCGCCCCTTGTCAATCAGTCACCATATAATTTTGGATTGGTTGTTGTGGTGAAGTTTTCCACCAATAGGAGAGATGTTGTGGTGTGTTTTTTTTTCCTTTGGCAAGCCTTTTCCGCCTGTAAGACCTGTCGCTAATGTCTGCATGCTATGTTTTCCTGTCTCATACAGCGCGATCGAGCGCCGAACGTGATCAAAATAAGCAGAAAACAAGTATCGCGGACATAATTTATCATAACTCTGGTTTTATTTGGCCTATCAACACAATTTAAAAACTGGTATATAGGTTGAGGTCCTCACTTTTGAGATAAGTTGAAACGGAGTCAACGAGGCTCCGTCTTGCAGCTACATCCGGTTAAATATGTCATGTGACTTGAACGCACACACACACACACACACACACACACAGACACACACACACACGCACACACACACACTCAGAGTCTGGTTTTTAGCACCTGCAAAAACATGCTATTTACATATTTGACAAGAATGCAGAGGCTCCTTTTGCCCCTGAAAAAAATCAAATTTCAAACACAACTTGACTGGTCATTTCTCCAAAAGACAACCATGAAGCTCCATCCAAACCTGAAGCAGGCAGTTGGTGCATGTGTACAGTAACCTGAGGGGAGTGAGGTGACTGCTTCTGAGGAGAACATGAGCAGTGAAGATTCACCTTAGAGCTAGAACAGAGACGTGCACATGATTATACAGGGGCAGGGGCTCAAGTTTTTTCCAGTTGTTTATACAATATGGAAATTAATGTGAAATTAAAACACAAAGTATTAATAGAAAGTTAATGACTGTCCTGAGTAGGTGACAGTGATATCCAATAGGCTAGGCACTCAAGAGGCTGGCTGTGGCAAGTGTAAGTGAAAGCAACACACACTGGCAGGAAGAACAGCAAACGCCGATGAAGGAAAAGGGTCTTTGCAGTGATGGGCGTTACCAGAGAGGACGATGGCCAGAGGACACAAATGGGACGGGGAGGCAGCGCGTTGGGGGGGGGACGCGACACAGCTCGGGCCCGCCAGTGCCCCAACGGGGTCCTAGTTAGGGCCCGAGCGTAGCTGCTAAGCAGCTGCGAGAGCCCTATTATTCCCCAAGTGGTTTTTCTTTGTTTCTTTCTTTCTTTCTTTCTTTCTTTCTTTCTTTCTTCTTTTTCCTCCCCTTTGAACTGGAAAATGGCCCACTTCCCACTGGCGAAAACTCATGAAATTTGGCAGGACGACCGGGCCTGGTGAAAAATTCGATATTCTGAAGTCGCCCAAACAATTAAATGCAAAATGGCTCCATAGCGCCCCCTAAGGTGGAAATTCACACTATTGACTGTCACGCCTGTACGCTTTGTCATATTGACACAAAAATTGACACACATATGTATCTCAATAAGATCTACAAAAAAGTCAGTGCGGCCGTATCTGTCAAATGTACGGTTAAAGGGTTATTTCGCATTTTTTTCCGATCCGCACACATTGGAATTTCGCTAACTCCTCCGAAGGCTTTCGTTCCACCGGCACCACATTTGCTCAGGCCAATCTACACCCCGTGGCCATTAAAAGTTATCAAAATCATGACGCTGCACCCCAAGGTTTAGGTTCTAGGGGGCGCCAAAGATAACACTAAAATCCACATATTTAAAAGTCTTATAACTTTTTATTTTTGTCCTCACTGGCCTCCAAGTTTTCTAGGATGATGCAATGTCCAGCCATCAACACATTTGTGAAGGAATTTTTACTCCCCAAAAGAGCGCCCCCCCATGGCAGGAGAAAAAAGTCCATTTTTTCTTGTCCCCTAAGGTGAAAATACACATTGTTGAGTGTCACGCCTATACGCTTTGTCAAAATGACACAAAAATTGACACACACATGTAACTCAATAAGATCTACGAAAAAGTCAATGCGCGCGTATCTGTCAAATGTACGGTTAAAGGGTTATTCCGCATTTTTTGCCGATCCGCACACATTGGAATTTCGCTAACTCCTCCGAAGGCTTTCTGTCCACCGGCACCACATTTGCTCAGGCCAATCTACACCCCATGGCCATTAAAAGTTATCAAAATCATGACGCTGCACCCCACGGTTTAGGTTCTAGGGGGCGCCAAAGACAACCCTAAAATCCACATATTTAACTTATAACTTTTTATTTTTGTCCTCACTGGCCTCCAAGTTTTCTAGGATGATGCAATGTCCAGCCATCAACACATTTGTGAAGGAATTTTTACTCCCCAAAAGAGCGCCCCCCCATGGCAGGAGAAAAAAGTCCATTTTTTCTTGTCCCCTAAGGTGAAAATACATATTGTTGAGATTCACGCCTATACGCTTTGTCATATTGACACAAAATTTGACAATCACGTGCCTTGCCTGGTATCATTTTTTTTCAGCACAACCTCACCTGTGCGAATTTACAGTTATTTTATCATGTTGACATACTGAATTTACACAATGGACCCAAATTCACACACAAAACATAAAATCCGAGTGGAAAAAAGTAACATTTTTACTGTGAAAACCACAAATATGTGTGATGAACTGTTTTTAAAACTTAAACTTCAAATAAAAATTGTAAACTTCAAAACATATGCAAATTTTTAACAAAGAACATAGTGATTTACCTCTATTTACATCAAAATGCAGGCAATGGCCCAGGCGTTCTTTGTAAAATTATTTACAAAACACTGTATAGTCTCACAAATGTCACTTTTTATTTATGCCACTACAAAAAAACATGATGTAAATGATGCATGATGTAAAACATGATGTAAAAAACTTGTGTAGATCCTCCTCTATGTCAGTCCATGTGTAATTTTTCCATAATTCTTTGTTTTTTGCAGCATTTTTGTTAGTGTAACTGCAGATTGTGCTGACAGTGTCTATGGCACAAAAAAAAAAAAAATTAAAATGCCTCAACATGAACCCCTGGTGGTCTCTGAGGGTGAAACCTGCTAACTGCTGCAGCTCTGTCAGCTTCAGTCTCCCATGCAGAGCTCTGAGCGCATGTGTGGCTCTGCACCCTTAGCAGCGTTGCTAACTCCTCAGTAAGGAAAGCCTGCTTCATGTCAGAGTCTCTAAACTCCAGAAGAAGTCGATAAAAGTCCCTTTCTTTCTAAAAAAAAGTCGTTAGGGGGTCTGAAAAGTCATTGAATCTAACAACAAAGTCGCTAGGTTTGCAACTACGTGTCCCAGACTGCATCCCTGCTGAGAGTCCCTCCCTCCCTTCTCATGTTGCAGGAAGAACGTAAGCGCCCGCCCCTTGTCAATCAGTCACCATATAATTTTGGATTGGTTGTTGTGGTGAAGTTTTCCACCAATAGGAGAGATGTTGTGGTGTTTTTTTTTTCTTTTGGCAAGCCTTTTCCGCCTGTAAGACCTGTCGCTAATGTCTGCATGCTATGTTTTCCTGTCTCATACAGCGCGATCGAGCGCCGAACGTGATCAAAATAAGCAGAAAAAAAGTATCGCGGACATAATTTATCATAACTCTGGTTTTATTTGGCCTATCAACACAATTTAAAAACTGGTATATAGGTTGAGGTCCTCACTTTTGAGATAAGTTGAAACGGAGAGTCAACGAGGCTCCGTCTTGCAGCTACATCCGGTTAAATATGTCATGTGACTTGAACGCACACACAGACACACACACGCACACACACACACACACACACACACACACACACACACACACACACACACACTCAGAGTCTGGTTTTTAGCACCTGCAAAACATGCTATTTACATATTTGACAAGAATGCAGAGGCTCCTTTTGCCCCTGAAAAAAATCAAATTTCAAACACAACTTGACTGGTCATTTCTCCAAAAGACAACCATGAAGCTCCATCCAAACCTGAAGCAGGCAGTTGGTGCATGTGTACAGTAACCTGAGGGGAGTGAGGTGAGTGCTTCTGAGGAGAACATGAGCAGTGAAGATTCACCTTGGAGCTAGAACAGAGACATGCACATGATTATACAGGGGCAGGGGCTCAAGTTTTTTCCAGTCGTTTATACAATATGGAAATTAATGTGAAATTAAAACACAAAGTATTAATAGAAAGGTAATGACTGTCCTGTGTAGGTGACAGTGATATCCAATAGGCTAGGCACTCACGAGGCTGGCTGTGGCAAGTGTAAGTGAAAGCAACACGCACTGGCAGGAAGAACAGCAAACGCCGATGAAGGAAAAGGGTCTTTGCAGTGATGGGCGTTACCAGAGAGGGCGATGGCCAGAGGACACAAATGGGACGGGGAGGCAGCGCGTTGGGGGGGGACGCGACACGGCTCGGGCCCGCCAGTGCCCCAACGGGGTCCTAGTTATTATTTTTCCTCCCCTTTGAACTGGAAAATGGCCCACTTCCCACTGGCGAAAACTCATGAAATTTGGCAGGACGACCGGGCCTGGTGAAAAATTTGATATTCCGAAGTCGCCCAAACAAGAAAATGCAAAATGGCTCCATAGCGCCCCCTAAGGTGAAAATTCACACTATTGACTGTCACGCCTGTACGCTTTGTCAAAATGACACAAAAATTGACACACACATGTATCTCAATAAGATCTACAAAAAAGTCAGTGCGGGCGTATCTGTCAAATGTACGGTTAAAGGGTTATTTTGCATTTTTTGCCGATCCGCACACATTGGAATTTCGCTAACTCCTCCGAAGGCTTTCGTTCCACCGGCACCACATTTGCTCAGGCCAATCTACACCCCATGGCCATTAAAAGTTATTCAAATCATGACGCTGCACCCCACGGTTTAGGTTCTAGGGGGCGCCAAAGATAACCCTAAGATCCACATATTTAAAAGTCTTATAACTTTTTATTTTTGTCCCCACTGGCCTCCAAGTTTTCTAGGATGATGCAATGTCCAGCCATCAACACATTTGTGAAGGAATTTTTACTCCCCAAAAGAGCGCCCCACCATGGCAGGAGAAAAAAGTCCATTTTTTCTTGTCCCCTAAGGTGAAAATACACATTGTTGAGTGTAACACCTGTACGCTTTGGCAAAATGACACCAAAATTGACACACACATGTATCTCAATAAGATCTACAAAAAAGTCAATGCGCGCGTATCTGTCAAATGTACGGTTAAAGGGTTATTCCGCATTTTTTGCCGATCCGCACACATTGGAATTTCGCTAACTCCTCCGAAGGCTTTCGTTCCACCGGCACCACATTTGCTCAGGCCAATCTACACCCCATGGCCATTAAAAGTTATTCAAATCATGACGCTGCACCCCACGGTTTAGGTTCTAGGGGGCGCCAAAGATAACCCTAAAATCCACATATTTAAAAGTCTTATAACTTTTTATTTTTGTCCTCACTGGCCTCCATGTTTTCTAGGATGATGCAATGTCCAGCCATCAACACATTTGTGAAGGAGTTTTTTCTCGTTAAAAGAGCGCCCCCCCATGGCAGGAGAATAAAGTCAAGTTTTTCCTGTTCATCATTCAATGGCTCAAACGCACTGCTCTCTCGGCAAAAGCGAAAGGAGGAGCAACTTGCCATTTGGATATATCTTAGCTGTGTTTGTGACCTCACTCATGGTCCAGACTTTTTTCAAATAGGAAAAATGCAAAATAACCCTTTAACCCGAGCGTAGCTGCTAAGCAGCTGCGAGAGCCCTCTTGTTCCTGATGGATTCTTCTTTTGTTATTATTATTATTATTATTATTTTTCCTCCGCTTTAAACTGGAAAATGGCCCACTTCCCACTGGCGAAAACTCAGGAAATTTGGCAGGACGACCGGGCCTGGTGAAAAATTCGATATTCTGAAGTCGCCCAAACAATAAAATGCAAAATGGCTCCATAGCGCCCCCTAAGGTGAAAATTCACACTATTGACTGTCACGCCTGTATGCTTTGTCATATTGACACAAAAATTGACACACACATGTATCTCAATAAGATCTACAAAAAAGTCAGTGCGGGCGTATCTGTCAAATGTACGGTTAAAGGGTTATTTTGCATTTTTTGCAGATCCGCACACATTGGAATTTCGCTAACTCCTCCGAAGGCTTTCGTTCCACCGGCACCACATTTGCTCAGGCCAATCTACACTCCATGGCCATTCAAAGTTGTACAAATCATAATGCTGCACCCCATGGTTTAGGTTCTAGGGGGCGCCAAAAATAACCCAAAAATCCACATTCTTAAAAGTTTTATAATTTTTTTTTTTGTCCTCACTGGCCTCCAAGTTTTCTAGGATGATGCAATGTCCAGCCATCAACACATTTGTGAAGGAATTTTTACTCCCCAAAAGAGCGCCCCCCCATGGCAGGACAAAAAAGTCCATTTTTTCTTGTCCCCTAAGGTGAAAATACACATTGTTGAGTGTCACGCCTGTACGCTTTGTCGTATTGACAAAAAAATTGACACACACGTGTATCTCAATAAGATCTACGAAAAAGTCAATGGGCGCGTATCTGTAAAATGTACGGCTAAAGGGCTATTTTGCATTTTTTGCCGATTCGCACACATTGGAATGTGGCTAACTCCTCCTAAGGCTTTCGTCCCACTGACACCAAATTTGCTCAGGCCAATCTACACCCCATGGCCATTCAAAGTTGTAAAAAACATGCCGCTGCACCCCATGGTTTACGTTCTAGGGGGCGCCAAAGATGACCCAAATATCCACATTCTTAAAAGTCGTTTTGGCCACTGCAGGAGTACAGAGTACTGCAGGATACACACACACAGACACACACACACACAGACACACACACACACACACACACACACACACACACACTCAGAGTCTGTTTTTTAGCACCTGCAAAAACATGCTATTTACATATTTGACAACAATGCAGAGGCTTCCTTTTGCCCCTGAAAAAAATCAAATTTCTAACACAACTTGACTGCTCATTTCTCCAAAAGACAACCATGAAGCTCCATCCAAACCTGAAGCAGGCAGTTGGTGCATGTGTACAGTAACCTGAGGGGAGTGAGGTGACTGCTTCTGAGGAGAACATGAGCAGTGAAGATTCACCTTGGAGCGAGAACAGGGACGTGCACATGATTATACAGGGGCAGGGGCTCAAGTTTTTTCCAGTCGTTTATACAATATGGAAATTAATGTGAAATTAAAAAACAAAGTATTAATAGAAAGGTAATGACTGTCCTGTGTAGGTGACAGTGATATCCAATAGGCTAGGCACTCACGAGGCTGGCTGTGGCAAGTGTAAGTGAAAGCAACACGCACTGGCAGGAAGAACAGCAAACGCCGATGAAGGAAAAGGGTCTTTGCAGTGATGGGCGTTACCAGAGAGGACGATGGCCAGAGGACGCGAATGGGACGGGGAGGCAGCGCGTGGGGGGGGGGTGGCGACACAGCTCGGGCCCGCCAGTGCCCCAACGGGGCCCTAGTGTTATTATTAGGGCCCGAGCGTAGCTGCTAAGCAGCTGCGAGAGCCCTCTTGTTCCTGATGGATTCTTCTTTCGTTATTTTTCCTCCGCTTTAAACTGGAAAATGGCCCACTTCCCACTGGCGAAAACTCAGGAAATTTGGCAGGACGACCGGGCCTGGTGAAAAATTTGATATTCTGAAGTCGTCCAAACAAAAAAACGAAAAATGGCTCCATAGCGCCCCCTATGGTGAAAAGTCACCTGATGCCTGTACGCTTTGTCAAAATGACACAAAATTTGACACACATGTGTATCTCAATAAGATCTACGAAAAAGTCAGTGCGGGCGTATCTGTCAAATGTACGGTTAAAGGGCTATTTCGCTTTTTTTGCCGATCCGCACACATTGGAATTTCGCTAACTCCTCCGAAGGCTTTCGTTCCTCCGGCACCAAATTTGCTCAGGCCAATCTACACCCCATGGCCATTCAAAGTTGTACAAATCATGACGCTGCACCCCACGGTTTACGTTCTAGGGGGCGCCAAAGATAACCCAAAAATCCACATTCTTAAAAGTCTTATAACTTTTTATTTTTGTCCTCACTGGCCTCCAAGTTTTCTAGGATGATGCAATGTCCAGCCATCAACACATTTGTGAAGGAATTTTTACTCCCCAAAAGAGCGCCCCCCCCATGGCAGGAGAAAAAAGTCAATTTTTTCTTGTCTCCTAAGGTAAAAATACACATTGTTGAGTGTCACGCCTATACACTTTGTCATATTGACACACAATTTAACAATCACGTGTATCTCAATAAGATCTACAAAAAAGTCAATAGGCACGTATCTGTCAAATGTACGGTTAAAGGGCTATTTCGCATTTTTTGCCGATTCGCACACATTGGAATGTGGCTATCTCCTCCTAAGGCTTTTGTCCCACCGATACCAAATTTGCTCAGGGCAATCTACACCCCATGCCCATTCAAAGTTGTAAAAATCATGACGCTGCACCCCACGGTTTACGTTCTAGGGGGCGCCAAAGATAACCCAAAAATCCACATTCTTAAAAGTCTTATAACTTTTTATTTTTGTCCTCACTGGCCTCCAAGTTTTCTAGGATGATGCAATGTCCAGCCATCAACACATTTGTGAAGGAATTTTTACTCCCCAAAAGAGCGCCCCCCCCATGGCAGGAGAAAAAAGTCCATTTTTTCTTGTCTCCTAAGGTAAAAATACACATTGTTGAGTGTCACGCCTATACACTTTGTCATATTGACACACAATTTAACAATCACGTGTATCTCAATAAGATCTACAAAAAAGTCAATAGGCACGTATCTGTCAAATGTACGGTTAAAGGGCTATTTCGCATTTTTTGCCGATTCGCACACATTGGAATGTGGCTATCTCCTCCTAAGGCTTTTGTCCCACCGATACCAAATTTGCTCAGGGCAATCTACACCCCATGCCCATTCAAAGTTGTAAAAATCATGACGCTGCACCCCACGGTTTACGTTCTAGGGGGCGCCAAAGATGACCCAAAAATCCACATTCTTAAAAGTCATTTTGGCCACTGCAGGAGTACAGAGTACTGCAGTTCTAGGGGGCGCCAAAGATGACCCAAAAATCCACATTCTTAAAAGTCATTTTGGATTATACAGGGGCAGGGGCTCAAGTTTTTTCCAGTCGTTTATACAATATGGAAATTAATGTGAAATTAAAAAACAAAGTATTAATAGAAAGGTAATGACTGTCCTGTGTAGGTGACAGTGATATCCAATAGGCTAGGCACTCACGAGGCTGGCTGTGGCAAGTGTAAGTGAAAGCAACACGCACTGGAAGGAAGAACAGCAAACGCCGATGAAGGAAAAGGGTCTTTGCAGTGATGGGCGTTACCAGAGAGGGCGATGGCCAGAGGACGCAAATGGGACAGGGAGGCAGCGCGTTGGGGGGGGAACACGGCTCGGGCCCGCCAGTGCCCCAACGGGGCCCTAGTTATTATTATTTTTCCTCCGCTTTAAACTGGAAAATGGCCCACTTCCCACTGGCGAAAACTCATGAAATTTGGCAGGACGACCGGGCCTGGTGAAAAATTCGATATTCTGAAGTCGCCCAAACAATAAAATGCAAAATGGCTCCATAGCGCCCCCTAAGGTGAAAATTCACACTATTGACTGTCACATCTGTACGTTTTGTCATATTGACACAAAAATTGACACACATATGTATCTCAATAAGATCTACAAAAAAGTCAGTGCGGGTGTATCTGTCAAATGTACGGTTAAAGGGTTATTTCGCATTTTTTGCCGATCCGCACACATTGGAATTTCGCTAACTCCTCCGAAGGCTTTCGTTCCACCGGCACCACATTTGCTCAGGCCAGTCTACACCCCATGGCCATTCAAAGTTGTACAAATCATGACGCTGCACCCCACGGTTTAGGTTCTAGGGGGCGCCAAAGATAACCCAAAAATCCACATTCTTAAAAGTCTTATAACTTTTTATTTTTGTCCTCACTGGCCTCCAAGTTTTCTAGGATGATGCAATGTCCAGCCATCAACACATTTGTGAAGGAATTTTTACTCCCCAAAAGAGCGCCCCCCCATGGCAGGAGAAAAAAGTCCATTTTTTCTTGTCCCCTTACATGAAAATACACATTGTTGAGTGTCACGCCTGAACGCTTTGTCATATTGACACAAAAATTGACAATCATGTGTATCTCAATTAGCTCTACGAAAAAGTCAAAGAGCGCGTATCTGTATAATGTACGGTTAAAGGGCTATTTCGCATTTTTTGCCGATTCGCACACATTGGAATGTGGCTATCTCCTCCTAAGGCTTTCGTCCCACTGATACCAAATTTGCTCAGGGCAATTTACACCCCATGCCCATTCAAAGTTGTAAAAATCATGACGCTGCACCCCACGGTTTACGTTCTAGGGGGCGCCAAAGATGACCCAAAAATCCACATTCTTAAAAGTCATTTTGGCCACTGCAGGAGTACAGAGTACTGCAGTTCTAGGGGGCGCCAAAGATGACCCAAAAATCCACATTCTTAAAAGTCATTTTGGCCACTGCAGGAGTACAGAGTACTGCAGTTCTAGGGGGCGCCAAAGATGACCCAAAAATCCACATTCTTAAAAGTCTTTTTGGCCACTGCAGGAGTACAGAGTACTGCAGGATACACACACATATACACACACGCCAACACACACACACACACACACACACACACTCAGAGTCTGTTTTTTAGCACCTGCAAAAACATGCTGTTTACATATTTGACAAGAATGCAGAGGCTTCCTTTTGCCCCTGAAAAAAATCAAATTTCAAACACAACTTGACTGTTCATTTCTCCAAAAGACAACCATGAAGCTCCATCCAAACCTGAAGCAGATAGTTGGTGCATGTGTACAGTAACCTGAGGGGAGTGAGGTGACTATTTCTGAGGAGAACATGAGCAGTGAAGATTCACCTTGGAGCTAGAACAGGGACGTGCACATGATTATACAGGGGCAGGGGCTCAAGTTTTTTCCAGTCATTTATACAATATGGAAATTAATGTGAAATTAAAAAACAAAGTATTAATAGAAAGGTTATAACTGTCCTGTGTAGATGACAGTGATATCCAATAGGCTAGGCACTCACGAGGCTGGCTGTGGCAAGTGTAAGTGAAAGCAACACGCACTGGCAGGAAGAACAGCAAACGCCGATGAAGGAAAGGGTCTTTGCAGTGATGGGCGTTACCAGAGAGGACGATGGCCAATGGACGCGAATGGGACGGGGAGGCAGCGCGTTGGGGGGGGCAGCGCGACACGGCTCGGGCCCGCCAGTGCCCCAACGGGGCCCTAGTTATTATTTTTCCTCCCCTTTGAACTGGAAAATGGCCCACTTCCCACTGGCGAAAACTCATGAAATTTGGCAGGACGACCGGGCCTGGTGAAAAATTTGATATTCCGAAGTCGCCCAAACAAGAAAATGCAAAATGGCTCCATAGCGCCCCCTAAGGTGAAAATTCACACTATTGACTGTCACGCCTGTACGCTTTGTCAAAATGACACAAAAATTGACACACACATGTATCTCAATAAGATCTACAAAAAAGTCAGTGCGGGCGTATCTGTCAAATGTACGGTTAAAGGGTTATTTTGCATTTTTTGCCGATCCGCACACATTGGAATTTCGCTAACTCCTCCGAAGGCTTTCGTTCCACCGGCACCACATTTGCTCAGGCCAATCTACACCCCATGGCCATTAAAAGTTATTCAAATCATGACGCTGCACCCCACGGTTTAGGTTCTAGGGGGCGCCAAAGATAACCCTAAGATCCACATATTTAAAAGTCTTATAACTTTTTATTTTTGTCCCCACTGGCCTCCAAGTTTTCTAGGATGATGCAATGTCCAGCCATCAACACATTTGTGAAGGAATTTTTACTCCCCAAAAGAGCGCCCCACCATGGCAGGAGAAAAAAGTCCATTTTTTCTTGTCCCCTAAGGTGAAAATACACATTGTTGAGTGTAACACCTGTACGCTTTGGCAAAATGACACCAAAATTGACACACACATGTATCTCAATAAGATCTACAAAAAAGTCAATGCGCGCGTATCTGTCAAATGTACGGTTAAAGGGTTATTCCGCATTTTTTGCCGATCCGCACACATTGGAATTTCGCTAACTCCTCCGAAGGCTTTCGTTCCACCGGCACCACATTTGCTCAGGCCAATCTACACCCCATGGCCATTAAAAGTTATTCAAATCATGACGCTGCACCCCACGGTTTAGGTTCTAGGGGGCGCCAAAGATAACCCTAAAATCCACATATTTAAAAGTCTTATAACTTTTTATTTTTGTCCTCACTGGCCTCCATGTTTTCTAGGATGATGCAATGTCCAGCCATCAACACATTTGTGAAGGAGTTTTTCTCGTTAAAAGAGCGCCCCCCATGGCAGGAGAATAAAGTCAAGTTTTTCCTGTTCATCATTCAATGGCTCAAACGCACTGCTCTCTCGGCAAAAGCGAAAGGAGGAGCAACTTGCCATTTGGATATATCTTAGCTGTGTTTGTGACCTCACTCATGGTCCAGACTTTTTTCAAATAGGACATGGAGTTTTTCTGCAGCGAGCGTTTTGGTAGAAACTGCGCCTCCCGTTCATTATAATGGTAAATGACCACAAACAAGTGCGCACACCATCTTTGAACCTTGAGTGTGACGCGATCGGGTGGGGGAGGCGGTCGCGCTGGGGGCGGCGTGACACGGCTCGGGCCCGCCAGTGCCCCAACGGGGCCCTAGTTATTATTATTTTTCCTCCGCTTTAAACTGGAAAATGGCCCACTTCCCACTGGCGAAAACTCATGAAATTTGGCAGGACGACCGGGCCTGGTGAAAAATTCGATATTCTGAAGTCGCCCAAACAATAAAATGCAAAATGGCTCCATAGCGCCCCCTAAGGTGGAAATTCACACTATTGACTGTCACGTCTGTACGTTTTGTCATATTGACACAAAAATTGACACACATATGTATCTCAATAAGATCTACAAAAAAGTCAGTGCGGGTGTATCTGTCAAATGTACGGTTAAAGGGTTATTTCGCATTTTTTGCCGATCCGCACACATTGGAATTTCGCTAACTCCTCCGAAGGCTTTCGTTCCACCAGCACCACATTTGCTCAGGCCAGTCTACACCCCATGGCCATTCAAAGTTGTACAAATCATGACGCTGCACCCCACGGTTTAGGTTCTAGGGGGCGCCAAAGATAACCCAAAAATCCACATTCTTAAAAGTCTTATAACTTTTTATTTTTGTCCTCACTGGCCTCCAAGTTTTCTAGGATGATGCAATGTCCAGCCATCAACACATTTGTGAAGGAATTTTTACTCCCCAAAAGAGCGCCCCCCCATGGCAGGAGAAAAAAGTCCATTTTTTCTTGTCCCCTTACATGAAAATACACATTGTTGAGTGTCACGCCTGAACGCTTTGTCATATTGACACAAAAATTGACAATCATGTGTATCTCAATTAGATCTACGAAAAAGTCAAAGAGCGCGTATCTGTATAATGTACGGTTAAAGGGCTATTTCGCATTTTTTGCCGATTCGCACACATTGGAATGTGGCTATCTCCTCCTAAGGCTTTCGTCCCACTGATACCAAATTTGCTCAGGGCAATTTACACCCCATGCCCATTCAAAGTTGTAAAAATCATGACGCTGCACCCCACGGTTTACGTTCTAGGGGGCGCCAAAGATGACCCAAAAATCCACATTCTTAAAAGTCATTTTGGCCACTGCAGGAGTACAGAGTACTGCAGTTCTAGGGGGCGCCAAAGATGACCCAAAAATCCACATTCTTAAAAGTCATTTTGGCCACTGCAGGAGTACAGAGTACTGCAGTTCTAGGGGGCGCCAAAGATGACCCAAAAATCCACATTCTTAAAAGTCTTTTTGGCCACTGCAGGAGTACAGAGTACTGCAGGATACACACACATATACACACACGCCAACACACACACACACACACACACACACACTCAGAGTCTGTTTTTTAGCACCTGCAAAAACATGCTGTTTACATATTTGACAAGAATGCAGAGGCTTCCTTTTGCCCCTGAAAAAAATCAAATTTCAAACACAACTTGACTGTTCATTTCTCCAAAAGACAACCATGAAGCTCCATCCAAACCTGAAGCAGATAGTTGGTGCATGTGTACAGTAACCTGAGGGGAGTGAGGTGACTATTTCTGAGGAGAACATGAGCAGTGAAGATTCACCTTGGAGCTAGAACAGGGACGTGCACATGATTATACAGGGGCAGGGGCTCAAGTTTTTTCCAGTCATTTATACAATATGGAAATTAATGTGAAATTAAAAAACAAAGTATTAATAGAAAGGTTATAACTGTCCTGTGTAGATGACAGTGATATCCAATAGGCTAGGCACTCACGAGGCTGGCTGTGGCAAGTGTAAGTGAAAGCAACACGCACTGGCAGGAAGAACAGCAAACGCCGATGAAGGAAAGGGTCTTTGCAGTGATGGGCGTTACCAGAGAGGACGATGGCCAATGGACGCGAATGGGACGGGGAGGCAGCGCGTTGGGGGGGGCAGCGCGACACGGCTCGGGCCCGCCAGTGCCCCAACGGGGCCCTAGTTATTATTTTTCCTCCCCTTTGAACTGGAAAATGGCCCACTTCCCACTGGCGAAAACTCATGAAATTTGGCAGGACGACCGGGCCTGGTGAAAAATTTGATATTCCGAAGTCGCCCAAACAAGAAAATGCAAAATGGCTCCATAGCGCCCCCTAAGGTGAAAATTCACACTATTGACTGTCACGCCTGTACGCTTTGTCAAAATGACACAAAAATTGACACACACATGTATCTCAATAAGATCTACAAAAAAGTCAGTGCGGGCGTATCTGTCAAATGTACGGTTAAAGGGTTATTTTGCATTTTTTGCCGATCCGCACACATTGGAATTTCGCTAACTCCTCCGAAGGCTTTCGTTCCACCGGCACCACATTTGCTCAGGCCAATCTACACCCCATGGCCATTAAAAGTTATTCAAATCATGACGCTGCACCCCACGGTTTAGGTTCTAGGGGGCGCCAAAGATAACCCTAAGATCCACATATTTAAAAGTCTTATAACTTTTTATTTTTGTCCCCACTGGCCTCCAAGTTTTCTAGGATGATGCAATGTCCAGCCATCAACACATTTGTGAAGGAATTTTTACTCCCCAAAAGAGCGCCCCACCATGGCAGGAGAAAAAAGTCCATTTTTTCTTGTCCCCTAAGGTGAAAATACACATTGTTGAGTGTAACACCTGTACGCTTTGGCAAAATGACACCAAAATTGACACACACATGTATCTCAATAAGATCTACAAAAAAGTCAATGCGCGCGTATCTGTCAAATGTACGGTTAAAGGGTTATTCCGCATTTTTTGCCGATCCGCACACATTGGAATTTCGCTAACTCCTCCGAAGGCTTTCGTTCCACCGGCACCACATTTGCTCAGGCCAATCTACACCCCATGGCCATTAAAAGTTATTCAAATCATGACGCTGCACCCCACGGTTTAGGTTCTAGGGGGCGCCAAAGATAACCCTAAAATCCACATATTTAAAAGTCTTATAACTTTTTATTTTTGTCCTCACTGGCCTCCATGTTTTCTAGGATGATGCAATGTCCAGCCATCAACACATTTGTGAAGGAGTTTTTTCTCGTTAAAAGAGCGCCCCCCATGGCAGGAGAATAAAGTCAAGTTTTTCCTGTTCATCATTCAATGGCTCAAACGCACTGCTCTCTCGGCAAAAGCGAAAGGAGGAGCAACTTGCCATTTGGATATATCTTAGCTGTGTTTGTGACCTCACTCATGGTCCAGACTTTTTTCAAATAGGACATGGAGTTTTTCTGCAGCGAGCGTTTTGGTAGAAACTGCGCCTCCCGTTCATTATAATGGTAAATGACCACAAACAAGTGCGCACACCATCTTTGAACCTTGAGTGTGACGCGATCGGGTGGGGGAGGCGGTCGCGCTGGGGGCGGCGTGACACGGCTCGGGCCCGCCAGTGCCCCAACGGGGCCCTAGTTATTATTTTTCCTCCCCTTTGAACTGGAAAATGGCCCACTTCCCACTGGCGAAAACTCATGAAATTTGGCAGGACGACCGGGCCTGGTGAAAAATTTGATATTCCGAAGTCGCCCAAACAAGAAAATGCAAAATGGCTCCATAGCGCCCCCTAAGGTGAAAATTCACACTATTCACTGTCACGCCGGTACGCTTTGTCAAAATGACACAAAAATTGACACACACATGTATCTCAATAAGATCTACAAAAAAGTCAGTGCGGGCGTATCTGTCAAATGTACGGTTAAAGGGTTATTTCGCATTTTTTGCCGATCCGCACACATTGGAATTTCGCTAACTCCTCCGAAGGCTTTCGTTCCACCGGCACCACATTTGCTCAGGCCAATCTACACCCCATGGCCATTAAAAGTTATTCAAATCATGACGCTGCACCCCACGGTTTAGGTTCTAGGGGGCGCCAAAGATAACCCTAAGATCCACATATTTAAAAGTCTTATAACTTTTTATTTTTGCCCTCACTGGCCTCCAAGTTTTCTAGGATAATGCAATGTCCAGCCATCAACACATTTGTGAAGGAATTTTTACTCCCCAAAAGAGCGCCCCCCCATGGCAGGAGAAAAAAGTCCATTTTTTCTTGTCCCCTAAGGTGAAAATACACATTGTTGAGTGTAACACCTGTACGCTTTGGCAAAATGACACAAAAATTGACACACACATGTATCTCAATAAGATCTACGAAAAAGTCAATGCGCGCGTATCTGTCAAATGTACGGTTAAAGGGTTATTCCGCATTTTTTGCCGATCCGCACACATTGGAATTTCGCTAACTCCTCCGAAGGCTTTCGTTCCACCGGCACCACATTTGCTCAGGCCAATCTACACCCCATGGCCATTAAAAGTTATTCAAATCATGACGCTGCACCCCACGGTTTAGGTTCTAGGGGGCGCCAAAGATAACCGTAAAATCCACATATTTAAAAGTCTTATAACTTTTTATTTTTGTCCCCACTGGCCTCCAAGTTTTCTAGGATGATGCAATGTCCAGCCATCAACACATTTGTGAAGGAATTTTTACTCGGCAAAAGAGCGCCCCCCCATGGCAGGAGAAAAAAGTCAATTTTTTCTTGTCCACTAAGGTGAAAATACACATTGTTGAGTGCTACGCCTGTATGTTTTGTCGTATTGACACAAAATTTTACATACACGTGTATTTACATAAGATCTTCGAAAAAGTCAATGGCCACGTATCTGTAAAATGTACGGTTAAAGGGTTATTTCGCATTTTTTGCAGATTCGCACACATTGGAATTTCGCTAATTCCTCCGAAGGCTTTCGTTCCACCGGCACCACATTTGCTCAAGCCAATCTACACCCCATGGCCATTAAAAGTTATTCAAATCATGACGCTGCACCCCACGGTTTAGGTTCTAGGGGGCGCCAAATATAACCCTAAAATCCACATATTTAAAAGTCTTATAACTTTTTATTTTTGTCCTCACTGGCCTCCATGTTTTCTAGGATGATGCAATGTCCAGCCATCAACACATTTGTGAAGGAGTTTTTTCTCTTTAAAAGAGCGCCCCCCCATGGCAGGAGAATAAAGTCAAGTTTTTCCTGTTCATCATTCAATGGCTCAAACGCACTGCTCTCTCGGCAAAAGCGAAAGGAGGAGCAACTTGCCATTTGGATATATCTTAGCTGTGTTTGTGCCCTCACTCATGGTCCAGACTTTTTTCAAATAGGACATGGAGTTTTTCTGCAGCGAGCGTTTTGGTAGAAACTGCGCCCTCCGTTCATTATAATGGTAAATGACCACAAACAAGTGCGCACACCATCTTTGGACCTTGAGTGTGACGCGATCGGGTGGGGGAGGCGGTCGCGCTGGGGGCGGCGTGACACGGCTCGGGCCCGCCAGTGCCCCAACGGGGCCCTAGTTATTATTTTTCCTCCGCTTTAAACTGGAAAATGGCCCACTTCCCACTGGCGAAAACTCAGGAAATTTGGCAGGACGACCGGGCCTGGTGAAAAATTCGATATTCTGAAGTCGCCCAAACAATAAAATGCAAAATGGCTCCATAGCGCCCCCTAAGGTGAAAATTCACATGACGGCTGTACGCTTTGTCATATTGACACAAAAATTGACACACACATGTATCTCAATAAGATCTACAAAAAAGTCAGTGCGGGCGTATCTGTCAAATGTACGGTTAATGGGTTATTTTGCATTTTTTGCAGATCTGCACACATTGGAATTTCGCTAACTCCTCCGAAGGCTTTCGTTCGACCGGCACCACATTTGCGCAGGCCAATCTACCCCCCATGGCCATTAAAAGTTGTACAAATCATGACGCTGCACCCCACGGTTTATGTTCTAGGGGGCGCCAAAGATAACCCAAAATCCACATTCTTAAAAGTCTTATAACTTTTTATTTTTGTCCTCACTGGCCTCCAAGTTTTCTAGGATGATGCAATGTCCAGCCATCAACACATTTGTGAAGGAATTTTTACTCCCCAAAAGAGCGCCCCCCCATGGCAGGAGAAAAAAGTCCATTTTTTCTTGTCCCCTTACATGAAAATACACATTGTTGAGTGTCACGCCTGAACGCTTTGTCATATTGACACAAAAATTGACAATCATGTGTATCTCAATTAGATCTACGAAAAAGTCAAAAAGCGCGTATCTGTATAATGTACGGTTAAAGGGCTATTTCGCATTTTTTGCCGATTCGCACACATTGGAATGTGGCTGACTCCTCCTAAGGCTTTCGTCCCACCGATACCAAATTTGCTCAGGGCAATCTACACCCCATGCCCATTCAAAGTTGTAAAAATCATGACGCTGCACCCCACGGTTTACGTTCTAGGGGGCGCCAAAGATAACCCAAAATCCACATTCTTAAAAGTCTTATAACTTTTTATTTTTGTCCTCACTGCCCTCCAAGTTTTCTAGGATGATGCAATGTCCAGCCATCAACACATTTGTGAAGGAATTTTTACTCCCCAAAAGAGCGCCCCCCCATGGCAGGAGAAAAAAGTCAATTTTTTCTTGTCCCCTTACATGAAAATACACATTGTTGAGTGTCACGCCTGAACGCTTTGTCATATTGACACAAAAATTGACAATCATGCGTATCTCAATTAGATCTACGAAAAAGTCAAAAGCGCGTATCTGTATAATGTACGGTTAAAGGGCTATTTCGCATTTTTTGCCGATTCACACACATTGGAATGTGGCTATCTCCTCCTAAGGCTTTCGTCCCACCGATACCAAATTTGCTCAGGGCAATCTACACCCCATGGCCCATTCAAAGTTGTAAAAATCATGACGCTGCACCCCACGGTTTACGTTCTAGGGGGCGCCAAAGATGACCCAAAAATCCACATTCTTAAAAGTCATTTTGGCCACTGCAGGAGTACAGAGTACTGCAGTTCTAGGGGGCGCCAAAGATGACCCAAAAATCCACATTCTTAAAAGTCTTTTTGGCCACTGCAGGAGTACAGAGTACTGCAGGATACACACACATACACACACACACACACACACACACACACACACACACACACACACACACTCAGAGTCTGTTTTTTAGCACCTGCAAAAACATGCTGTTTACATATTTGACAAGAATGCAGAGGCTTCCTTTTGCCGCTGAAAAAAATCATATTTCAAACACAACTTGACTGTTCATTTCTCCAAAAGACAACCATGAAGCTCCATCCAAACCTGAAGCAGATAGTTGGTGCATGTGTACAGTAACCTGAGGGGAGTGAGGTGACTATTTCTGAGGAGAACATGAGCAGTGAAGATTCACCTTGGAGCTAGAACAGGGACGTGCACATGATTATACAGGGGCAGGGGCTCAAGTTTTTTCCAGTCATTTATACAATATGGAAATTAATGTGAAATTAAACCACAAATATGTGTGATGAACTGTTTTTAAAACTTAAACTTCAAATAAAAATTGTAAACTTCAAAACATATGCAAATTTTTAACAAAGAACATAGTAATTTACCTCTATTTACATCAAAATGCAGGCAATGGCCCAGGCGTTCTTTGTAAAATTATTTACAAAACACTGTATAGTCTCACAAATGTCACTTTTTATTTATGCCACTACAAAAAATGATGAATGATGTAAATGATGCATGATGTAAAACATGATGTAAAAAACTTGTGTAGATCCTCCTCTATGTCAGTCCATGTGTAATTTTTCCATAATTCTTTGTTTTTTGCAGCATTTTTGTTAGTGTAACTGCAGATTGTGCTGACAGTCTATGGCAAAAAAAACAAAAACTGAAAATGCCTCAACATGAACCCCTGGTGGTCTCTGAGGGTGAAACCTGCTAACTGCTGCAGCTCTGTCAGCTTCAGTCTCCCATGCAGAGCTCGGAGCGCATGTGTGGCTCTGCACCCTTAGCAGCGTTGCTAACTCCTCAGTAAGGAAAGCCTGCTTCATGTCAGAGTCTCTAAACTCCAGAAGAAGTCGATAAAAGTCCCTTTCTTTCTAAAAAGTCGTTAGGGGGTCTGAAAAGTAATTGAATCTAACAACAAAGTCGCTAGGTTTGCAACTACGTGTCCCAGACTGCATCCCTGCTGAGAGTCCCTCCCTCCCTTCTCATATTGCAGGAAGAACGTAAGCGCCCGCCCCTTGTCAATCAGTCACCATATAATTTTGGATTGGTTGTTGTGGTGAAGTTTTCCACCAATAGGAGAGATGTTGTGGTGTGTTTTTTTTTTCTTTTGGCAAGCCTTTTCCGCCTGTAAGACCTGTCGCTAATGTGTGCATGCTATGTTTTCCTGTCTCATACAGCGCGATCGAGCGCCGAACGTGATCAAAATAAGCAGAAAAAAAGTATCGCGGACATAATTTATCATAACTCTGGTTTTATTTGGCCTATCAACACAATTTAAAAACTGGTATATAGGTTGAGGTCCTCACTTTTGAGATAAGTTGAAACGGAGAGTTAACGAGGCTCCCTCTTGCAGCTACATCCGGTTAAATATGTCATGTGACTTGAACGTGGGGAGCGTCAATCGAATCGAATCAAACCTAACTCTCAGATGAATCTTCAAAATTCACCTCAGAAATATGCTTATTATTCTTCTCAGAGTACTGCAGGATACACACACACACACGCACACACACACACACACACACACACACACACACACACACACACACTCAGAGTCTGTTTTTTAGCACCTGCAAAAACATGCTATTTACATATTTGACAAGAATGCAGAGGCTTCCTTTTGCCCCTGAAAAAAATCAAATTTCCAACACAACTTGACTGCTCATTTCTCCAAAAGACAACCATGAAGCTCCATCCAAACCTGAAGCAGGCAGTTGGTGCATGTGTACAGTAACCTGAGGGGAGTGAGGTGACTGCTTCTGAGGAGAACATGAGCAGTGAAGATTCACCTTGGAGCTAGAACAGGGACGTGCACATGATAATACAGGGGCAGGGGCTCAAGTTTTTTCCAGTCGTTTATACAATATGGAAATTAATGTGAAATTAAAACACAAAGTATTAATAGAAAGGTAATGACTGTCCTGTGTAGGTGACAGTGATATCCAATAGGCTAGGCACTCACGAGGCTGGCTGTGGCAAGTGTAAGTGAAAGCAACACGCACTGGCAGGAAGAACAGCAAACGCCGATGAAGGAAAAGGGTCTTTGCAGTGATGGGCGTTACCAGAGAGGGCGATGGCCAGAGGACACAAATGGGACGGGGAGGCAGCGCGTTGGGGGGGGGGGGGGGGGCGACACGGCTCGGGCCCGCCAGTGCCCCAACGGGGTCCTAGTTGTTTCTTTCTTTCTTTCTTAGGGCCCGAGCGTAGCTGCTAAGCAGCTGCGAGAGCCCTCTTATTCCTGATGGATTCTTCTTTAGGGCCCGAGCCAGCTGCAACGCAGCCGGGCGTAGAGCCCTCTTGTTTTTCGATGGGTTTTTCTTTCTTCTTTCTTTCTTCTTCTTCTTTTTCCTCCCCTTTGAACTGGAAAATGGCCCACTTCCCACTGGCGAAAAACTCATGAAATTTGGCAGGACGACCGGGCCTGGTGAAAAATTCGATATTCTGAAGTCGCCCAAACAATAAAATTGCAAAATGGCTCCATAGCACCCCCAAAGGTGAAAATTCACACCATTGACTGTCACACCTGTACGCTTTGTCATATTGACACAAAAATTGACACACACATGTATCTCAATAAGATCTACAAAAAAGTCAGTGAGGGCGTATCTGTCAAATGTACGGTTAAAGGGTTATTTCGCATTTTTTGCCGATCTGCACACATTGGAATTTCGCTAACTCCTCCGAAGGCTTTCGTTCCACCGGCACCACATTTGCTCAGGCCAATCTACACCCCATGGCCATTAGTAGTTGTACAAATCATGACGCTGCGCCCCACGGTTTAGGTTCTAGGAGGCGCCAAAGATAACCCAAAAATCCACAGTCTTTAAAGTCTTATAACTTTTTATTTTTGTCCTCACTGGCCTCCAAGTTCTCTAGGATGATGCAATGTCCAGCCATCAACACAATTGTGAAGGAATTTTTACTCCCGAAAAGAGCGCCCCCCCATGGCATGAGAAAAAAGTCCATGTTTTCTTGTCCCCTAAGGTGAAAAAACACACTATTGAGTGTCACATCTGTACGCTTTGTCATATTGACACAAAAATTGACACACACGTGTATCTCAATAAGATCTACAAAAAAGTCAGCGTGGGCGTATCTGTCAAATGTACGGTTATAGGGCTCGTATTTTTTGCCGATCCGCACACATTGGAATTTCGCTAACTCCTCCGAAGGCTCTCTTTCCACCGGCACCAAATTTGCTCAGGCTAATCTACACCCCATGGCCATTCAAAGTTGTATAAATCATGACCCTGCACCCCACGGTTTAGGTTCTAGGGGGCGCCAAAGATAACCCAAAAATCCACATTCTTAAAAGTCTTATAACTTTTTATTTTTGTCCTCACTCGCCTCCAAGTTTTCTAGGATGATGCAATGTCCAGCCATCAACACATTTTTGAAGATATTTTTACTCCCCAAAAGAGCGCCCCCCCATGGCAGGAGAAAATAGTCAATTTTTTCTTGGCCCCTGAGGTGAAAATACACATTGTTGAGTGTCACGCCTGTACGCTTTGTCATATTGACACAAAATTTGACAATCACATGTATCTCAATAAGATCTACGAAAAAGTCACTGCGCACGTATCTGTCAAATGTACGGTTCAAGGGCTATTTCGCATTTTTTGCCGATTCACACACATTGGAATGTGGCTAACTCCTCCTAAAGCTTTCGTCCCACCGGCAACAAATTGGCTCAGGCCAATCTACACCCCATGGCCATTAAAAGTTGTAAAAATCATCTTGCTGCACCCTATGGTTTACGTTCTAGGGGGCGCCAAAGAAAACCCAAAAATCCACATTCTTAAAAGTCGTTTTGGCCACTGAGTGGCGCCAAAGGGACTTGTCCATTAACAGCAGACAAAGTAGTTATGGCCACTGAGTGGCGCCAAAGGGAGTTGTCTATTAAATCTGATGCTACAGAAAAAGTTAAAAGGCTTAAATTTTTGCTATATTAGTGACTTTATGTCTTTAATGGGCTCTTAAAGGGTGAAAAAAATATTTTCAATGAAACATTTGCTAGTTTTGAACAGGGCAGAAGTAAAATAAGAGATGTACAAAAGAAAAATCTTGAAAAAATATGAATTCCAATTTGATTTTACAGCAGACAAAGTACTTTTGGCCACTGGGTGGGGCCAAAGGGAGTTGTCTATTAACATCAGACAAAGTTGTTATGGCCACTGAGGGGCGCCAAAGGGAGTTGTCTATTAAATCTGATGCTACAGAAAAAGTTAAAAGGCTCAAATTTTTGCTATATTAGTGACTTTATGTCCTAAATGGGCTCTTAAAGGGTTAAAAAAAATATTTTCAATGAAACATTTGCTAGTTTTGAACAGGGCAGAAGTAAAATGAGAGACGTACAAAAGAAAAATCTGGAAAAAATATTAATCCAATTTGATTTTACAGCAGACAAAGTACTTTTGGCCACTGGGTGGCGCCAAAGGGAGCTGTCTATTAACATCAGACAAAGTTGTTATGGCCACTGAGGGGCGCCAAAGGGAGTTGTCTATTAAATCTGATGCTACAGAAAAAGTTAAAAGGCTCAAATTTTTGCTATATTAGTGACTTTATGTCCTAAATGGGCTCTTAAAGGGTTAAAAAATATATTTTCAATGAAACATTTGCTAGTTTTGAACAGGGCAGAAGTAAAATGAGAGACGTACAAAAGAAAAATCTGGAGAAAATATTAATCCAATTTGATTTTACAGCAGACAAAGTAGTTTTGGCCACTGAGTGGCGCCAAAGGGAGCTGTCTATTAACATCAGACAAAGTTGTTATGGCCACTGAGGGGTGCCAAAGGGAGTTGTCTATTAAATCTGATGCTACAGAAAAAGTTAAAAGGCTCAATTTTTTTGCTACATTAGTGACTTTATGTCTTAAATGGGCTCTTAAAGGGTTAAAAAAATTATTTTCGATGAAACATTTGCTAGTTTTGAACAGGGCAGAAGTAAAATAAGAGATGTACAAAAGAAAAATCTGGAAAAAATATTAATCCAATATGATTTTACAGCAGACAAAGTAGTTTTGGCCACTGAGGGGCGCCAAAGGGAGTTGTCTATAAAATCTGATGCTACATAAAAAGTTTAAAGGCATCAAAGTCAATCATATTACTAATCTCTCACATATATAAGACTTTGATGCCCCGCAAGAGAAAACCAGTTTTTATAATGTTTGATAAAAAAAAAATTGGTCATTTTCCTTACCCCCCATGGCAGGAGAAAAAGTCAAGTTTTTCCTGCCCAGCGCTCAATGGCTCAAACGCATCGCTTTCTCGGCAAAACCGAAAGGAGGAGCAACTTGCCATTTGGATATATCCTAGCTGTGTTTGTGCCCTCACTCATGGTCCAGACTTCTTTCAAATAGGACATGGAATTTGTCTGCAGTGAGCGTTTCTGTAGAAACTGCGCCTCCCATTTATTATAATGGTAAATGACCACAGACAAGTGCGCACACCATCTTTGGACCTTGAGTGTGACGCGATCGGGAGGGGGAGGCGATCGCGCTGGGGGCGGCGTGACACGGCTCTGGCACACACCACAACATCTCTCCTATTGGTGGAAAACTTCACCACAACAACCAATCCAAAATTATATGGTGACTGATTGACAAGGGGCGGGCGCTTACGTTCTTCCTGCAACATGAGAAGGGAGGGAGGGACTCTCAGCAGGGATGCAGTCTGGGACACGTAGTTGCAAACCTAGCGACTTTGTTGTTAGATTCAATTACTTTTCAGACCCCCTAACGACTTTTTTTTAGAAAGAAAGGGACTTTTATCGACTTCTTCTGGAGTTTAGAGACTCTGACATGAAGCAGGCTTTCCTTACTGAGGAGTTAGCAATGCTGCTAAGTAGTGCTGGGCGATAGGACGATAGATATCGTGGGCACGATAGAAAATGTCTATCGTGCCATTTTTATTTTTATCGTTTCGGGCGATAGGCTGTATTTTATCCATAGGGCTTGTGCCATCAGATGATTCATAGTAACAACAACAATAATTGCACATTCAGTAAGTGTATTTGGTGTCGAACGGGAAAGAAAACAATATTTTCTTACAAAGAAAAGGATGCGTTGACATGTAGGCTTGCATTTCTCTTTCGATTTTGCGACATGACTCCGCTTTACGTGCCCTCTTCGTGTCCAGCGTCTCCCGCCGTTGCGGGTTACCTGGGTTACACACGTGAGGGGATCATTGTAAGCAGTGCTTAATTTGTGTCGGAGCGCGATCCGGGACCTCTTTTGATCGGATCCGGGACCTATTTCAGCCGCTCCGGCACCTGTTTCATCTGCTCCGGGACCTTCCCTGTAGAGGATGACATTTTTCGGGAATTCCCGTGGGTCACGTGATTCCCGCGGGAATCCCACGGGATGGGAGTCATTTTTTAATTAATCCTTTGTTTGGGACGGGACGGGAAAAAAGGCAACGGGAGTGGGCAGGAGCGGGAACAACATTAAAAGATGATCATTTTCAGCCGTGTTTAACAACCAGATGAACAGGTGCGTCCATTTTTGTAGTCATCTCTCAGTGAAAGCCAACACTCTTGACCGCGCTAGCAACACAAAAGAACTACAACAGTGGTTTGACTTCCTGTCAGCTGGGAGCGCGGCTGCGCATTTCTACCCTTCAAGCCAGCAGCGAGGAAACGTAATTTTGTGACATTCTGTAGTTTTTCAATCATTTCTGGAGTCGTGGCGAATCAAATCACCTTACCTGTCTGCCCCTGATAGGCGAATAAAGCGCTCGGATTCATGCTCGGGTCTTGCTACGTGCTTCAAGAGTAAAGTAAACAATGATGGAGGCAGAGAGCAGCTTTGGAGGAGAAACATCTAGCAGTGTGAACAACCTCTTCAAAAGAGCCCTAAAGACCTACCTTTTTAATAAAGCCTTTGGTTAGTTTTCCTCTATGCTTTATGCTTTTACTACCTTGCCTCTTACATTGCAACTCTATATTTTTTATTTTTTTTAATTCTTTTTTATGCCAATCTGTGACTGTCATTCTATTGCTTTTTTATTGTTGCTGCTCTTTTTTTACTGTGTACTGTAGCACTTTGAGATTTTTTGTAAATGTAAAGTGCATTACAAATTAAATTTATTATTATTATTATTATTATTATTATTATTATTATGGAGTGCTTTGGCTCACACTATCGGCGTTTTCTGTGAGTGTTGCATAACTTTGGGTGAGCACAGACATGAACGCACTTCGGCCACATATTTATTTATTCATTTTTCTAGTTTTAAGTGCTGGTCTTGTACTGGTACTGTACTAGTGCAGCTGTATACACTTAAATTTTTCATAGAACTGAAAGCATACCATAGCTATATCGTGATATATATCGTTATCGTGATATAAAATGATCCATATCGTGATATACATTTTTTTCCATATCGCCCAGCACTACTGCTAAGGGTGCAGAGCCACACATGCGCTCCGAGCTCTGCATGGGAGACTGAAGCTGACAGAGCTGCAGCAGTTAGCAGGTTTCACCCTCAGAGACCACCAGGGGTTCATGTTGAGGCATTTTAATTTTTTTTTTTTTTTTTGTGCCATAGACACTGTCAGCACAATCTGCAGTTACACTAACAAAAATGCTGCAAAAAACAAAGAATTATGGAAAAATTACACATGGACTGACATAGAGGAGGATCTACACAAGTTTTTTACATCATGTTTTACATCATGCATCATTTACATCATGTTTTTTTGTAGTGGCATAAATAAAAAGTGACATTTGTGAGACTATACAGTGTTTTGTAAATAATTTTACAAAGAACACCTGGGCCATTGCCTGCATTTTGATGTAAATAGAGGTAAATTACTATGTTCTTTGTTAAAAATTTGCATATGTTTTGAAGTTTACAATTTTTATTTGAAGTTTTAGTTTTAAAAACAGTTCATCACACATATTTGTGGTTTTCACAGTAAAAATGTTATTTTTTTCCACTCGGATTTTATGTTTTGTGTGTGAATTTGGGTCCATTGTGTAAATACAGTATGTCAAAATGATAAAATAACTGTAAATTCGCTTAGGTGAGGTTGTGCTGAAAAAAATGATACCAGGCAAGGCAAGGTAAAAAATTTTTAAGAGGAAATATAAAGGTAAAATCTAAAGTAGTCAAAAACGGCCAATAGTGACTCCCAGACTCCATGGACAAGTCCCTTTGGCGCCACTCAGTGGCCAAAACGACTTTGAAGAATGTGGATTTTTGGGTCATCTTTTGGCGCCCCTAGAACGTGAACCGTGGGGTGCAGCGTCATGATTTTTACAACTTTGAATGGCCATGGGGTGTAGATTGGCCTGAACAAATTTGGTGTCAGTGGGACGAAAGCCTTAGGAGTGTGCGAATCGGCAAAAAAAGCAAAATAGCCCTTTAACCGTACATTTGACAGATACGCGCCCATCGCCTTTTTCGTAGATCTTATTGAGATACACGTGATTGTCAAATTTTGTGTCAATATGACAAAGCGTATAGGCGTGAATCTCAACAATATGTATTTTCACCTTAGGGGACAAGAAAAAATGGACTTTTTTCTCCTGCTATGGGGGGGGGCGCTCTTTTGGGGAGTAAAAATTCCTTCACAAATGTGTTGATGGCTGGACATTGCATCATCCTAGAAAACTTGGAGGCCAGTGAGGACAAAAATAAAAAGTTATAAGACTTTTAAATATGTGGATTTTAGGGTTATCTTTGGCGCCCCCTAGAACCTAAACCGTGGGGTGCAGCGTCATGATTTGAATAACTTTTAATGGCCATGGGGTGTAGATTGGCCTGAGCAAATGTGGTGCCGGTGGAACGAAAGCCTTAGGAGAAGTTAGCCACATTCCAATGTGTGCGGATCGGCAAAAAATGCGGAATAACCCTTTAACCGTACATTTGACAGATATGCGCACATTGACTTTTTCGTAGATCTTAATGAGTTACATGTGTGTGTCAATTTTTGTGTCATTTTGACAAAGCGTATAGGCGTGACACTCAACAATGTGTATTTTCACCTTAGGGGACAAGAAAAAATGGACTTTTTTCTCCTGCCATGGGGGGGCGCTCTTTTGGGGAGTAAAAATTCCTTCACAAATTTGTTGATGGCTGGACATTGCATCATCCTAGAAAACTTGGAGGCCAGTGAGGACAAAAATAAAAAGTTATAAGACTTTTAAATATGTGGATTTTAGGGTTATCTTTGGCGCCCCCTAGAACCGCCAGTGCCAGTGCCCCAACGGGGCCCTAGTTAGGGCCCGAGCGTAGCTGCTAAGCAGCTGCGAGAGCCCTCTTATTGACACACACATGTATCAAGGGGGCGCCAAAGATAACCCTAAAATCCACATATTTAAAAGTCTTATAACTTTTTATTTTTGTCCTGACTGGCCTCCAAGTTTTCTAGGATGATGCAATGTCCAGCCATCAACACATTTGTGAAGGAATTTTTACTCCCCAAAAGAGCGCCCCCCCCCCCCATGGCAGGAGAAAAAAGTCCATTTTTTCTTGTCCTCTAAGGTGAAAATACATATTGTTGAGATTCACGCCTATACGCTTTGTCATATTGACACAAAATTTGACAATCACGTGTATCTCAATAAGATCTACGAAAAAGGCGATGGGTGTGTATCTGTCAAATGTACGGTTAAAGGGCTATTTTGCTTTTTTTGCCGATTCGCACACTCCTAAGGCTTTCGTCCCACTGACACCAAATTTGCTCAGGCCAATCTACACCCCATGGCCATTCAAAGTTGTAAAAATCATGACGCTGCACCCCACGGTTCACGTTCTAGGGGCGCCAAAAGATGACCCAAAAATCCACATTCTTCAAAGTCGTTTTGGCCACTGAGTGGCGCCAAAGGGACTTGTCCATGGACTCTGGGAGTCACTATTGGCCGTTTTTGACTACTTTAGATTTTACCTTTATATTTCCTCTTAAAATTTTTTTACCTTGCCTTGCCTGGTATCATTTTTTTCAGCACAACCTCACCTAAGCAAATTTACAGTTATTTTATAATTTTGACATACTGTATTTACACAATGGACCCAAATTCACACACAAAACATAAAATCCGAGTGGAAAAAAGTAACATTTTTACTGTGAAAACCACAAATATGTGTGATGAACTGTTTTTAAAACTTAAACTTCAAATGAAAATTGTAAACTTCAAAACATATGCAAATTTTTAACAAAGAACATAGTAATTTACCTCTATTTACATCAAAATGCAGGCAATGGCCCAGGCGTTCTTTGTAAAATTATTTACAAAACACTGTATAGTCTCACAAATGTCACTTTTTATTTATGCCACTACAAAAAAACATGATGTAAATGATGCATGATGTAAAACATGATGTAAAAAACTTGTGTAGATCCTCCTCTATGTCAGTCCATGTGTAATTTTTCCATAATTCTTTGTTTTTTGCAGCATTTTTGTTAGTGTAACTGCAGATTGTGCTGACAGTGTCTATGGCACAAAAAAAAAAAAAAATTAAAATGCCTCAACATGAACCCCTGGTGGTCTCTGAGGGTGAAACCTGCTAACTGCTGCAGCTCTGTCAGCTTCAGTCTCCCATGCAGAGCTCGGAGCGCATGTGTGGCTCTGCACCCTTAGCAGCGTTGCTAACTCCTCAGTAAGGAAAGCCTGCTTCATGTCAGAGTCTCTAAACTCCAGAAGAAGTCGATAAAAGTCCCTTTCTTTCTAAAAAAAAGTCGTTAGGGGGTCTGAAAAGTAATTGAATCTAACAACAAAGTCGCTAGGTTTGCAACTACGTGTCCCAGACTGCATCCCTGCTGAGAGTCCCTCCCTCCCTTCTCATGTTGCAGGAAGAACGTAAGCGCCCGCCCCTTGTCAATCAGTCACCATATAATTTTGGATTGGTTGTTGTGGTAAAGTTTTCCACCAATCGGAGAGATGTTGTGGTGTGTTTTTTTTTTTCTTTTGGCAAGCCTTTTCCGCCTGTAAGACCTGTCGCTAATGTCTGCATGCTTTGTTTTCCTGTCTCATACAGCGCGATTGAGCACCGAACGTGATCAAAATAAGCAGAAAAAAAGTATCGCGGACATAATTTATCATAACTCTGGTTTTATTTGGCCTATCAACACAATTTAAAAACTGGTATATAGGTTGAGGTCCTCACTTTTGAGATAAGTTGAAACGGAGAGTCAACGAGGCTCCGTCTTGCAGCTACATCCGGTTAAATATGTCATGTGACTTGAACGCACACACACACACACAGACACACACACACACACACACACACACACTCAGAGTCTGTTTTTTAGCACCTGCAAAAACATGCTGTTTACATATTTGACAAGAATGCAGAGGCTTCCTTTTGCCCCTGAAAAAAATCAAATTTCAAACACAACTTGACTGTTCATTTCTCCAAAAGACAACCATGAAGCTCCATCCAAACCTGAAGCAGGCAGTTGGTGCATGTGTACAGTAACCTGAGGGGAGTGAGGTGACTGCTTCTGAGGAGAACATGAGCAGTGAAGATTCACCTTGGAGCTAGAACAGGGACGTGCACATGATTATACAGGGGCAGGGGCTCAAGTTTTTTCCAGTCATTTATACAATATGGAAATTAATGTGAAATTAAAAAACAAAGTATTAATAGAAAGGTTATGACTGTCCTGTGTAGATGACAGTGATATCCAATAGGCTAGGCACTCACGAGGCTGGCTGTGGCAGGTGTAAGTGAAAGCAACACGCACTGGCAGGAAGAACAGCAAACGCCGATGAAGGAAAGGGTCTTTGCAGTGATGGGCGTTACCAGAGAGGGCGATGGCCAGAGGACGCGAATGGGACGGGGAGGCAGCGCGTTGGGGGGGGCAGCGCGACACGGCTCGGGCCCGCCAGTGCCCCAACGGGGCCCTAGTTAGGGCCCGAGCGTAGCTGCTAAGCAGCTGCGAGAGCCCTATTGTTCCTGATGGATTCTTCTTTCTTCTTCTTCTTCTTATTAGGGCCCGAGCATAGCTGCTAAGCAGCTGCGAGAGCCCTCTTGTTCCTGATGGATTCTTCTTTTGTTATTAGGGCCCGAGCCAGCTGCAGAGCAGCCGGGCGTAGAGCCCTATTATTCCTGTATAGGTTTTTCTTTCTTCTTTCTTTCTTTCTTTCTTCTTATTTTTCCTCCCCTTTGAAGGGGAAAATGGCCCACTTCCCACTGGCGAAAACTCAGGAAATTTGGCAGGACGACCGGGCCTGGTGAAAAATTCGATATTCTGAAGTCGCCCAAACAATAAAATGCAAAATGGCTCCATAGCGCCCCCTAAGGCGAAAATTCACACTATTGACTGTCACGCCTGTACGCTTTGTCATATTGACACAAAAATTGACACACACATGTATCTCAATAAGATCTACAAAAAAGTCAGTGCGGGCGTATCTGTCAAATGTACGGTTAAAGGGTTATTTCGCATTTTTTGCAGATCCGCACACATTGGAATTTCGCTAACTCCTCCGAAGGCTTTCGTTCCACCGGCACCACATTTGCTCAGGCCAATCTACACTCCATGGCCATTCAAAGTTGTACAAATCATGATGCTGCACTCCATGGTTTAGGTTCTAGGGGGCGCCAAAAATAACCCAAAAATCCACATTCTTAAAAGTTTTATAACTTTTTTTTTTGTCCTCACTGGCCTCCAAGTTTTCTAGGATGATGCAATGTCCAGCCATCAACACATTTGTAAAGGAATTTTTACTCCCCAAAAGAGCGCCCCCCCATGGCAGGACAAAAAATCAATTTTTTCTTGTCCCCTAAGGTGAAAATACACATTGTTGAGATTCACGCCTGTATGCTTTGTCAAAATGACACAAAATTTGACACACACGTGTATCTCAATAAGATCTACGAAAAAGTTAATGGGCACGTATCTGTAAATTGTACGGTTAAAGGGCTATTTCGCATTTTTTTGCCGATTCGCACGCATCGGAATGTAGCTAACTCCTCCTAAGGCTTTCGTCCCACTGACACCAAATTTTTGTCAGGCCAATCTATACCCCATGGCCATTCAAAGTTGTAAAAATCATGACGCTGCACCCCACGGTTTACGTTTTAGGGGGCGCCAAAGATGACCCAAATATCCATATTCTTTAAAGTGTTAAAACATTTTATTTTTGTCCTCACTAGCCTCCAAGTTTTCTAGGATGATGCAATGTCCAGCCATCAACACATTTGTGAAGGACTTTTTTCTCGTTAAAAGAGCGCCCCCCCCCCCCCCCCCCCCATGGCAGGAGAATAAAGTCAAGTTTTTCCTGTTCATCGTTCAATGGCTCAAACACATCGCTCTCTCGGCAAAAGCGAAAGGAGAAGCAATTTGCCATTTGGATATTTCCTAGCTGTGTTTGTGCCCTCACTCGTGGTCCAGACTTTTTTCAAATAGGACATGTAGTTTGTCTGCAGCCAGCGTTTCGGTAGAAACTGCGCCTCCCATTCATTATAATGGGAAATGACCAAAGACAGGTGTGCACACTATCTTTGGACCTCGACTGTGACGTCACAGTATGACATTCAAATGTTATTTGACCTCTGACCTTTGGTGGAGACGTGAACCTTTCAACCTGCAAAAACAGCGTTTCAATAGCTCTTACGGCTTTTCTACAAATACACTTTGTTCTGCTGCTCCTACTGTCTCTTCAGAGCTGCTTCACAGATCATCAAAGAGTGTGCATGTGTGTAATAATATAATCATTTTTAGTGACAATGATTTTTAGTGACATCATACATTTGTTTTTTTCAGCAGAGGCAGCCACCTTAAATGTTGACGTGTGTTTTCTGCAGTTGCATCACATGGCCACAGGGTGCCAGTGTTGGACTCATTTTCCAGGGTCTATTGTTGTTGCTAACATGTATTTGTAAAATCAAACCCCTATTTTTATAATAGAAAATGTCCTGTGAAGATTTGTCCACTGCAGTGACCGTTATACGTGAAAGGGTTAATTGTGTAGTGGAAGTGTTTAGTGTTTAGGATACACACACACAGACACACACACACACACACACACACACACACACACACACACACACACACACACACACACACACACACAGAGTCTGTTTTTTAGCACCTGCAAAAACATGCTATTTACATATTAGACAGGAATGCAGAGGCTTGCCCCTGAAAAAATCAAATGTCAAACGCAAATTGGCTGGTCATTTCTCCAAAAGACAACCATGAAGCGCTATCTAAACCTGAAGCATGCAGTTGCTGCATGTGTACAGTAACCTGAGGGGAGTGAGGTGACTGCTTCTGAGGAGAACATGAGCAGTGAAGATTCACCTTAGAGCCAGAACAGGGACGTGCACATGATTATAGAGGGGCAGGGGCTCAAGTCTTTTCCAGTTCTTTATACAAAATGGAAATTAATGTGAAATTAAAAAACAAAGTATTAATAGAAAGGTAATGACTGTCCTGTTTAGATGACAGTGATATCCAATAGGCTAGGCACTCACGAGGCTGGCTGTGGCAAGTGTAAGTGAAAGCAACACGCACTGGCAGGAAGAACAGCAAACGCCGATGAAGGAAAAGGGTCCTTGCAGTGATGGGCGTTACCAGAGAGGGCGATGGCCAGAGGACGCGAATGGGACGGGGCGTGACACGGCTCGGGCCCGCCAGTGCCCCAACGGGGCCCTAGTTATTATTAGGGCCCGAGCGTAGCTGCTAAGCAGCTGCGAGAGCCCTCTTGTTCCTGATGGATTCTTCTTTCGTTATTTTTCCTCCGCTTTAAACTGGAAAATGGCCCACTTCCCACTGGCGAAAACTCAGGAAATTTGGCAGAATGACTGGGCCTGGTGAAAAATTTGATATTCTGAAGTCGTCCAAACAAAAAAATGAAAAATGGCTCCATAGCGCCCCCTATGGTGAAAACTCACCTGATGCCTGTACGCTTTGTCAAAATGACACAAAATTTGACACACATGTGTATCTCAATAAGATCTACGAAAAAGTCAGTGCGGGCGTATCTGTCAAATGTACGGTTAAAGGGCTATTTCGCTTTTTTTGCCGATCCGCACACATTGGAATTTCGCTAACTCCTCCAAAGGCTTTCGTTCCACTGGCACCAAATTTGCTCAGGCCAATCTACACCCCATGGCCATTAAAAGTTGTACAAATCATGACGCTGCACCCCACGGTTTAGGTTCTAGGCGGCGCCAAAGATAACCCAAAAATCCACATTCTTAAAAGTCTTATAACTTTTTATTTTTGTCCTCACTGGCCTCCAAGGTTTCTAGGATGATGCAATGTCCAGCCATCAACACATTTGTGAAGGAGTTTTTACTCCCCAAAAGAGCGCCCCCCCATGGCAGGAGAAAAAGTCCATTTTTTCTTGTCTCCTAAGGTAAAAATACACATTGTTGAGTGTCACGCCTATACACTTTGTCATATTGACACACAATTTGACAATCACGTGTATCTCAATAAGATCTACAAAAAAGTCAATAGGCACGTATCTGTCAAATGTACGGTTAAAGGGCTATTTCGCATTTTTTGCCGATTCGCACACATTGGAATGTGGCTATCTCCTCCTAAGGCTTTCGTCCCACCGATACCAAATTTGCTCAGGGCAATCTACACCCCATGCCCATTCAAAGTTGTAAAAATCATGCCGCTGCACCCCACGGTTTACGTTCTAGGGGGCGCCAAAGATGACCCAAAAATCCACATTCTTAAAAGTCTTTTTGGTCACTGCAGGAGTACAGAGTACTGCAGGATACACACACATACACACACACACACACACACACACACACACACACACACACACACACTCAGAGTCTGTTTTTTAGCACCTGCAAAAACATGCTGTTTACATATTTGACAAGAATGCAGAGGCTTCCTTTTGCCCCTGAAAAAAATCAAATTTCAAACACAACTTGACTGTTCATTTCTCCAAATGACAACCATGAAGCTCCATCCAAACCTGAAGCAGGCAGTTGGTGCATGTGTACAGTAACCTGAGGGGAGTGAGGTGACTGCTTCTGAGGAGAACATGAGCAGTGAAGATTCACCTTGGAGCGAGAACAGGGACGTGCACACGATTATACAGGGGCAGGGGCTCAAGTTTTTTCCAGTCGTTTATACAATATGGAAATTAATGTGAAATTAAAACACAAAGTATTAATAGAAAGGTAATGACTGTCCTGTGTAGGTGACAGTAATATCCAATAGGCTAGGCACTCACGAGGCTGGCTGTGGCAAGTGTAAGTGAAAGCAACACGCACTGGCAGGAAGAACAGCAAACCCCGATGAAGGAAAAGGGTCTTTGCAGTGATGGGCGTTACCAGAGAGGACGATGGCCAGAGGACGCGAATGGGACGGGGAGGCAGCGCGTTGGGGGGGGGCGCGACACAGCTCGGGCCCGCCAGTGCCCCAACGGGGCCCTAGTTATTATTTTTCCTCCGCTTTAAACTTGAAAATGGCCCACTTCCCACTGGCGAAAACTCAGGAAATTTGGCAGGACGACCGGGCCTGGTGAAAAATTCGATATTCTGAAGTCGCCCAAACAATAAAATGCAAAATGGCTCCATAGCGCCCCCTAAGATGAAAATTCACACTATTGACTGTCACGGCTGTACGCTTTGTCATATTGACACAAAAATTGACACACACATGTATCTCAATAAGATCTACATAAAAGTCAGTGCGGGCGTATCTGTCAAATTTACGGTTAAAGGGTTATTTCGCATTTTTTGCCGATCCACACACATCGGAATTTCGCTAACTCCTCTGAAGACTTTCGTTCCATCAGCACAACATTTGCTCAGGTCAATCTACACCCCATGGCCATTAAAAGTTATTCAAATCATGACGCTGCACCCCACGGTTTAGGTTCTAGGGGGCGCCAAAGATAACCCTAAAATCCACATATTTAAAAGTCTTATAACTTTTTATTTTTGTCCCCACTGGCCTCCAAGTTTTCTAGGATGATGCAATGTCCAGCCATCAACACATTTGTGAAGGAATTTTTACTCCCCAAAAGAGCGCCCCCCCATGGCAGGAGAAAAAAGTCCATTTTTTCTTGTCCACTAAGGTGAAAATACACATTGTTGAGTGCTACGCCTGTATGTTTTGTCATATTGACACAAAATTTGACATACACGTGTATTTCAATAAGATCTACGAAAAAGTCAATGCGCGCGTATCTGTCAAATGTACGGTTAAAGGGTTATTCCGCATTTTTTGCGGATCCGCACACAATGGAATTTCGCTAACTCCTCCGAAGGCTTTCGTTCCACCGGCACCACATTTGCTCAGGCCAATCTACACCCCATGGCCATTAAAAGTTATTCAAATCATGACGCTGCACCCCACGGTTTAGGTTCTAGGGGGCGCCAAAGATAACCCTAAAATCCACATATTTAAAAGTCTTATAACTTTTTATTTTTGTCCTCACTGGCCTCCAAGTTTTCTAGGATGATGCAATGTCCAGCCATCAACACATTTGTGAAGGAATTTTTACTCCCCAAAAGAGCGCCCCCCATGGCAGGAGAAAAAAGTCCATTTTTTCTTGTCCCCTAAGGTGAAAATTCACACTATTGAATGTCACGCCTTTACGCTTTGTCATATTGACACAAAAATTGACACACACATGTATCTCAATAAGATCTACAAAAAAGTTAGCGCGGGCGTGTCTGTCAAATGTACGGTTAAAGGGTTATTTTGCATTTTTTGCCGATCCGCACACATTGGAATTTCGCTAACTCCTCCGAAGGCTTTCGTTCCACCGGCACCACATTTGCTCAGGCCAATCTACACCCCATGGCCATTAAAAGTTGTACAAATCATGACGCTGCACCCCACAGTTTACGTTCTAGGGGGCGCCAAAGATAACCCAAAAATCCACAGTCTTAAAAGTCTTATAACTTTTTATTTTTGTCCTCACTGGCCTCCAAGTTTTCTAGGATGATGCAATGTCCAGCCATCAACACATTTGTGAAGGAATTTTTTCTCCCCAAAAGAGCGCCCCCCCATGGCAGGAGAAAAAGTCAAGTTTTTCCTGCCCATCGCTCAATGGCTCAAACGCATCGCTCTCTCGGCAAAACCGAAAGGAGGAGCAACTTGCCATTTGGATATATACAAGCTGTGTTTATGCCCTCACTCATGGTCCAGACTTTTTTCAAATAGGACATGGAGTTTGTCTGCAGCGAGTATTTTGGTAGAAACTGCGCCTCCCATTAATTATAATGGTAAATGACCACAGACAAGTGCGCACACCATCTTTGGACCTTGAATGTGACGCGATCGGGAGGGGTAGGCGGTCGCGCTGGGGGCGGTGCAACACGGCTCGGGCCCGCCAGTGCCCCAACGGGGCCCTAGTTATTATTTTTCTGCCCCTTTGAACTGGAAAATGGCCCACTTCCCACTGGCGAAAACTCATGAAATTTGGCAGGACGACCGGGCCTGGTGAAAAATTCGATATTCTGAAGTCGCCCAAACAATCAAAAGCAAAATGGCTCCATAGCGCCCCCTAAGGTGAAAAATTCACATGATTGAGTGTCATGCCTGTACGCTTTGTCAAAATGACACAAAATTTGACACACACGTGTATCTCAATAAGATCTACGAAAAAGTCAGCGCGGGCGTATCTGTCAAATGTACGGTTAAAGGGCTATTTCGCATTTTTTGCCGATCCGCACACATTGGAATTTCGCTAACTCCTCCGAAGGCTTTCGTTCCACCGGCACCAAATTTGCTCAGGCCAATCTACACCCCATGGCCATTAAAAGTTGTACAAATCATGACGCTGCACCCCACGGTTTACGTTCTAGGGGGCGCCAAAGATAACCCAAAAATCCACATTCTTAAAAGTCTTATAACTTTTTATTTTTGTCCTCACTGGCCTCCAAGTTTTCGAGGATGATGCAATGTCCAGCCATCAACACATTTGTGAAGGAATTTTTACTCCCCAAAAGAGCGCCCCCCCATGGCAGGAGAAAAAAGTCCATTTTTTCTTGTCCCATTAGGTGAAAATACACATTGTTGAGTGTCACGCCTGTACGCTTTGTCATATTGACACAAAATTTGACAATCACGTGTATCTCAATAAGATCTACGAAAAAGTCAATGCGCACGTATCTGTAAAATGTCGGTTAAAGGGCTATTACGCATTTTTGGTCGATTCGCACACATTGGAATGTGGCTAACTCCTCCTAAAGCTTTCGTTCCACCGGCACCAAATTTGCTCAGGCCAATCTACACCGCATGGCCATTAAAATTTGTACAAATCATGACGCTGCACCCCACGGTTTACATTCTAGGGGGCGCCAAAGATAACCCAAAAATCCACATTCTTTAAAGTCTTATAACTTTTCATTTTTGTCCTCACTGGCTTCCAAGTTTTCTAGGATGATGCAATGTCCAGCCATCAACACATTTGTGAAGGACTTTTTTCTCCCTAAAAGAGTGCCCCCCCATGGCAGGAGAAAAAGTCAAGTTTTTCCTGCCCATCGCTCAATGGCTCAAACACATCGCTCTCTCAGCAAAACCGAAAGGAGGAGCAACTTGCCATTTGGATATATCCTAGCTGTGTTTGTGCCCTCACTCATGGTCCAGACTTTTTTCAAATAGGACATGTAGTTTGTCTGCAGCGAGCGTTTTGGTAGAAACTGCGCCTCCAATTCATTATAATGTAAATGACCACAGACAAGTGCGCACACCATCTTTGGACCTTGAGTGTGACGCGATCGGGAGGGAGAGGCGGTCGTGTTGGGGGCGGCGCGACACAGCTCGGGCCTGCCAGTGCCCCAACGGGGCCCTAGTTATTTTTCTGCCCCTTTGAACTGGAAAATGGCCCACTTCCCACTGGCGAAAACTCATGAAATTTGGCAGGACGACCGGACCTGGTGAAAAATTCGATATTCTGAAGTCGCCCAAACAATCAAAAGCAAAATGGCTCCATAGCGCCCCCTAAGGTGAAAAATTCACATGATTGAGTGTCACGCCTGTACGCTTTGTCAAAATGACACAAAATTTGACACACATGTGTATCTCAATAAGACCTACAAAAAAGTCAGTGCGGGCGTATCTGTCAAATGTACCGTTAAAGGGCTATTTCGCATTTTTTGCCGATCCGCACACATTGGAATTTCGCTAACTCCTCCGAAGGCTTTCGTTCCACCGGCACCAAATTTGCTCAGGCCAATCTACACCCCATGGCCATTCAAAGTTGTACAAATCATGACGCTGCACCCCACGGTTTACGTTCTAGGGGGCGCCAAAGATAACCAAAAAATCCACATTCTTAAAAGTCATAACTTTTTATTTTTGTCCTCACTGGCCTCCAAGTTTTCTAGGATGATGCAATGTCCAGCCATCAACACATTTGTGAAGGAATTTTTACTCCCAAAAAGAGCGCCCCCCCATGGCAGGAGGAAAAGTCCAGTTTTTCTTGCCCCCTAAGGTCAAAATTCACATTATCAAGTGTCACACCTGTATGCTTTGTCATATTGACACAAAATTTGACACACACGTGTATCTCAATAAGGTCTACAAAAAAGTCGGCACGGGTGCATCTGTAAAATGTACGGTTAAATTTTTTTTGGCGATTCGCACACATTGGAATGTGGCTAACTCCTCCTAGAGCTTTCGTTTGTCCGGCACCAAATTTGCTCAGGCCAATCTACACCCCATGGCCATTCAAAGTTGTACAAATCATGACGCTGCACTCCACGGTTTACGTTCAAGTGGGCGCCAAAGAGGACCCAAATATCCACATTTTTAAAAGTCTTATAACTTTTTATTTTTGTCCTCACTGGCCTCCAAGTTTTCTAGGATGATGCAATGTCCAGCCATCAACACATTTGTGAAGGAATTTTTTCTCCCCAAAAGAGCGCCCCCCCATGGCAGGAGAAAAAGTCAAGTTTTTCCTGCCCATCGCTCAATGGCTCAAACGCATCGCTCTCTCGGCAAAACCGAAAGGAGGAGCAACTTGCCATTTGGATATATACTAGCTGTGTTTGTGCCCTCACTCATGGTCCAGACTTTTTTCAAAAAGGACACAGAGTTTGTCTGCAGCGAGCGTTTTGGTAGAAACTGCGCCTCCCATTCATTATAATGGTAAATGACCACTGACAAGTGCGCACACCATCTTTGGACCTTAAGTGTGACACGATCGGGAGGGGGAGGCGGTCGCGCTGGGGGCGGCGCAACACAGCTCGGGCCCGCCAGTGCCCCAACGGGGCCCTTGTCATTTATTTGATCTGGGATTTCAGCCAACTGTAACTCTCTGCTGTTCAGATCTGCACTGTGAGCTCTAATCCTGACAGGTAAATTCTTTCTCCTTGGGTCGTGTAAAAAGGAGAAAAAGTGAGCAAGCAAGAGTCCTCAGCATTTTAATTTGAGGTGGAGTCATGACAGATGTGACACATTTCATTGATAATCTTTAGTCTTGAAGTTTGCTATTGTGTGTAATGACTCTGTAATCATGTATTCTGGTTTCACTGAACCAAATAAACTGGGAGAAGAAATACCAAACAGAACACTGATGGTGAACTCTAACCGAGGTTAAGGGCTCTATTTTCGTGCTTCGCCGGAGACGTGGCGCAACAAGGTGTTCCCAAGCACAATTTGGTATTTTGGTGACCGGCGCAGCCTGGTTTAAGTATCCCCCCTCCCTAACTCAGCTCCTCCAGGCGGCGTAAGTCATTGCAAGGGAGGAGAGAGGGGGCGTTGAGTGGCTTTAACACAGCCGAAATACCTACCAAAGGTATTTCCGCTACCAAAAAACCACTCGACCAGCTGTGCTCTGCCTGCACTGAAAGCTGACCAGGTTTGAATTGGCGCACTTTATACGCCACTGGCAAGCACAAAAATGTCACTGCAGCAGCTGATTCTGCCGACACCTCCCTCTGCCACGCCACCAAGAAGACCTCTTCAGAGGGACCTCCAGACCACCGCGGCTGGATGCACCAGCCTGCCTCCGCGCCCCTTAGGAACACCCGCTGCTCACGGGAATAAAAGTAAATAGAAGCAAGTCCAAAGATGAATACAAAATATGGTAAACACACGTGATTTCAGCCAAAGCACTAAAATGGTAAAACTTACAGCTTCCACATTCGAAGTTGGGTCCCTGACACGGACAGTCAGTACGGATCCACGTTTTATCTTCAGCTTCTTAGTGAATCCTAATTTGATTTGGCCTTGGTTGGTAAAACAATCCATGGTGGAATGGTTAGCACACACATACAACATTTTCAGAGTTGTTGTGGGTACATTTCCATCAAAAATAAATTAATCTGCTGGGTCCTCAAATCTTCAGACAAAGGAGGCAGAAATAGATTCCTGTCTTTGAAACAAGAAGCAGCTGGGTCATAGCTGACATGGTTGCTGTACCGGAGCGGCATATGCAAGGGGAAAAAATGGCGGACGTTATCAGATGTTTCATAATAGGTGACCTTTAAGTCTTAACATTTATCATTGATAAAATATAAACAATTATAATTCTGAAATAAAGCCCTGCCTCAAAAAAAGCCTGCTTCATAAAGACCTGGCCTATATTTAAGGTATTTTAATGATGAACCTCAGAAACTGTAAGAAGAGCTGTGAACCAAGGACTACTCAGTGCAGTATAGTAATGAGGGTCAACAAGGTTTTCTTCTAAACTTGAACTTCTGCCAGTTTAAACTAACTGTCAGATCAGAGCAGACCTGAAGAAACCACAAACCTCCATCTTATCTCATACACAAACAGATAAACTATCTTGACCACGAAGAGCTGAGGTAATGATGACCGTGTTTCGGAACAGATACAAAAGAAAATGAGTTGAAAAACCTCCACCTTTGTCTCTGTGTCTCTCTGACAGATCGAGGTGGGTTCCCTCGCACCAGACTCTGCCCTTTCCCCGCCACTGCCCACTCCTGAACAGGAGGAGGAGACGACTCCGCCCACCCAGCCCCATCTCCCCACCCACCCTCCATCCCCAGTCACTCTCAACTTTAGAGGTCCGGGTCTGTTTGGACCTGAGACCGGTCTTGGTAAGTCAGAGTGTGACCTGTTATACCTGTTCCATATTTCTGTATATCATTGTAAAGCCGCATTCAGACCAAACATGACCTGAAGCGACCTAGTCGCGTTGGTCGCTGTAACCACGTTGTGTCGCACCCTGGTGTGTTCAACCCGGGTCCAAAGCTGCAGTTGCGAAGGTCGCAGGACGCGGCTGGTTGCCGATGACCAGCTTCTCCTACCTTCCTTCTCCCTCCTTTTCTCCCTCATATATACATCCCGCAGCCCCTTCCAGCGCTTGCGGCACACATCCACTGCAAATACACACACACACACACACACACGTTGAAACATGTAGCCTAGCAAGCAGGGGCAGTTTGATATGTTTTCAGAAAGTAGTCTGCTCACTGAAATAAATAAACAAACAAACTTACCAGAAAGCCCAACATCATTGGCCACCTTCGCCCATGCCTCCTCCTTGGAGATGCGGTCCCGGTAGAACGCGCACCCCACATCGTACAAGACTGGGTGATTACTTACGGCAGTGATAAGCCTAGTCGCATCAGGTTGTGGCTGTACATAGACTTTGCATTGGAAGTCGTTGCTCAAGTTGCCGAGGTCGCGTTTGGTCTGAACGCGGCTTAAGAGGTCTGCCCCCTGTTCACCTGCAGGTATGCCAACATGTCTGCTGTGTGTATGTATCAGCGGGAGTGTTTACTGTGATGACTCAGGTCTGGACCAGGTCCCACCCCTTCCCAAAGACACTACCCGCTTCTATGGACGCTTTAACAGGATTCGGCACGTGAGGAAAACTGACTTCATGTACCTGAGTAAGGACATACTCACCTGTCCACACCTGTCCAGAATCTCTTCCATTAAGATTTAACTGTACTTTTGCACCTAGTTCACCTATCATAAGCACACCTGTAGAACCTGTCAGTTAAACTAAAAGACCTACTGTGCTTTTATTTTCAGAGCAGCTGCTGTCGATTGACCTGTCAGGCAACATGATCTCAGAGATAGACGAGGATGTGTTTGCATCTCTGTCTCACCTGCAGGACTTGATCTTACCTTTTAACCAGCTGCAGATGTTACCTGAGTTGTCGCAGTCTCTTAGACTTGTCGACGTCAGGAACAACCGCTTGAGCAGCAGGGGACTACACGCTGAGGCCTTTAAGGTAAGAACCAGGTGACTCAGGTAAAATTTACCTGTGAGATGTGAAGAGCCTGCCCCTGAAGACAACCAGCTGAATAACAGGGGAGGCAGAAAACTTTGTTGTCATGGAGATGGTGAGGTAATCTCATGACAGGAGTTTATTCGAACAGGTCTGATCAGGTAAAAATGCACTGAGCATGCTCAGTCTGAAACATCGCTCATACAGGTAAGATATTCACTGTATTCTAACAAAGTGGAGGTGTTCATTGTTTTTTTTTACTGAGGTAATCTCTGTACCTAACTGTATCTGTCAGGTCATGAATAATGTTGATTTTTCTGGATTTTCCAAATTCATCCAGATTTATTCTGTTGTATCCTACACAATTTATCCAAATATATCTGGATTATCCTGATTCATCCTGATTAATTTATTCTGATTCGTCCTTGTTTATCCTGATTCATAGTTTATATTGCCTTATCCAGGTTTTTAGTGTCTCACCAGGTTTAGCTCAAATTTTTCTTTTTTTTGGGGATTCTTTTTTTAAACATTGTTAGGAATATATGTGTGAGTGTCCAAATGTGAGTATCTGTGTGGATGTGTCTGCATGTAAAAGTGAGCATGTAGCTGTGTGGATGTACCTGTTTGGGAGTGTCTTTGTGAGAGTGAGTGGGAGTGGTTGTGTGAGAGTGTCTGTGGCTGTGTCTCATTTCAGAGACCGCACCGTCAAACGGCGCATTTGAAGTGTGCGGGATGTCATCACGCGGTGCAAAAGGTGTCCCATTTGGCTCAAAATGCTGAGCGTGCTTCAATTTCGGTCTCAAAACCACACTACCCCCGCCCCTTTTTCAAGCGTGCATTTATGCACGCTTTCGTGGCCTTGGTATCCCAGAATTCTTTGCGTGCCACTGCACAGTTGTGCATTTTGGATGACAGGTCAGACTCGCTTGAAGATGCAGCCAGCTTCAAAGAAAATAATACTTAGAGATTAAAGTTGTAGACTTAGGAGAATAAAGTCATAGAGTATATAAAGTCATAAAGCTGCTTTTGTGGGGGGGGAAATGACTGAAGCTGGTCATCTGCAGGGTTATCTGTGGATGTATCAGCGGGTCATTCAGAGAGATTTCGTGGTTTCTGAAGAAACAATCCAACAGATGAATTTGTGATTAAGAGGGAGTTGAGCTCCGACGAGCACAACGTCTCTGACACCGGCGGTAACCTACATCTGCAGAGACACCAACACCTTATTATGGCATATGGATTCATATCATAAACTAAAGCTCAATGCCATTCACAGCTATTTACAGCTGCATTGACGGATTTATCCGCAGCATATCAATTTCTGCCTCCACGAAAGCAGCGATTTCCTCCAAGTCCACCTGTTTTTTTCGTGAAAAGACTCATTTCTCATCTATTCTTTTTAAAGTCCTTATACTTATGAAAATGTAATGCTGATGTGCCAAAGGATGAAGTATCTCCTTGTTTGTGAAACCTATACTGAAGCATAGTTTCTTCAAATGCTTCATGGCCCTAATTTTAACAACTCTCCTTTGAAATAACAGGTAACCTTATGACTTTATTCTCATAAATTCATGACTTAAATCTCGAAGTCTTTAAAAAAAATTCTCAATATGGCCCTCATACTCCATACAAAACATGCCATCATTGGATGATTTTGTGGAAATGATCTGTGCTTGTATGTATCAACTGTTGAGTATCCGTGCATGGTCGCACAATTAAAAAATAACTGCTGCACTCCACGGCTTTTCTTCATGTCAGTCGTGACGCGTGCCTGGAGGCGGGGACACTGGGCGACTCAACCAGGAAGTCCTCCAAAGGGTAGACCGTCCCAATTCACAAAAACCAGACCATCTCACCCAGGGTACTCAAGTCCACAGAACGGCAGTGCACTTGTATGCAGTCTCTGAATTGAGACACAGCCAATATGGTGGCTGACGCACTGTCCCGTGGGTGAGACCTGTACATTTTCCAGATCAGAATTCATATTTTGTGGGATGTGAATGATAATTAGGATCCTGAGTGACTTTCAGCAGTGGAGCAGCAGCAGCCTTAGTGTGATTTTCTCAATAGTGATTGGAAAAGTGATTTATCTTTGTTTAGACAGGTCGGTGTTTATTTCCTTCTGGTGAGTTTTTGTAGCCGTCACCTGTTCTTAGTTAGTCGTCCTGTTTTAAAAAGGATTGTTTTTTGTTGTTATAATTATTATTGTCTTTAGTTTTGTGAGGATTGATTTACTTCTGTAGTGGTTGTCAAAGTACCTGAGTTATTGTATATTCTTGCCATTCTCTTTTTATTTCCATCCTTGCCTGTTTTTTCAATTGCTTTTTTTGTTAGTCCTTAGTACCTCTATCCTATCAGGACACAACAAAACACATTTTACCTGTATTCTCCCAATTAACCTAATTATAATCATGATTTAGAGAGATTTTTTAGTTTTCCCCAGTCTCTCTGGATTTAACCCAATTTCCCCTGTTTTACCTTTATTACCCTCTTGATTTATCTGAATTTTTTTATTTATCTTCCCAATGAATTGAATTTTCTTGAACTTATTTTGATTTATCTGGACTTCTCTAGCCTCAGGATAACTGAGAAACATACATGAATACAAGGAATGTTTCTCAGTTATCCTGATTAAGCTACAAATCGGGAGAGCAGAACAAGGCTCGGGAACTCAGGAGAGTTTCAGACTCTTTATTTTGGAAATGGCAAAGGCAGGTAAACTGCAGAGGACGAGGGAGAAGTTCCTGTTCAAACAGAGACGAGGAGACTCAGGCAGGCTGCTGAGAGGTAGGAGTGAGTAATTATCAGGACTGTAGACTGAACAACTAGGACAGGAGTGTGAAGAGCCTGACGTTTAATACTGCTGGGCTGCTGAGTGGATGGGCTACATGTGTTAGACTGGAGACAGGTGAAAGAGATTGATGGTAACCAAGAGGGAGAGGCTACACCTACACACAACAGGGGCAAATGAGGAAAGACGGGTATGAACAGGAGAGGGAACACCAAAGGACTCTGGGAAACTGAGTCTGAACACTTAGACTGATAAATCAGGATTTGTTTTGTTTATCCTGATTATTCTGAAATTTTCCTCAACAGTGTGTGAATGAACCAAACTTGAAGAGGTTATTGATCAGAGGTAAAGATAAAACGTCACTGGCAGTACTGATCTCTGACAGTTTGATGGTATGGTCAATAAAAAATTGGTAAAATTCACTGTACACAGGATTTCTTAGGTTTACGAATCTTTGAATCAGTTTAATGTGTCAGCAGGTAAATCAGTGCTCAGGTGTTGTTCAGCAACAGAGCACACTCTGGCAGACCTTCTCAGGTGTTGCGCTCTGATCTTGTGTGTGTGTGTGTGTTATTTTTTCTGCAGGACATGAGTCAGCTGGAGTTTCTTTACCTGTCCAACAATAATCTGGATTATGTTCCTACCCCACTGCCCCTGAGCCTGAGAGCCATCCACCTGCAGGTACACACAGCGACATGCACCTGGGTTTGCACTTGCCTGCAGACACAAACTTGTTTGTATTTTGACTGTGTAAACGTAATAACATCAACTCAAACATGTTTACCGTAGTCTAATTAGAGCTTTTGTTTTATAGGAGCTAAACTTGAATGTTTTATGAATTCTTATTTTGTTTTTATTTGATGGATAATTGTTATTCTATGGATTATTATCTATTGATCATTTTATGGATGCTCATTTTATAGAATATTATTTATGGATCATTTTTATTTCATGTTCAAATACTGACTGATTCTAATTCCTGACCCTTCCTCTCCCTCTGTCAGAACAATAACATCCAGTCTCTGCATGACGACACCTTCTGTAACCGACTCGACAGAAACTTTATCCGCAGGAACTTGGAGGACATCCGCCTGGACGGGAACCCGCTCAACATCAACCTGTTTGCCTCGGGGTACACCTGTCTGCCCCGTCTACCAGTGGGGAGGCACTGAGCATGCTCTGCGTGCGCCTCAGATTTTTAAGCTAGAGAAAATGACACCTGACAGGTGTGTGTGTGTTGCAGTGGAGATCATTTGGTCTGAGTGTTCAAATTTCTATATGACTTTCATTGTAATTAAAACTACACGTGACACTAAGTTCATTAAATGTGTTTAATTTAACTGACTCTGTGTTAATGTTTGATTAAAAACAAACATTATAAACTTAAATCCTCAAAGAGTTCAAATCTGTGACTGTCGCAAGGCAGAGAAGCTGCTGTTCAGAGCTGTTCCCCAACACCTGACAGGCTTTAAAATAAAGCACTGAATCACAGTGACAGACCATAGACCAGGGGCCTGTTCTACGAAACAAGTTCAAGGTAGCCTTGGAGCTACCTCGCTCAACTTAGGCTGTGTCAAATTTCAGAGACCGCATCGGGATAAGCGCGCTTCACGGCACTTAGCTGAGTGCACTGCCGTTTTGTGCTGTTATGTGCCGTTTTGCGCCATTATGTACCCTTCCTGTGTCCCATTTCAGAGACCGCAACCATCGAACGGCGCATCTGAAGCATGCGTGAGGTCATCACGCGGCACGAACGGTGTCCCGTTTGGCACAAAATACTAAGCGCGCTTCAAAATCGGTCTCAAAACCACACTACCCCCGCCCTTTTTTCAAGCGTGCATGTATGCACGCTTTCGTGCCGTTGGTATCCCAGAATTCTTTGCGTGCCGCTGCACAGCTTCGCATTTCGGGTGAGAGGCTGGACTCGCTTCGAGACGCAGCGCGTCTTTAAAGAAAATACAAGAAATCCTAAAATGGCAGACAGTCAGCTCAGGCTGTATGAGAGCATGATCTCTTAACTAACTAAAATCTGTTAACCAAACATTATAGTATTTCGAGACAACTGATCCGCTCTGCTTCAACTATCAAAAACATTAGAAATAAGAAAGCTGACACAACTACAGAAGAGTATCAGGACAACATTGAGTTTTTTTTTCTTTTAAGATTTAGAGATTAAAGTTGTAAATTTAGGAGAATAAAGTCAAAAAGTATATAAAGTCATAAAGCTGCTTTTGTGGAGGGGGAAATGACTGAAGCTGGTCATCTGCAGGGTTATCTGTGGATGTATCAGCGGGTCATTCAGAGAGATTTTGTGGTTTCTGAAGAAACAATCAAACTGATGATCAACATTTGTGATCCAGAGGGAGTCGAGCTCAGACGAGCACCACGTCTTTGACACCGGCGGTAGCCTACACCTGCAGAGACACCAACACCTTATTATGGCATATGGATTAATATCATAAACTAAAGCTCAATGTCATTCACAGATATTTCTGCCTCCACAAAAGCAGCGATTTCCTTCAAGTACACCAGTTTTTTTCGCCATGGAAAAGGTGTATTTCTCATATATTCCAAGTCCCTATACTTATGACAATGTAATGCTAATGTGCCAGAGGATGAAGTATCTCCTTGTTTGTGAAACCTATACTGAAGCACAGTTCCTTCAAATGCTTCATGGCCCTAATTTTAACAAGTCTCTCTGAAATAACAGGAAACTTTAAAACTTTATTCTCATAAATTAATGACTTTATTCTCGTAAATTCACGACTTAAATCTCTTAGTCTTTAAAGTCTTAAATCTCAATATGGCCCTCATACTCCTTCATACAAAACAATCATTGGATGAATTGTGCTTGTATATATCTACTATTTTGTGTCTGTGCAAGGTCGCACAATTAAAAAATAAATGCTGCGCTCCGCGGGTTTTCTTTAAGTCAGTCGTGACATGAGCCTGAGGGCGGGGACATTTGGCAACTCCACCAGGAAGTCCTCCGAAGGTCTCCAAATGTCCCCGCCCTCAGGCTTACGTCACGACTGACTAGAAAAAAAGCTGCAGAGCGCAGCATTTATTGTTTTAATTGTGCGACCTTGCACAGACACAAAATAGTAGATATATACAAGCACAGATCATTCCCACAAAATTAATCCAATGATTGTTTTGTATGAAGGATTATGAGGGCCATATTGAGAATTTTTTTTAAAGACTTCGAGATTTAAGTCGTGAATTTACGAGAATAAAGTCATTAATTTATGAGAATAAAGTCGTAACCTGTTATTTCAGAGGAGACTTGTTAAAATTAGGGCCATGAAGCATTTGAAGGAACTGTGCTTCAGTATAGGTTTCACAAACAAGGAGACACTTCATCCTTTGGTACATCAGCATCACATTGTCGTAAGTATAAAGACTTAAAAAAAGAATATATGAGAAATACATCTTTTCCACGGGGAACAAAACTGGTGTACTTGAAGGAAATCGCTGCTTTTGTGGAGGCAGAAATGGATATGCTGAGGATATATCTGTCAATGCAGCCGTAAATATCCGTGAATGACATTGAGCTTTAATTTATGATATGAATCCATATGCCACAATAAGGTGTTGGTGTCTCTGCAGGTATAGGCTACCGCCGGTGTCAGAGACGTGGTGCTCGTCTGAGCTTGACTCCCTCTGGATCACAAATGTTGATCATCATCAGTTTGATTGTTTCTTCAGAAACCACAAAATCTCTTTAAATGACCCGCTGATACATCCACAGATAACCATGCAGATGACCAGCTTCAGTCATTTCCCCCTCCACAAAAGCAGCTTTATGACTTTATATACTTTATAACTTTATTCTCCTAAATTTACAACTTTAATCTCTAAATCTTAAGAGAAAAAAAAAACCCAATGTTGTCCTGATACTCTGCTGTAGTTGTGTCAGCTTTCTTATTTCTAATGTTTTTGATAGTTGAAGCAGAGCGGATCAGTTGTCTCTAAATCTATAATGTTTGGTTTGCAGATTTTAGTTAGTTCAGAGATCATGCTCTCATACAGCCTGAGCTGACTGTCTGCTGTTTTTGGATTTCTTGTATTTTCTTTGAAGACGCGCTGTGTCTCCAAGCGAGTCCAGCCTCTCACCTGAAATGCGCAGCTGTGCAGCGGCACGCAAAGCATTCTGGGATACCGACGGCACGAAAGCGTGCATAAATGCACGCTTGAAAACATGCTAAGCACGCTTAGCATTTCTTAGCATCTCGTGCCAAATGGGACACCGTTCGCACCGTCATGACGTCATGCACGCTTCAAATGCACCGTTCGACGGTGCAGAAGTGCACTTAGCCCGATGCGGTCTCTGAAATGAGACACAGCCTTAGTGCGGTAGCCAGCGGTCTCGCTAAACGGTCTTACGACGCTGGTTATCAACCTCGTAAGTGGATCTAGCTTTGAAATGAGTGCGTGCACGCATGTAAGGTGGAGCCCGCCGCATCTGACCAATTGCAAACTTGGACCAGTCTGGAGCATCAGAGCAGGCTGGAGAGCGAAGGACCGTGTACTTTACAAACGCGGAGCAGGAGACGATCATGAGAAAGTATGAAGAATTCAAATCTATCATAAACCTCAAAAGCAACACCGTCACCACTGCAAAAGCACGGAAGGAATGGTGGCAGAAAATTGCCGGCAGTCTCAATGTGTAAGTATAGTGCGCAAAAAACTTTGATGCCAATATCACCCTGAAAAAGCACTGTTCAACATGCGCTTTTAACATGCACCAGGCATGTCTAATTCATTTCCAAGATGAATTAATTCATTTGTTCATTCCTATCGTGTTTACAGTTTGTGTGTGATATGTAGCCCTTCAAGAGTGAGTCTGCTCCGATGCACACTCACAACAGGATTTGCAGGTATTGCGCTAGCAAAAAGGGAGGAGGAGGAAACAACAAATATGAGTTCCGTATGTGTCCACCTTTGTCTTCCTGACAAAAAGATAAAAAAAAGACATGGTTTGGAAAGATCAAACGGAATTTGGAAATCTTACTCTGTGCTGAGGTTTAATTTGATTGTGCAGGAACATGTCAAATAGTAAAGGGGTTTAAGATGCGTGGAGTCACTAACAATCAGAAGTATAATTTAGCTCCTGTCACTGTGGTGGTTGCTGGATTTATGATTTAACTGGGAGGATGAAGAAACGAGGCAGCTAGTGCGGCTCAGAACTGTACATGATGTCAGTTTACTAAGAAAATAAACGCTGCCTTGCACAGGAGGCATCTCTGTGTTGCTATGGTGAATGAATCTTTCCGTTCTCCAATGGAGTGAGGAAGGCGTCCCTTACCCGCCCATCTTGTTTATTCCCTTCCATTTCGATTGAGGCGGACTCCACAGCTGCGAGTGTAACTTCATTACTAGTGACACTCGGTAGTGAAGGGCGAGTTTGTAGTTTTGGGATTGGGCCATAAAATGGATGACGTCTGCCTCCTTACTAGGTGAAGCCTTCACGAGAACAGCACCCTCTGTTGACGGGCTGCAGTATAGGTCATAAATCCTGCCTCCTCCAGCAATCCCCATGGGGCGGTGGACACAATTTAGAAACTAATTACGCAAAATATAAACGTTTCTCCCCTCTGGTTGTGAAGTTGACATGTAGTTACTGTAGGACTGGTTTGTGCTCAAGTCCTCTTTTTTTCTGCACAGCTCCAATTTTCAAAAGTAATCAGGGGGTTCGTGTTTTCTATGATTGACACTTGATACAGCCTATGGGCACACGAAGATTATGTAGCTCACCTGAGGGATACGCCGTTTGAGCCGAACGTCATCAGTTTGCATACAAAGAACACGTAGGAGCGGATGATGCTGTCCTCTACATGCTTCACCGTGCCCTGTCTCATCTGGAGGAACCTGAGATTTATGTGAGGATCATGTTCTTTAACTTTTCAAGTGCACTCAACACCATTCAACCCACCATACTCAAAGACAAGCTCACAGAGATGGGAGTTGATCCTTCCTGTGTTTCCTGGATCACAGATTACCTGACAGGAAGGCCACTGTCAGGACAGGAAGGGGAACTGTGTTTCTGGGACATTAATGAGCAGTACAGGGGCTCCACAAGGGACAGCGCTGGCGCCATTCCTGTTCACACTGTATACGTCAGACTTCAAATACAGCACTGAGTCCTGCCACATCCAGAAATACTCAGATGACACTGCTGTCATGGCATGTATCAGAAATAAACAAGAAGCTCACTTCCGGTCGCTGATGGCGTAGAGAGCGGACGTGCAAGCGGGGAGCTCCAGCTGAACTTTTCATTTAACTTCTAAAACCTACTGATTTAACAGTGCTCCTGCCTGAATTGACTTGCATACATCTTATTTTACTTTGTGAGAAAGTGAACTTTGACGCAATGTCGGTAACTACCCGAGCTACTAGCATTTCAGCTAAGCTAGCTCGCAAGGCCGCTACTGTCCAGAAGCTTCCAGACCCAGGGGAAAGACGCGCAGATAGCGACCCTGCCGACCCAGTCACTAGGCTCGACCTGGAGGCTCTATTCAACAAGCAACGTGACTGCTTCATTGCCGATGTGGCTATATTGATTCAACAATCCACCGAATCCCTGAAACAGTCAGTCGAGACCCTCGGTCAACAGATGATGTCATTCAACACCCGGCTCACCAAAACTGAAGTTGTGGTGGGAGAGAACTTCGAGAAGATAACAGCAATGGAAGCTACAGTTGCTACACTAAATTCCCAAGCCGCACTGCTGGACCTGGCCAAAAAGCGGGCTGCGTTCAACCCTGTCAAGAACTCCCTCTACCTGAAAGGAGTAAAGTTCCAGCTGCTACATCCCGCCCGGCTCCAGGTCTGGCTCCGCAACGAGAGCTTCCACTTTGACTCTCCACAGAAAGCCCAGGATTTCTACAACCAGTGCATCGCTTCCACCGACTAGGGGACTTATCGAGGACCCGGTTCACGGCAATGTCTGGTCACCAGCACTCACTCACAGCTGTTCCGGTGAGACACTGACACAAGTGTTTGAATGTCAGTCTGCCCTTTCATTATAATAGGCTCGTATATACCGTCATAGACTGATTTCTTTTTGCCTAATAGTTTTAGTTATTAGGTAACTATCTTAATATTTTTTCTAGTTGCATTTGGGATAAAGTTTTATTCTGTTGAAATGTAAGTACAAGGGGCTATTTTGGCTGATCGTGTTCAGCATGTATACTGTCATATATTGCTTTCCTTTCCCCAAATAGACTTACTTCTAAGTTAATAATTTGGTCCATTTCATTTTCAAGTTTTACGTGGACACGATCTAAAAGCAAGGGGCTGTTTTTTGGTTGACCCTTAACAGCATGCATACTGCTGTATATTGCTTTTCTTCCCCCTAAGACTTTACGGAAGTCAACATTTTTTTTTAACTTTTTCTTTTTTTTCCCTTCTAGTTCTATATAGACAAATTGTAAGAACAAGGGCCTACTTTGGTTAATCCTTTACAACATGTATGCTGTTGTGTCTTGGTGCAGCTAACTATATATCTTTTTTTTTTTTTTTTTTTTTTTCTTGTTATAAATTTTCTTTTTTTTTCTTTCTTTCTCTCCTGTACTTTTTATTTATGTATTAACTTTATTGCATTTTTTTTTCTTTCTCCTCCTTTGTCATAATTCCCTATTTTTATTTACATATTATTATTATTATTATTATTATTATTATTATTATTATTGTTATTTATTATTATTGTCGTTCTTTTTTTTATTTTTTTTTTATTTTTTTATTTATTTATTTATTTTCCATATATACATATAATCACTCTGCGCATTGTATACATTGTAGTCACTTTCAGATATTGGAGTCTCGCCCGCTGGTTAGGGTTTTGCTTAGTTATGTCACACGGAAGTAACAGAGTCTATGGAGTCCCGCCGCTTGTCTGTGTTCATAGGTCAAGCTTAGGGAGGTATAGGTTTGTTTATGTTCATCTATTTCTTGTTTTTAGGGTTTTTGTTTTGGGGCAATGGGGTGGGAAATCCTACATATTGTTTTTATCTTTATTTCTGTCTGGGGTTTCAGCACTACATCCTTCACTGAATCAGTGCTTTTTCTTGCCATATTCCTACTAGTCTGCTATGCCTAACACTACAGGGAGATCTTGTCTGAGATTTGTCTCTTGGAATGTTAAAGGAATCAATGGTCCTGTTTAACGGGGTAGAGTTTTTTCTCACTTGAAGCATCTTAAAGCGGAAATTGCTTTTATCCAGGAGACACATCTGATCGCTAAGGATCACCATAGGTTAAAGGCTTCATGGGTGGGCCAAAGTTTCCACTCCAATTTTGGTAGTAAAGCAAGGGGTGTAGCGATCTTGATACACAAAAAGATACAGTTTTACCCTACAAAAGTTACAGCTGATCCCCAGGGCCGGTTTATTATTGTCTCAGGGACCCTTATTAATGTACCTGTCGTTTTAGTTAATCTCTATGCACCCAATTGGGATGATGAGGCATTTGTCGAGAAAGTAACCTCACTTTTACCTGACCTAACTTCCCACCACCTGATTTTAGGAGGTGATCTAAATTTCACAATTAACCCCCATGCCCACGAAAGGACTCTCCCTCTAAATTAGGTAACGCAATTACATTTTTTATGGATCAAATTGGAGCTGTGGATCCATGGCGCTTTCTCCATCCTAATAAAAAACAATTTTCTTTTTACTCTCATGTCCATAAAACATTTTCCAGAATTGACTATTTTTACATTGATAATTATTTTATTCCTGCTGTTAATAATACAGAATATTCAACGATAGTAGTGTCAGACCATGCTCCTCTACTTCTTGACCTTTCATTTGTACTCCTGCAAAAGACGCGCCCTTCATGGAGATTGAACAGCACTTTGCTAAATGATGATGACTTCTGTCAAACAATCTCCAAGGCAATCGATGATTATATTGCTACCAACAAGTCTGACCTCATCTCCCCATCCTTATGTGGGAAACATTAAAGGTAGTTGTTCGAGGAGACATTATATCCTATTCTGCAAGAATAAATAAAGTAAAGAGACAAAAACAGGATCAACTCATGGAAAAGATAACAGAATTGGACAGAAAATTATTAACCCATCCATCCCCAGAATTGGAAACGGAGAGACAAAACCTTCAAATGGACTATAAGTTGCTGTCAACACAGGAAACAGAAAAATTACTCTTAAGGTCACGGGGATTCCTTTATGAACATGGTGAGAAGGCAGGACGCCACCTGTCACGTCAAATTAAAAGTCAAACAGCATCCCAGCAAATTAAACAGATTAGAACCCCTTCAGGTGATCTCACAGTGATACCATCTGTCATAAATGAAACCTTTAAAACCTTTTACTCTGAATTATATACTTCACAATCCCCACCCGACAAAACAAATATGATGAGCTTCCTGGACAATAAAAACTTCCCCCTTTTGTCTCCTACCCAGAAGAGCGAACTGGATAAGCCTCTAGAATTCAGTGAGATAAAAGACTCAATTAAACTAATGCAAAGTGGCAAGGCTCCTGGCCCTGACGGCTACCCTATTGAATTTTTAAAAAAAATTGCTGATAAATTAATCCCTCTCCTTCTAGATATGTTTAACGATGCTTTAAATCGGGGAGCCTTACCCCAAACTCTCACTGAGGCGTCAATAACCCTATTGTTAAAACCGGGTAAAGTAGAATCAGAGTGGGGCTCCTACCGTCCCATCTCCCTCTTAAATGCTGATTATAAAATTCTGGCAAAGACACTGGCTTCACGCCTTGAATTGATAATGCCAAGCATCATTTCACCTGACCAAACCGGGTTCATGAAAAACCGACACTCCTTCTCCAATATCCGCCGCCTCCTCAACATTCTCTCCTCTCCTGCGTCTGGGGAGACACCAGAAGTGGTGGTCTCCCTGGATGCAGAGAAAGCTTTTGATAGAGTGGAGTGGAGCTATCTGCTGGAGGTCTTAAAGAGATTTTCCATTGGACCTAAATTCATATCCTGGATCTCACTTCTGTATTCTTCCCCCAAAGCTTCAGTTATTACTAATGGGGTGAAATCTCAATATTTTACTCTTAACAGGGGAACCCGTCAAGGCTGCCCTTTGAGTCCGTTGCTATTTGCTTTAGCAATAGAACCATTGTCGATTGCACTTAAATTGGCTAGCTTTAATCAAGGAATCCACAGATGGGGTTCAAGGCATGCTCTCTCCTTGTATGCGGATGATTTATTATTATTTGTTTCAGACCCAGTAACCACCATCCCTAAAATAATTGATTTGTTGAATGTTTTTGGAGAATTTTCTGGGTATAAATTGAATTTTTCAAAGAGTGAATGCTTCCCTATTAATGACACGGCCTTGGAAACTCCAGCTGTCTCGCTCCCATTTAAATTTGTTAAAAACAGTTTTAAGTACCTAGGTGTCCATATCTGTCGTAAGATCTCAGATCTTTATAAAATCAACTTTCCACCTTTAGTAGACAAACTTAAATCTGATCTGGAAAGGTGGAGTAACTTGCATATATCCATAGCTGGCAGGGTAAACTGTATCAAAATGAATGCTCCCGTCATCTCCACCCTAAAAATTTGGTCCCAATTCAGATGTTCTTTTGGACTCAAAGGATTGTCTAATCATAGCCCCATACAAAATAATCATCTCTTTCTCCATCCTAGAACCGATAATGCGTTCTCTTTATGGCAGAGCTCAGGTCTTGTTAGGGTAAGTGACCTCTACATTAATAACATCTTTCCTAGCTTCAGCGAACTGTGCAAAAAATTGAACCTTCCAAATTCCCACCTATTCCGTTACTTCCAGGTACGTAACTTTGTGAAATCAAACAGCACCTGTTTTCCCAATATTCCACCTAACTCAGTCATTGACTCCATTTTGAGCATTCCCACAAATCAAAAAGGCCTCATTTTCAAAATTTACAATCTAATTTCCCATCTCAGAGAGACATCTCTGGACAAAATGAGGACAGAGTGGGAACAGGAGCTGGACAGGACTATTAATGACAGCGACTGGGCCTCAGCCCTGACCCGGATCAATAACAGTTCGTCTTGCTCCAGGCTTAATCTGATACAATTTAAGGTTGTTCATCGTATCTATTTTACCAATTCCAAGTTGTCTAAGATTTACCCCAGTATCACAGATAGCTGCAACAGATGTCACCTGTCGCCAGCAAACATGACCCACATGTTTTGGTCCTGTCCCTGTCTGCAAGCCTTTTGGACAGCTGTTTTTAAACACCTTACAGAAGCACTTAACACAAAACTGAGGCCCTGCGCAGAATTGGCTATCTTTGGAGTACTACCAGAATGTCAAAAAATCGAGAAAAAAATTAAGGATAGCATCGCCTTTGCTTCTCTTCTAGCACGCAGAAGAATATTATTGGAGTGGAAGTCACCATTTGCCCCCAAAGCCTCTGTCTGGCTTAAGGACCTGATGCTGCACTTAGACCTGGAAAAAATTAAATACAATTTGAGGGGGACCCCTGAAAGATTTGACCTGGCTTGGGGCTACATGATTAGTTACATCGCTAAATTAAAGACACTGCAGGATAAATGACACCTATCTTTGATGTTCGCCCCACCCCAACACTTTGGGAATTCAATTTCTGTTGGTATGAATTCTTTTCCCCTTTTATTTTATTAGGGCCCGAGCGTAGCTGCTAAGCAGCTGCGAGAGCCCTATTATTCCCCAAGTGGTTTTTCTTTGTTTCTTTCTTTCTTTCTTTCTTCTTTTTCCTCCCCTTTGAACTGGAAAATGGCCCACTTCCCACTGGCGAAAACTCATGAAATTTGGCAGGAGGACCGGGCCTGGTGAAAAATTTGATATTCTGAAGTCGCCCAAACAATAAAATGCAAAATGGCTCCATAGCGCCCCCTAAGGTGAAAATTCACACTATTGACTGTCACGCCTGTACGCTTTGTCATATTGACACAAAAATTGACACACATATGTATCTCAATAAGATCTACAAAAAAGTCAGTGCGGCCGTATCTGTAAAAATTACGGTTAAAGGGTTATTTCGCATTTTTTGCCGATCCGCACACATTGGAATTTCGCTAACTCCTCCGAAGGCTTTCGTTCCACCGGCACCACATTTGCTCAGGCCAATCTACACCCCGTGGCCATTAAAAGTTATCAAAATCATGACGCTGCACCCCAAGGTTTAGGTTCTAGGGGGCGCCAAAGATAACACTAAAATCCACATATTTAAAAGTCTTATAACTTTTTATTTTTGTCCTCACTGGCCTCCAAGTTTTCTAGGATGATGCAATGTCCAGCCATCAACACATTTGTGAAGGAATTTTTACTCCCCAAAAGAGCGCCCCCCCATGGCAGGAGAAAAAAGTCCATTTTTTCTTGTCCCCTAAGGTGAAAATACACATTGTTGAGTGTCACGCCTATACGCTTTGTCAAAATGACACAAAAATTGACACACACATGTAACTCAATAAGATCTACGAAAAAGTCAATGCGCGCGTATCTGTCAAATGTACGGTTAAAGGGTTATTCCGCATTTTTTGCCGATCCGCACACATTGGAATTTCGCTAACTCCTCCTAAGGCTTTCGTTCCCAACGGCACCACATTTGCTCAGGCCAATCTACACCCCATGGCCATTAAAAGTTATCAAAATCATGACGCTGCACCCCACTGTTTAGGTTCTAGGGGGCGCCAAAGATAATCCTAAAATCCACATATTTAAAAGTCTTATAACTTTTTATTTTTGTCCTCACTGGCCTCCAAGTTTTCTAGGATGATGCAATGTCCAGCCATCAACACATTTGTGAAGGAATTTTTACTCCCCAAAAGAGCGCCCCCCCATGGCAGGAGAAAAAAGTCCATTTTTTCTTGTCCTCTAAGGTGAAAATACATATTGTTGAGATTCACGCCTATACGCTTTGTCATATTGACACAAAATTTGACAATCACGTGCCTTGCCTGGTATCATTTTTTTCAGCACAACCTCACCTGTGCGAATTTACAGTTATTTTATCATGTTGACATACTGAATTTACACAATGGACCCAAATTCACACACAAAACATAAAATCCGAGTGGAAAAAAGTAACATTTTTACTGTGAAAACCACAAATATGTGTGATGAACTGTTTTTAAAACTTAAACTTCAAATAAAAATTGTAAACTTCAAAACATATGCAAATTTTTAACAAAGAACATAGTGATTTACCTCTATTTACATCAAAATGCAGGCAATGGCCCAGGCGTTCTTTGTAAAATTATTTACAAAACACTGTATAGTCTCACAAATGTCACTTTTTATTTATGCCACTACAAAAAAACATGATGTAAATGATGCATGATGTAAAACATGATGTAAAAAACTTGTGTAGATCCTCCTCTATGTCAGTCCATGTGTAATTTTTCCATAATTCTTTGTTTTTTGCAGCATTTTTGTTAGTGTAACTGCAGATTGTGCTGACAGTGTCTATGGCACAAAAAAAAAAAAAATTAATTAAAATGCCTCAACATGAACCCCTGGTGGTCTCTGAGGGTGAAACCTGCTAACTGCTGCAGCTCTGTCAGCTTCAGTCTCCCATGCAGAGCTCTGAGCGCATGTGTGGCTCTGCACCCTTAGCAGCGTTGCTAACTCCTCAGTAAGGAAAGCCTGCTTCATGTCAGAGTCTCTAAACTCCAGAAGAAGTCGATAAAAGTCCCTTTCTTTCTAAAAAAAAGTCGTTAGGGGGTCTGAAAAGTCATTGAATCTAACAACAAAGTCGCTAGGTTTGCAACTACGTGTCCCAGACTGCATCCCTGCTGAGAGTCCCTCCCTCCCTTCTCATGTTGCAGGAAGAACGTAAGCGCCCGCCCCTTGTCAATCAGTCACCATATAATTTTGGATTGGTTGTTGTGGTGAAGTTTTCCACCAATAGGAGAGATGTTGTGGTGTGTTTTTTTTTCTTTTGGCAAGCCTTTTCCGCCTGTAAGAGCTGTCGCTAATGTCTGCATGCTATGTTTTCCTGTCTCATACAGCGCGATCGAGCGCCGAATGTGATCAAAATAAGCAGAAAAAAAGTATCGCGGACATAATTTATCATAACTCTGGTTTTATTTGGCCTATCAACACAATTTAAAAACTGGTATATAGGTTGAGGTCCTCACTTTTGAGATAAGTTGAAACGGAGAGTCAACGAGGCTCCGTCTTGCAGCTACATCCGGTTAAATATGTCATGTGACTTGAACGCACACACAGACACACACACACGCACACACACACACACACACACACACACACACACACACACACACACACACACACACACACACTCAGAGTCTGGTTTTTAGCACCTGCAAAAACATGCTATTTACATATTTGACAAGAATGCAGAGGCTCCTTTTGCCCCTGAAAAAAATCAAATTTCAAACACAACTTGACTGGTCATTTCTCCAAAAGACAACCATGAAGCTCCATCCAAACCTGAAGCAGGCAGTTGGTGCATGTGTACAGTAACCTGAGGGGAGTGAGGTGAGTGCTTCTGAGGAGAACATGAGCAGTGAAGATTCACCTTGGAGCTAGAACAGAGACATGCACATGATTATACAGGGGCAGGGGCTCAAGTTTTTTCCAGTCGTTTATACAATATGGAAATTAATGTGAAATTAAAACACAAAGTATTAATAGAAAGGTAATGACTGTCCTGTGTAGGTGACAGTGATATCCAATAGGCTAGGCACTCACGAGGCTGGCTGTGGCAAGTGTAAGTGAAAGCAACACGCACTGGCAGGAAGAACAGCAAACGCAGATGAAGGAAAAGGGTCTTTGCAGTGATGGGCGTTACCAGAGAGGGCGATGGCCAGAGGACACAAATGGGACGGGGAGGCAGCACGTTATGGGGGGGGGGGGGGGGACGCGACACGGCTCGGGCCCGCCAGTGCCCCAACGGGGTCCTAGTTTTATTTTTTCTTTCTCTCCGAGTACGTGTTTATTTGTTTATAATACACGTAAAGGATGAGTGGTAGTACTGAAACAAATATGTAGGATTGGGTTGGGAGTGGGTGGGCAAAAGGGATTTATTTTTATTTCTTGCTGTTTGTCATTGTTTGTTTGTTTTGTTGTGTTGTTTCTGGAAAAAAAGGGGGGGGGGGGGGTCGTTTTCTCACCTAATTGTATGTACCTTTGGCTGTTGAATGAATAATAAAAACATGATTTAAAAAAAAGAAATAAACAAGAAGCTGAATACAGAGATCTGATAAGAGCCTTCGGTGACTGGAGTCATAAAAACTGCCTCCTCCTCAATACCTCAAAGACAAAAGAGATGATCATAGACTTCCTCAAATCTAAATCCCCTTCAGCCAGTGAACACCTGTGGTGTGGACATCATAGTGGTGACATCATATAAATATCTAGGTGTACATCTGGATAACAAGTTGGACTGGTCTAAGAATATAGACTTCATCTTCAGAAAGGGGCAGAGCCGCCTCATTTGCCTGAGAAGACTGCCATCAACAGACATCTGTAGTAGGATGCTGCAGATGTTTTATCAGTCTGTGGTGGCAAGTGTTCTGTTATACACTGCAGTCTGCTGGGGAGAAAGTATCAAACACAAAGATGCAAGACGTCTTAACAAACTGGTGAAAAAGGTTGGCTCTGTGGTAGGACTCAAGCTGGACTCAGTGGAGGATGTGGTGGAGAGATCTGCACTGAGGAAGGTGGAGACTTTTCGCAAGAACATGGATCACCTACTTTACAATACCTTAATGGACCAAAGGGCCAATGGTGGTGAACGGCTCCTCTCTTTCACTGCAGGACAGAAAGATTCAAAAAATCGTTTGGACCCACAGCTATCAGACTGCACACCTCTTCTGTAAATAGTAGATAACTTTTTTAGAGACATGAGACGACAGACAACTGAATTTTGCTTTGGGGATTAATAAAGGTCTTCTTATTCTTAATCTTATCACAGTGACTCTCCCCCTGAATGCACACAACTCGGTTCCAGGAAGTGGAGAAAATCATGGAAATACTGAGAGCAATTTGGCTTGAAATTCGTATAATGACGGAAGGTGGAGCCACGTTGTCCATAGAATATACAGTCTATGTTTCAGACTGAGGCTCAGAAATATACAATAATAAAGAATGAATAAAGAAGAAAGCAGACTACAGACTAACTCTGGTTCAGCCATTTAATGAGAGCAACACAGTAATAATAATAATAATAATAATAATTATTATTATTATTATTATTATTATAATGATACTAATATTTAAAAAGTATTTATCTCAGTCTGCTGCCAAGCTGTGGGGTCAAAGGTCACAGGTGTAGTGCTCATAGTTGATCAGAGGTCATCTTCATAGACTCTAGTACAGACTGAAACACAGAGGACACATAAGTCAGTATGTCAGTAAATATAACAACACAAACACACATAAACACACACATACACTCTTACCTGTCCTGTGCTCTGTTGTTGGGGATTCCCTCAGTCATTTGCAGGGGGCGCTGGTGAGTGGCCTGGTTAGAGTCTGCAGAGAATGGCTCCACGTTCCCAAACAAACTGCCATGCCTCTGTGATCAATGAAACAGGTGTAGGACAAGAATGAGACTTCAAAGGTAAGAATTCAGGTAATATAAAGGTGTCACTACGATATTGAGCAGGTCAATTAAAGGTGTTAACCAGGAGTCATACCTGTACATACACAGGTGTTTATGTCCTTTCCTTTATAGAGGGGTGCATTTATAAAAACATCTAACCCTAAAAAAATTCTAACAAAAGGTTTCTCAGCTGTTTTTTTTTATAGTATTAGATGTCCTTAATAACATACTAAAAGTTTGACAGCTAGAAAGGTGTCTTTTTCAAGATTGACGATTCTCAAAATGTATGTGAATAAGTGTATATTTAATTAGATATTGCCTCATTTACATATTCCAAATTAACATTTGACAAAACTTCAAACATTTTTTTGTTTGAAGTTTCATGGTGATATCTATAAGTTCTAAATTTTATCCTATTCACCTGGGGTATCTCCCCTGGGCTTCCTACCTATCGGATGCCATTGTGAAAATGACAATGTAATCAAATTGGTGTTGAAGTTACCCTGACAATGGTTCACACTGTAACAATAATTAAACAGGTGTGTGATGTAACCATGACAATGGCTTCGATTGTTACAATAATTTAACAGGTGTTTTAAGTACCATGAGGATGGATCAGACTGTACGTATAATTAAGGTGTCTTAAGTTACCCTGACAATTGTTCAGACTGTTACAGTAATTAAACAGGTGTGTGAAGATACCATGACGATGGTTCAGAATGTTACAATAATTAAACACCTGTTTGAAGTTACCATGGGGATGGATCACACTGTTACAATAATGTTAAAGGTGTTTAAAGATACCATGACAATAGTTCAGACTGTAACAATATTTAAACAGGTGTTTAGAGTAACCATGACGATGGTTAAGACTGTAACAATACTTGAACAGGTGTGTAATGTAAACCATGACAATGGCTCAGACTGTAATATTATTTAAATAGGTGTGTGAAGTTACCATGAAGATGGTTGAGATTGTAACAATAGTAAAACAGGTGTGTGATGATACTGTGACGATGGTTCAGGCTGTAGCAGTAATTGAACCCTAACAGTCTAATCCATCCTCATGGTACATCAGACTGTTAGGATAATTAACCCATTTAAACCAGGACAGCATGTACGCATTTCAACCGTCCAAGCCAGGAGTGTGTCTGCACATTTTTATTCGGAAAGCCGGGTGCATATACGCCTACCTACCCTTCAAGCCAGGAGAAGTGTGTACACATTTTAACCTTCCAAGCCGGCGGTGCTGCTGTGCGTTTCTACCCTTTAAGCCGGGAGCGCAGATACATCATTTTTAACATTCTGTAGTTTTTTAATCATTTCTGGAGTCGTGGCAGATCACATCATCATACCTGTCTGCCTCTGATAGGCTAATAAAGCTTAACAACTCGATTGGATTAATATTTGGATCTTGCTACGTGCTTCGTGAAGAAAGTAAACAACGACGGAAGCAGAGAGCAGCTTCGGAGAAGAAGCATCCAGCAGTGTGAACAACCTCTTCATATTGAGTGCTTTGGTTCACACTATCAGCGATTTCTGTGAGTGTTGCATGACTTTGGGTGAGCGCAGAAATGAACACACTGTCAGACACTCATTTATTTATTTATTATTAGATTTTAGTTTTTAGTACTAGTTTTTAGTTTTTAGTGCTGCTTTTGTACTGGCACTATACTGGGGCAGCTGTATACCCTTTCAACACTTTATTTTTTTATATAAACATTTTCTTGGATAGACAATCATGTCTGCCACTTGTTTTACAGAAAGCAAATTGTTTGTTTTTCTCAGAGCCTTTACCTTTATTTATACAGCCGCTTTATTTAATTTGAGTTTGTTTGTTCAAGGTTTTTAAAAATGTGATGGAGGTTCGGAAAATTAAGATAGTTATCTTGAAAGCCACATGTGTAAGATCTCAAATACTTTTTAAATTTTGTTCTTTATCTGCTACAGAGGCTGAGATATCAAATATTATAAACCTCAACACTTCAGAAAATCTAAGGATCTGGGGGCCCTTCTCAAAATTGCCATCAGGATTTCAGAGGCATGTCTCAGACAGGGTTCAGGTCTTGGTGGGTTAAGGTGTGTGAAGTTACCATGACGATGGTTCAGACTGTAACAATACTTATACAATACAATAAACAGGTGTTTAAAGTAACCATGTAGAGGGTTCAGAGTAAAACAATAATTAAACAGATGTCTGAAGTTGAGCTGTCGATGATTCAGACTGTAACAATACTTAAACAGGTTTTTAAAGTTACCATGACGATGGTTCAGACTGTAACAAAACTTTAACAGGTGTTTAAAGTAACCATGACCAGGGTTCGGAGTGTAACAATGATTAAACAGATAACTTAATTTACCATAATGTCACAACGCGGTGAGGGGTGTCTTGTCCTGGTTTTTCTGTCTTGTCATTTTCATGTTTTATTTTGAAAAATAACTCCCCTCTTGTTTCAGGTCACTTGCCCTTCCTCTTGTGTTTCCGGTCTGACGTCTCCCCTGATTCCTGATTGTTTCCACCTGTTCCCCATTAACCTCATGTGTCTTATAGTTGGCGTCTCCCTTTGTCCCGTGCCAGAGTGTCTCGTTTATTTGTGTTCCTCCAGCCTTCACGTCCACAGCCTTGCTCGATAGCCACGTTTGCATTTTTGATAATCCTTGTTTCCTCTTTAGAAGAGTGATTTTCTGTTGTAGTTTTTTCCCTGTTTAGTTTCTAGATCTAGCTTCTGTTTCATAGCCTTGTTGCTTTTTTCCTCCCTTTTGGAGTGATTTTGTTTTCTTACAGTTTTTTCTAGCTTAGGAGTGCAGTGTAGTTAAGTTTGTAGCCTCTTTTTGTTTCCCTCCTTTTGGAGCGTTTTTTGTTCATAAATTTTCATAGTTATTCCTCTGAAGATTAGAGAAGATCAGCTTACTAATTTGTCCTCCCTTTTGGAGTGAATTTTTGTTCAGTCTTGGTTTGATTTGTTTTTGTGTTCTGTTTGCCATTAGAATAGATAGAGAAGGTTTTCATAGCCTATTTATTTATCACTCTATCTACTGAGTAGAAAAGACAATTTTTAAAAATAAAGAGTTGTTGATCTTGGAACCTCTGCGTCTGAGTCCTCCCTCAAACCCAGGCCTGACATTACACTCTGGCCAGTATGGACTGAGCAGAGGTGCAGCAACTGACGGGGGCTCTACAAGCTCAGGAAGCCCACATTTCGCGTCAGGAGGAGTTCCAGACGGAAATGGCAGCCCACATGAGTCAACTCACGGCACAGCTACAGGAGTTGATCGCGCAGCTCCCTCGACCCACCGCCCCGGCCCCCGTACCCACTCCACCCACAGCCCATGGCGGAGCTGGAAGTAAGTTAGCTCCCCCTGCACAGTATAATGGCGATCCAGGACTAAGTAAGACATTTCTCATAGACTGCTCTATTCATTTTGAGCTAAACCCCCATGCTTTCCCCACTGATCGGTCCAAGATTGCCTTCATGATCTCGCACCTAACTGGGAGAGCCAAAGCTTGGGCGTCGGCAGAATGGGGGAGGAGCTCGCCGATCTGCAATACGCTAACAGATTTCCAGATGGCGCTGACGTGGACCTTCAACCCAGTAACCGATGATCGGGAGAAAGCGCAGGAGCTGAGTGGGCTGAGACAAGGCAGAGACTCTGTATGCGACTACGCCATCCGTTTCCGCACCCTTGCAGCGGAGAGCGGTTGGAACTCCACGGCTCTGTACGACGTGTTTTTAAAGGGACTGGCAGCACCGATCCAAGATCTACTCGTCCCTCTCGACTTGCCTACGGGCTTAGATGATCTCATCGCGCTCGCCGTCCGAACGGACAACAGACTCGGGCAGCTCAGACGTCACCGAGGGGAGAGGGCTGTGAGGACCAAAGGAGTTTCCCGTTCACAGACACAGAGCAGGCTGGCTCCCCACACTTTCCCTCCGGAGCAGTGTAATCAGCTCGCTGCCGAGGTGGAGGGGGTCCCCATGCAGCTGGGCAGAGCACGGCTAACACAGGAGGAATGGCGCAAACGACTACTGGAGGGGAGATGCTTCTACTGCGGTGAGGCTGGTCATCTCGTCGTCACCTGTCCAGCCAAACAAGCTACAGCGGTGAGTCAATTCAAAGCTTCAAAGCCTGTTTCACGTACTCTCACCAAAGTCCAGCTAATTCATCATACTGTTAATAATTTGGAGGCACTCATAGATTCAGGAGCTGACGAAAGTCTAATGGACTGTGAATTAGCGGAAGAATTGGGCATTAAATCTGAACCCTTAACTAAGCCCAT